TGCACTAGGGCAGAAAGACACTTGATAACAAAGATAAAACTAAAAGAGAATTCATGAGCTTCGTGAATGCTTTATTCGTGAACAGAGAAATATGGTGTGCGATGCTCCTAATTTCTGACAAACCAAGTATTTCCTCATTCGAGATTTCGGAGACACTTCGAAAGGTATTTTGTTCCTAGAAGTTGTATGTGAATTAGAGTTCATTGGAAGAAAAAACCTGGAAAATCGGGGAAAAGATTGGAAAATTCGTGGGAATTCCAAGAATATTTAAGGCGGAAAGAAACTTGAACGTTCACTTTTCCAAAACTAGTCAAGTGATTTTTTATTTCTTTTTTTTTTAAGTCAGAGAATTTGGCCGACATTTTTGTCGTTTTCCGCAAAAAGAAATATAGCTCCATTCCAAGGTTTAAAAATTAACTCAAACAAATCAATTTTGTACGAGAGCAAGCCTGCATAATGTTCGTCGAAAACTTGTCTGATTTTTGCATGAAATCAGAAAAAAAATCAGTGGAATTTCCGGCTCGAAATTCTTAAAATTCTACTTGTAATATTATAATTGGCGTGGAAACATCTGGCAACATTGACATTTAGTTACGTTCTTTCGTGAGAGAAGGGACGATTTGTCTTTGACTTATTTTTTCTTCTTTCTCTTCTTAAGGAAAGTCAGGAACTACGCGGCCGCGAAGTTCATAATTTTAAAAGTAGCTGTGGGTTTTATTTTCCTTTTTCATTTGAATTCAGTAAATTTGGTCAAAATTCTCAGGCCTTTTTTCCCGGAAGGTCAGTAAATTTTGACTTTTTAAGTTCAGTTGCCTTCTTACTGGATTGAAATGGACGAAATCTTATGTCGCCGCTCCATCCTACACCCCCACCACCCCCACCGGGGACGACGATTGATGGTAATGCTCGAGTAGGTACTACTTGAAAACGAGCCAGACCGAGCGCAGAGAAAGTGATTACACGCCTTTGATCTCGGAACGAAGAGAAAGGTCAACGAATCGGTCGCACTGCTCGCTATTAGCCGTCGCGTCGCGCAATGCTATAAATAACTCGGATGTAGTTCGCGGACTTGATGCTACACTGTTAATACCGTCGCGGGCTAACATCGACGGATCATCTGGACAGGTTGAGAGCATGGTGTCTAGGCCCCAGGAGAACCGGGATTTATCAGGGAATCAATAATATCCTGGAAAAAAGAAAATAGTAGTCTTATCGGTTCAACCATTGGCGGATCCAGCAAATTGGCAACATTGCCTTTTCTCCATTTAAACCTATGGAAACATATCGATTCTTGGAGGGGCCAGGTGCACCGACAAGAATCGATTATTTAACGTAGGTTTAAATGTAGGAAACTCCGGTGATGCCAAATTGCTAGATCGGCATCTAGCACACTTGATGAGACTTGGTCCGTTTCTATTAGACTACACTGGAAAAAAAAAACACATTGGATCTAGAGTCCAGACTCTTAAAAACATCGACAAGAAAAAATACTCTAGATTCAATCAGATTTAAGCTTAAATCAAAAACCAAGCCTCTTAATTTGAGCGGATTTCCTTTTGATTTAAGCTTAAAACCGATTGAATCAAGAGTCCTTTTTCTTGTCGATGTTTTCAAGAATCTGGACTCTAAATCCAATGTGTTTTTTTTTCCCAGTGTAGGTCCAAATTTATGATATGTGTTTCGTTACCACGAGTGTCAGGCGCCAAGACCTCAACACGCAAACCGCGTGCCCGATTCACTGGCTTCGATTGAAGGTGACGGTCTTCAGGACGGTAATTTCAATGCGTCGAAGAAAACGCATTGACGCGTTGAAGTGTTTAACGTCCGAACGATGACGCGCCTTATTGACATTCAGGTGAGAAGTGGCGCTACGTTGCCTAGGCGTCAACCCAGTTCATTCATTCATCACTTTCTATCGGTGGCTATCTATGTAATGATTACCGCTGTGTTTACTTTGTAACCGTTCAGTTGGGTTCCTATCCGTGTCAGCGACTCTACTTCCGCCAAAAAGGATTTTCAGTCGTCGAAGTTTTAGATTTTCAGGTTTCCATGACGACGATATGGCACATCGCGGTAGGACCAGTAGTCTTGGATGACTATTTTTTCTGTTTTTTACGTGCTGCGCTGTTACGCTATAGGTGACGATCAATTTGTGACCTTGAAAAACCAGGTCAAGATTTAATAGCAGGCTCTCATCTCTGCACGGGCCATTTCATACGTTGTGATTCTGGGCTCACAGGATTCGCATTAAATAGTCTGCTGGTGGGCAATTTTGACTAATTAAAGGAATTTAAATTTTGTATATTACTTTTTTGACAGCTTCGGAATAAAATCTAAAGTCTCTAGTGCCGTAAACCCCAGATTAATTATTGAGAGAACACGAATAGGAAAATTATAGCATGAAAACGGGAATCCCAAAGAATTTAGTAAAATCAGGGGACTGTCCACCATAAACGTCGTTGTGGGGCCAAGGACCCAACTACCCCTAGAACAATTATTCTACCCGGGGGGGGGGGGGGGGATGTGTCTACTGCACGGCAACTCACGGTCACAACTTCACTGGGAAGCTCTCTTTCGCACCGATAGTTGGGTTTTACCTGGAAAAATTTTGAATCGTCAATCGGTATTTACTAGGCAACTTCCTATTTGCGTCCGACTAAACTTCAAAATCCCACCTCACCAACCTAGGCAAATTGAAGGCTAGAATTACCTGTTTCCTGATGGACAGGCACTCAAATTTGATAACCGTAAAATCGTAAAGAGACACTTTTCCGAAAAGTATGTACTCTCTTTAAGAATTTTAGAAGCAAGCACTGGTGCTATGCGTTACGCGTTATACCCTCATGATTTTGTATTATAGAGTAAGTTGTAGAAAAGTTGAAACGTGATAAAAAAAAACTGTACATCTATCAAGTCTCCTTGTCTACCAAGGACCTAATTCGCCCCATCCTTTTTTTTAAGTCGCAATAGTTAAACGGCTTTTGTCCTAGTCGTTTCGTTAAGCTCCTATTTAACTTAATCCTTGCTTTTTTATTGTGCTGTATATCATCCTTAACCCCTTTCCGATGCAGTTCAGTTTTTCTGTTTTACTATTATTTGAAGTTGTTTTGTCGCCATCTATCCGTTAATCCCAAGCAATAATTTCGGTTAATCTCAAGCAAATACAGTCATTGCGTCTTATCGAATGAAGCTGATAGCCGCCCTCTTCCCACCCGCCTCTCTATGGTGTTCATAAGTACTCTCGAGTACTTTACGATGTAATAATCGGCGTTTTCAGAAGAGGTATTCGAAGAAAGTCAAGTGCTCATATGCAAAAGCGTCGAGGTATGTCTTCGCTCTTGTTTTTGATGACCCGTCGAGTATGTTGGAGGAGCACCAAGATAAACTATCTTATTTTTGATACTTTGTAACTATTTCTATTATCTCTGCCGTATTTCTATTTGAACTTTTTTCTTGTCTCCTTGCACTTACGCGGTTCCTCCCTAGGTGCATAAACGCCGGGATAGCGCAGGCTCAGTAGGAAAATTGCGATTTTTGGTAGAAATTGGGTATCAAAAGAGGTCGGAAATTTGGATTCGTTGCAACGACTCAACGAGGGTACCTGTTTTTTGACGGTTTGTTGTCGCACTGAAGAAAATACTAGGTGTGTCATTGAAGCAACTTATCGCGCCAATATTTCACTCACGACAACTGAAGTTTTCTTGTTGCAATAATCTTTCTCTAGATGTAACAACCAGAAAAACTCTGCCGTGATAAAGAAAATTTGGAACTCTTAACATAACTGCCGGAAAAAAGTTTTCTTTGTTGTTATGAACTAAATTTTTCTTCGTAAATTCTCAATCCCTGTTCCTCTTAAAATTTTAGTAAAGAACGGAATAAGCCGGGAACGTCCAGTACAGTTGTAGGGTCTTTGATTCCAATATTACGAGGTCTAACTGTCCTACGCCATAATAGTGCCAAAAACTCAGTTTCAACTACACATGCCAAGGTCGCGAGGAGATTTTTGGCTTTAGTCCTCACTTACAGAAAGCGTAGACATTTCTTCCATAAACGGAGCCAGAAACCATTCTGAATTTTATATCCTTTGCGAGTTTGAATACGCTAATTCTGCAGTAACCAAACATTTGAACCGAACATTAATTCTGCAGTTCTGAATAATAAATCAGTTTCTTGCATTTTTGGTGGAATTCAAATCGCGAAATCGGGTTTTTGTGGAACGTTAATACTCCTAGTTTTACGGTGTAATTAACTGAATGCAACTATTCGCACCCGACGGATGTCTGTGTTGCATAAGCAAAATACTGAAGGCGCTTAGACATTTTCAGCGTTCCCCACGAATCCAATCGTACCGAAGCATTCAGTGTTCAAAACTGTGTGTTTTTTTTTTTTTTTTAAGCAGCAATATCTGCATTGAAAGAAAACTTCGAACTCATTCCTCGTCCCAATTTTTTTTTTTTAAAAAGTAACAAAGCAAGTTTTTGTTTCAGACTTTTCTCTGTGAATTACTAGTATGAGCATTAAAAAATAATGAAAGGGAAGGAAAGAAAAGGAAAAGAAGAAAAAAAGACAGGTAGTAGAAAAAGAGAAAGAGGAAAAGAAGACATAAAAAACTTGTTGTGTCAGCCGACAACGTTTAGTGCTAATTCAAGACGTCCTTTAAAGCTGAGTAATAAATTGGTATCGACATAAATAGTTGCCCCTGGTGACTGTTTACTTTCAAGGAAGATTTAACAAAATTAAAAACTGACGTTTACTAATTCAAATAGGAATAGTTTTTAGTTATCACGGAGTCAACCGCAGGACGTTTCAAACAATACGTTACCTTCGTCTTTTAATTTATCACATTGCTTAGTACTCATACTGTAGTCAAATATTGTAATTAATGCACATTTGTAAAAAGGTGCAGCGGGGTTTTTCAAGGCAAACAGATCAGCTAGCAAAAGAAGAAGAAAGGATAGAAGTTGACTTGAAGAAACTTTAGTAGATAATGTGCCAATTACCTCGCAAAGGTACTCCGCTGCCATAAGGTGTCTGGTACCTTAAGGAGCCGAAAGACAAGGCCTCGCTTGCGTACATTAGGTCCATAATACAGCGTACGACAACGTGAAAAGAATTTAGTTTCTTAGTTTAATTTACAACCAAAAGCACCACTCGGAATGTCAGAGTCGACAACAGTACATTTCTGCCATAAAACGCACCGGCAAAACAAAGTCCGAACTATGTTTCAAAGAATGCGGAAACGCGACTTGAAAGCTGGCTAGTCAAAGGTCACTCACGACCTTTCGCATCGACACAGATCACGGAACCGGTCAATTCGGAGCGTTTTTGATGCGTTTTACGCGTCGCACATTTCGAAAAACTTGGATTCGAAAATTTTGAACTTGACGGCGAGAATTGTTGGGTTTTATAGAGGAAGGATGAACTGAACATACGCGTTCGGGTGCAGCAAGCGCAGGCGATAGACGAATGCACACGTGCGTCCAGAGGCGTAAACAACGGCTCGAGAGCGTGGAGTGGTTGCGTGGTGGGGGCCGCGCGCGTAAAATCCCCCATCCCCCCGCCTCACCCCCTTTCGCCCCCTCCCTCGCCCCCCTTCGCCCCCTCCCTCGCCGGCGAGAGTCTTCAATCAATCTGCTTTCCCCTAACTTGCCCCAAAACACAGCCGCGTTGCCGACTCCGAGCAGCTGCGACGCAAATAGAGGCTGCGCCGTATTACGCACTTTTTTTTTATTTAGTTTATATTATTTTTATTAATTTTTTTTGTTTTTTTATTTTTTATCGTTTATTTATTTTATTTCAAGTCATTTATTTTAATGCATTTCTCTTTTTTTTTATTTATTTTTATCTTTGTTTTCATTTTATGTTAATTCGCTTATTTTTAAATAGTTTTTTATCTTTATTTTTTATTTTATTTTTACCCATTTTCTTATTTTTTATCTTTATTTTTTATTTTATTTTAACCCATTTTTTTATTTTTTATCTTTATTTTTTATTTTATTTTAACCCATTTTTTTATTTTTATCTTTATTTCTAATTCATTTCAATTCATTTATTTTTGGTCTTTTTATTTTTTATTGTAGTTGATTTCATTTATTTTTGGCCTTTTCATCTTTTATTTTTTTTATTTCTTTCTTTCCTTTTCCCCAATTTTTATTCCATTTCCGTAAAAATTAAAGCCAACGTTTTTATGTGTTCATTTACCTTTTAATCGTAGGCGCCTTTCTCCGTCTGAAACATAGTGTCTAATTCAGGACCTTCTTAATAATAGTTCAGGGACTGCGGGGTCATTTCTGGCTGGTTCACCAAACTTGATGTGATCTCGAAAACGTTCGCGAAACACAGTCCAAAAAATTGTTATTCCAGAATCTAGTCCTCTAATCTAAGAGTTGAGGGTCGAAAATTGAAGGACTCAGATGTAAGTTTACGCCTTCTATTGAGAGAAAATAAACAAAAGCGCAACGTGTGCAACTCAACTTACGTAACTTATGCAACCTACTGCAATCCATGAAACTTATTGAAATTTATGCAACCCGTGCAATTATTGCAATTTATTCTTTAGGACACTACTTAGCGAGTTTTTCGTCGAAATCTTGTAATTTGATTTTCGGCCCCAACCATAGGCAAAATGAGCTTTACTCAAAATGTCACCTTCTTAAAATTACGTCACTTTCTGTGGACACTCCTTAATAAATATGCAAAATGTGGATAAATCCGGTGCTTACGCTAAGCGTCGACGGTCGAGGAATATCCTGACACTTGGCACCGCTGGATTGACACTATCATTGCAGTTTTTGTGTTTGTTTATGTTTACAAGTGGGTCCCCCCTGCCATCGGGGAGTGTTGCGTCGCTTGCTGTCTCGATAGGACGCCAGGCGTCGTGTCGTATTCAGCCGACGCCAAACAAAAGCTCACCGCGGTTCGAATACCTAATTTTGAATTAAGCTTTAGACACGATTGGGACCAGGTTAATCAAAAATTTTAGCTCTGGTAATGAGCAGAAATAATTGTCAATCTCAACGTGAGCTCTCGCAATGCAGGTTCATTTTTGGCCAGGTGAGAACCCTTTGTCTTGGAAATGAAATTTATGAACACGATGATAAGTTCTTGAGAAGTCAGGGAATTTTGCTACGGCGTGGAACTTCAATTTCAAGAGGTTGTGCCTACAATTTTTTTGTGAGAAATCATGCAAAATTGAGAAGTCAGGGAATTTTGTGTCCCGACTACCCGAAAAGTCAGAAAAAAGTTAGAAAATGTGTCTTCCCGGAGAAGTTTGTGAGACGCAATCGTTTTCGAGCATGTAGTCTCACCAGTGTTCATTTTTTAAACAGGGAAACACAGTTTTGAGTTATACTGAGAGAATCTTGAGACGGGGATGAATAATCTTTACTTATGGCTTTTGTCGTTTTAATGAGTTATTTAAATATTAGCAATAGTGTTGACGCCAAAAACATGGATCCAAAACTTGCGAACTGGTTAAACTTATCTGCTCACTTACTGGCGGACTGCGCGCATGTTTTTTTCTTTTTTTGAAAAGTTTTTAAACGAGTTTAAGTTACCTATTTGAAAGGATCTCATGTTCTTTTCATGTTTCTGTGAATTGGTATAGTTGCATTTTCGCAAATCTGATTCTTTTTTTAAATCCAGAATTAAGTCCTATCGATAACGCTGGAGAGTTATTAAACCTATCTTTATTATTAAAAAACGCTACTGATCCTTTTTTGCAAACAGAAGCAACAGAGAAAGTTCCGTCTTTTAATACTGTCGTTACAATATCGCATTGCTTACTTTTTTTCAGCTCTCAGTCGACAACACCCGAAGGAAACTGTGAATTTATAATTTTTAATTATTTTATTCCTTTAATTTCCCCCATCATATTTTACCAATCTAGAGGCTAGACAAACAGGGTCATGGCCCTAGTCAAAAGTTAGAAGAAGAAGAAGAATTCCTCCCTTTTTTTGTCTCTTCGTCATAATCTTCTTCTATCAATATTCTCGAGTCAGGTCGTGTGGCGCGGTTCAGAAGAGAATCAATCACTCGCAAAGGTACGGTTACATATTCCTCGAAGCGTTTCTTTTTCATTTCGCCTTCATTTGAGAGATTAGGCAAAACGGGGACTCCGAAGCCCGAATAGTTGTATTCAACGCCTTTGTCCCAGTTTCCGTTGTCCGCACGTTGAAATCTGAGCCGTTTGTGTAGTGGACGTTTGGCGGTTCGTCTCCAACAATGATATTAAGTATTTCCCCGCCTCGATCGCATGACAAGTGGCAACAGTGTGTCGTTTTGGAGGATGATATTTTTAACAGCTTTCCCACCTCCGACAGACCCCCGCGGGTAGTCGAAGCCGCCCGTTGTTGCCATCTTTACCGTCGGAGGCTCCACATTACGCTTCGCAACGAAGAATGGGACGATATTCTCGTCATGTCTGGCAACCATGCGCCCTAAATGCATTGGATACTCAGAGAAGTGCGTCTAATTTTTTGATGTCCGGGTTTCGAAACTGTTGGTTTTTTTGCGTCTTTGATTTTCGGCCGCGGCCCGAAAGTGGCGCCTCTCTGTAGCATAACTCGATGCTTTTCGCTGCAAAATTATTTTGAGGTAAAACCTAAAAAATTTAATTTAAAAAAAAAAATGCATTTACCATCTCTCTGGATTAAAGAAATATCATTTAATGTAAGGAAGGTTTGTTCTCGCATTTTATTTCTATTTTTTTAGGGGTCATGTCTTAGGATGATACCAATTCCTCCTGATCGGGGTTTTTTACATTAGCTCTTAAAACTCGTGTGGAAAGCCTAAACGTGAAGAACCAACCAGAGAGCGGTGCGGACATGGCATATTCCCCTAATATTCAAATTCAGTCCGCACTGGAAAAAAAAAACACATTGGAGCTAGAGTCCAGACCCTAAAAACATCGACAAGAAAAAAAACTCCTGATTCAATCAGATTTAAGCTGAAATCAAGAACCAAGCCTCTTAATTTGAGCGGATTTCCTTTTGATTTAAACTTAAATCTGATTGAATCAAGAGTCGTTTTTCTTGTGAATGTTTTCAAGAGTCTGGACTCTAGATCCAATGTGTTTTTTTTCCAGTGTACTTGGATCAAAAATCGTCATGTCTGTGCTGCTCTCTGATCGGTTCGCCAGTTTTAGGCCGTTCGTGGAACTCATAGGCACGTAAACAAGGCTTGAGATGTTCGTTTCCGGCGAGAGTTGCGAGAGAGGGTCCAAAGCAGCGTGGCAATGATGGTTTTTTGGAACGTGAAGGGCCGCACGTAGACGCATTCTTGGCGCACGCATCCAGCGCATTTCAAGGCGCCACGCACCTGCAACACACCTGAGCGCCTGCCCTCCTGCAGGTTGACCGTCGCGCGGCCCTCAACGCAGCACGTTGAACCCAAACAAATCGACAATATTGTGTTTATATGAACGCTTTTCCATGCACAGCTCGGTCGTGTCACCGAAGAGAGTGAAAATTAAAGTTATGAGAAAATCAACCTAGCACTGTTCACTGGAAAAAAAAAACATATTGGGTCTAGAGTCCAGACTCTTAAAAACATCGACAAGAAAAAGTACTCTTGATTCAATTAGAATGTATAGCTTAAATCAAGAACCAAGCCTCTTAATTTAAGCGGATTTCGTTTTGATTCAAGCAAAAATCCGATTGAATCAAGAGTATTTTTTCTTGTCAATGTTTTCAAGAGTCTGGACTCTAGATCCAATGTGGTTTTTTTTTTCCAATGTTCGAGCGGAAAATTCTTTGGGAATCCTCCTTTTTCTGTAGTATGTTCATTGATCATCCTCTAAGAATACTATTATCCAAAACGCTGATTTCTGCAGGCAAACCCTAATTAATCCGATAAAATAAAGGTAATTTTGGGAATCGGTTCTTAATTTTTTGGCAAACCAACCCTATCCGACTAATGTCACTGAGCGTAAAATCCGAGTAGTGGCGAGGCGTGAATGAATGATCGATTTTTCTCGATTTTCATCGATTTTTGGCGAATTTTTTTAGCTTTTACTGTGTCTCTTTAACAATCTGGCACTTTTTCAATTATCAGGGAATGGACCACTAGACAAGGTACGAATTTCAGCATTCTGATACATGTTTCTTAACCAAAATTTCACTTAAAACACGATACGCACAACGAAAATTACCGAAATTAACTCCTTACGAAGATATTTAATGATTCTTGATGCGTGAATTCAAACCACCTGCTCATGAAAACTCAATGCTCTACGTGACTCACGTCGCGCGCTAAACGTTATCATGAACGTCTCAGCGATATAAAAATCTGGCAACCTCAGCCTTGACGCTTTGGCTCAGCTATAGCAAATTACTTACAGTTTGAACGACACATGGTGGGAAATGAACATTGCTCGATTGAGAAGCTTGCTGAAACCGTTGTAGTGGGCGATTTGACTCACGTAGAGCTTTGAGTTTCTTATGAGCGGGCAGTTCAAATTCCTCGTAACCAATGTGAAATAAAAACGTTAATATCTTCGTTTGGAGTTTGTTTCATTAGTTTTCGTTGCGCAAATCGTGTTGTACGTGAAATTCTGGTTAAGAAACATGCATCAGAATGCTTAAATTTGTACCTTGTCTAGTGGTCTATTTCACCAGAATGTGTCCAGGAAAGCGGGGAAATGTCGGAATTCAATTTTCAAAATTATGCAGCAACCCTGAAATCAGTGCATCAGAGAAGAATCTTAGGTTCAAATTTTCGCATTGACTCTCGTGATAGGAGAAACCTCTGAATGTACCTTGCTCCGTTCCGACATAACGTTGGTCCTCTGACTTAAGGGCGTATCTAAATTTCGACATGAGCCCTGTTTCACGTGTAAATCCGTCCATTTTGGGGCTCATACGGAAATTGAGATAACGCCCTAACGTCAGAGGACCGATGGTAACGTGACCTGGCTCCTTTCCGCAAAACTCAGTTCGGTTTTTTGGTCGAATATTAGTGAATGTGCTTTCTGGTGAGATCGGCCGCCTTTTGCAAGGTGCAGCCATGGAGCAGAGGCGGAGGCGTTGTGTGCTTTGCGATATATCGATTGATCTGCCATTTAAACCTATAAGATAGGATCGATAAACAGGGTGTTCGCAACGAACACCTTAATAATCGATTCTTTACCATTGCTCCAAATAGGGAAATATCGATAATGGATCGTTCACGCCTCGCCACTGAGCGGAAGACATGAGGAAATGACCACTCTTTACGTAACGGAGTGGGTTCTTTCTACGCAATAGCTAAATACTCTGGTCACTTTAACGGTCGGCCGTTGTTACGACTCATAGGTGTCGTTTCGGAGGGTTGCCAACAGGAACCCATCTCACATCTAGAACATACTCGTTTTGTCTAACAAGAGAGGAGGCGTAATCAATTGAGAACATTCGAACATTCTCGTTCCGTCTCGGGAGAGAAAAAGAGTAATTAATCAGGAACATTGCCTCAATCGTTCCGATCTAATAGTCGTGTAGGAGATCACTGATAAGGCCGTTGCTTCTTCGGTTCGCAATTTAGGATTTGTGGTAAGTCTAGAACAAAAATTGAACGTGTTTACGGTAACAGGAACTGTACACGGATGAATAAAACCGAAAGGAACTTTGAAGCATCCTAATTATTTTTGCATAGTTTCTTTCAGCACCTACACGTTCAATTTGGTCACTCCCAGTGGCGTTTTTTTCGCACATGCCCTGGACAATGACACCCATCAATGAGTGAATTATTAATATCATTTTGTTTCTCTATCGGAGTCGGCATCAATATTGTCTGGTTAATATTTGGCATAGGTAAATCTCTGAGGAGGAAGATATATGACCAATGCAAAATGCAAATCCTCTGATGTATCACTGTTGCTGCACGGAGGACGTTGTTGGCCTACCTCGAAAACTGAAGGCGAAATAGAAATGCGCGTAATTTTCATATTTCCTTTCCGTGGATTCTACCTCCTCTAAATTTTCAGTCATGTAACGCCAATGCTATCTTTAAAGGTTCATGCAGGTGGGCAATTCCATAAAAAGTGTCCAATTTCAATCATGAACGTTTTATTTATAAAATGCGTGGTAACAAATCTCTCATTTTGCTTATTATATTTGAATCTATTTTCAACCAATTCTGGCAATTAAGATTGTGAAAGTCAATGTATTACGCTTTCTTATTAAACTTTTACTGCATTAAATGTCCCGACCGCCACTGTCATGATTGCCAGATTGCAATGTTTACAGCCTCATAACTTTTTTTGGTCTGATAAATTGTTCCAATTTTTGTACCAATTCCATCAAAAATACCTCTTGTTGAATAACAGATATTTGATTTTTAAAAAAATAAAGCGTGTTCCACCCGATATTTTTTTAAAATATGCTGACATGAAGTTTCGACGTTACGGCCGTTACAGATGTTTTCGTTAGTCAAAACGGCGGCCAGGAGCAGTCAAAACCGCTAGAACACGCTCCATACCGGTGAGTAGAGTGTTCACGTCGAAATGTGAGCGTACAGCAGTCACTGCCGGAATTTAGAATATCATGGAAGGATTTAAATAGCAAATTTACTCCATTGAACCTTTTTGTTTATCACGACCGTCACGCTTTTTATTTTTGAAGCGTGTAATATTGCCATAGAATTGCCCATGTGCGTGTCACGCCGACCAGCGACCGCACTGTATTTTGCGCAATGCGTGAAGTATTCTTGCACTCTTGTAGGCGCTAATATGCTTTTCGCGCCAACCAGCGACCGTACTGTGTTAGGCACAATGCGTGAGGTATTCCTGCTTTCTTGTAGGCGCTAATATGCGTTCTGCGCTGACCGGCGCGGCGGCCGCACCATGTTTGGCGATATTTAAAACGACGATACAGCATTAAATTTGCATTGATAAAGAAATTGTAGAAACAGTGAATAGATAATAAGTTCGAAGACATGCAGGGTCGCCACAAGGGGGGGATACTGGGTCCCTGGTACCGGGGCCCGTGTTACCCGTGGAAAACCACTACGAATTCACATGCAACCCTTCTTTCGTAAGAAAAAGTAAAAAATTTACCCTACAAATTTCGCAAAAAGTGAATAGATTTTCAGAAACTTGCTGGGGCACTGTAGAATTCTTCTTAAATTTTCAAAGAAGTATACTTCTTGGAAAATTTCTATGTATTTTCAAGATTTCCAGTACAGAGAGATATTTTTAGTAACTGCGTTTCATTTACTTCCGTCGTCAGATGCTAAGAGTCTCCAGTCTGGGCATCCTCGACTTCAATGGCTCATGGGTCAACTCCCTTGCCATAGACAAACGAAGGGGGAGTCCAGGGGGGCCTGGCCCTCTTAGAACTGAAAATATTATCATATGCCCCCCCCAAAAAAAAAATAAAAGATAAAAATTTTCCAGATGTTTCGAATGTAACAATTCGCAAGTATTTCGTGCTGAAAGTAGAAAAAAAAACATAATCATTCCGCAGACATTGATAGAAAAATTCTTCATGGAAGCTTCAAAATGCGTCCGATTAGTCGTATAAATTTTTAAATTTTTCGGGGGATGCCCCTCGCCCCCCCCCCCCTCTCCGTGCTTGGGGCCCGGACCTTAAAACTGGTACCAGGGCCCGAGATGGGATGTGGCGGGCCTGAAGACATGCTGGGTAAAATTGATGAAACGGTTCATGCAGAGTGCAGACAAAAATATTCTAATAAAGATTCTACGGAAATTAAATGAAAACAAGAAGCAGAGGCCACGGCGAGTAAATTTTCACTCTTGAAAAGAAAACTTATATATTGGAGAAAATTTTTGACGCAAAGAGACGGCGTTTATTTTGCCGTTAGAGAATTGCACTGAGAAGCTTGAAAGGAAATAAGGGCAGATTTGCACTAACAAGCGAATAAGTTCTCACTTAAGAATGTGTAATAAAAAGGGGGAAAAGTTCTGATAAAAGAAGGTACCCGTATCAAAAGTCTAATACTGTACTGAACTAGGGGAAAAAACCGTCGATTCAAGATAATTAAGTTGAAATTTTAGTCTTTTGGAGGTTAAATTGGGCAGTTTTTGTAGAATTGCCCAGGTCTCAGTGCGCATTTGAACTATATTTTGTTAGAAAAAAATAGGAGCATGCCAATTTTGCTCAAACTGTGCAATTCCCTCACTGTGAAAAAAGAAAGAGGGATTTCGAAAGAATCTACAAGTATTTTCTCATGGTTTCAGTCACTTTAATTGATATTTTTATTTGTGCAGGAGAGTCTTGGAGGAAATTCGAGGACCTCTATGCTGGCTACCATCAGCCCTGCGAATATTCACTTGGAGGAGACGTTGGCTACTCTTCGCTATGCTTGCCAGGCCAAAAATATCGTTAACACTGTCAGAGTCAATGAGGACCCTAAGGACAGAATCATTCGGTGAGTAAAACCTACTCTTTCTCTAAGCCTTAAGCTTAAGGTGTATTTTTATGTGTGCGTCGATTTGCATTCTTAATAAAAACATGAATAAATTGAGGGGCTTGGAGAACAATGTGCGGTTCTTGAAAAATTGAGATATTAATGATTTCAAGTAAAACTAGTTTTAATGCATGTTTTGTGAAAAATTTGCTCCCAAATTCCAGTTTTTAAGCATCAAAAAGTCAGTTTGAACTTTCTTCCCATCATAATTATCCATGTAATTTCGAAACCTCAAACACATGTTTCTCGAAATGGCATAAACTGCACTTATGCGCCTTGTCCTCCAAGCCCTTCAATTATTATTTTTTGTTGTTGTAATGAAACAAGAGAAAAGATTGCATACATCATGTCTGAGAATATTTTGAAGGCAACAGAAACTGTGTCACTTTAAAACTTGTCAGTAGGTGCTCAGTTACGAAGATCAAACTAAAAAACGCTCTCTCAATGAGCATGTTTCAACATTTTTTCTCAGGTAATTCGATATGTCACTACAAGACCAACTGAAAATGAAGAAAATAATGAGCTCCTGCATGTGTCAGAAAGCGATTTATATACTGGTACTTTTGTAAATTTCGCGAAAAACACGATTGTGCTGAAGGTTTTTTTCTGAAATTAACTCCGAAGCCCAAAAAAAGCTCTCAAATTTGAGGCCATGATGGAGGGGATATCCAACGCTACCCTAAGACGCCACCTCTATATTAAGACACACTCTTTAGGGCATGGGTTCCAAGTTTTTGCCATGCATTCACCTTTTTTTCTCATCCTTTAATTACAAAATCGACCTTGTTGAAGCTTTTTTTTTTTTTTACTACTTCAAATAGCCCAAGAGGGCTAATCCTTGCGCCTATATAGATCCCCGAATAATAAGCAGCTTCTTACCACGTTACTTTTGTTTTGTTTTCAGAGAACTAAGGACGGAACTTCAAAAATACAAGTCATTTGGTTTATCTTCGGCCTCAGCAAATGAATCGTTGAAGGTTAGACTGCTCCAGGAAAAACTTTCCGCCACGCAAGACAAACTTGCCGCTCTTGAAAAGTGAGTACCTTTCTTGCTCAGTGACTCAGCGATGTAAAGGTTAAGTAAGGAGGCAATGCACGTTGCACATATGGTTGCGGAACCCCCATTTGAAGGAAATTTTTAATAAATAAAAATTCTATATCTGTATTTGTATCGTTACTTAAATCAAGCGTGCATTTCCTCCTCTGTCAGAGATGAAGGGAGTATTCGAAAATTTGCTCCTGCAATTTTTCTTCTTTATTGTCTATTCAAAACTCTTTCTCAAAAAATCGCAAGCAATAGAAAAAACAGATGATGAATCTAAAATTTAAGAAAATACATACTACTTTGATTCGAGTTCTTTAATCTTAGCCTCTAGTTATTAATATCGGGGTTTTTTTTTTCATTTTCTTCCTTCGCTTTCGGAATTGTTGTATTGCAGCATGTTAGTTCTTAAGTGAGCTCATGGTATTTCTGTGTGAGGAAATAAGATATTTTGATTTTTTTGTTCCCTCTGAATTTTGTTTCCTAAATGCGCATATCTACTTAACACCCATTAATTATTTTTATTTTAATGAGTTTTGGACATTTGTCTCATTTGAATAATCAGATTTTCTTCAAATTTTAACACTCTTTTTCGTTCGAATTTCCAGGTCGCGCAATGATCAAACTAAAGATTTGGAGCTAGCACAGAAGCTAGCAGATGAAAATCTCCTTGATATGCTCGCACAGAAAGAGCGAGCGATTCTCGACTTAGAACGGAATATTCTCGATTTGAATTCTGAAAATAAACGCCTTAAATCAAAATCAGAATCCTTGGAGAACGAGGTTGAAGAGTTGGGACGTGAGTTAGAAGAACTCAAATTGGACCTTGAAGAAAGTCACAATCTGCAGGAATTGCAAAGGATTGAAATCGACGAGTTACGGCTTGAGGTAAACGAACAAAAGCAGGATACAGCTGATCGCATGGAAGAAGTAAGTATCAATCAAGCATGAGCCATTCTCTTAGGAATCGATATAACTAACTCCCTACTCAAAGTTAGTAGCGAACTTTTATGCGTATACCTTTTTAGCCTAATGGCTTGAGCACCTGGTTAATAACCGTGGTGTCCAGGATTTGAAATCTGGTGGCGGTGTCTAATAGACATCTTGAAAGCATGGGTATGATGAACAGGTGACAGTTTATTGAAGTAATATTGATGGACAGCCCTACTAGATTGCCTTCTCAGCAGTAGTATAATTGATTCAACAACAATTTTTTATATTCTCTAGCATTCTACAGTCAGGGAACACCAGGAAATGTCAGGGAATTCCAAAAAGTCCGGGAAAATGTGGAAATGTCTAGAAAATTACGAAAGTGTTTGGGAAAAATTATTAAGTCACCTCTATTTGCTTCCTAGAATAGGTTCGATGTTTTGACAAAAAATTTTGCCCAAAAATTATTTAAAACTATCAGTTTAACCATCCGGCATATCTTCAATTGTCAGGGAATTTCATCAAAGTGTGTCAGGGAAATGTCAGGAAATTTGATTCTCTAAAGTCTGGGGTAACCTTGCTCTTCAGCAGTAGTAGGATTGGTTGAAGAGCAATCTCAGATCTTCTCTGGCATTCTTAATTGAATTTTCATGATGGTGTACACCGAACGTAATTTTATCTCATACCAGCGAATTTCCTCTTCAAAGATGTTTCATTTCTGTAAATTGTCATGGGAGATTGCAGTAGGTTTTGACTCCTACTATTATGCTGTTTTAATTCAATCAATTTTTTTTTTTTTATTCAAAATATAGAGAACTACAAAGTAATTCAATCAATGGCAGCATGAATCTTTTGAGTTTTTCCCCTTAATTCTCCTAGGATTTTTCTAAAAATTCTTCTTTGTATGCAACAAGATTCAATTATACTTACTACACTAATTGAGTGAAAGAACCACAATATATTTTATTTTAACAGAATTTAGACTGTTGAAAAGAAAGTCATGTGAAAAAATTATTTTTTTGTTTTTAAAAGGTTGAAGAACGGAGGAAAGAGGTTGAAGAACTGAAAGCAGACGTAGAAGAAAGAATGACCCATTTGAGCGAACAACAACGAGATATCGATGAACAGCGGTTCCAGTTGGACGAGGAACGTAAAGAACTGGAAGAACGTAAAGCAGGGTTGGAAGATATGAAACGAGAAATAGAAGATCAAAGGTTCTTTTTTCATTTTTATTTTATTTATTTATTTTTTCTTTTGTTAATTTTGCTTGTAAAGGATCATGTGTAAAAGAAAACCTCTCAAAACTTTTCAAATCCAAATTAATTTCATAAATAGAAACAAAAATTAAAAGTGCCATAATTTTACTAAGGAACTCTCTTAAATCAAGATAATGATTTCATTATCTTGATTTAAGAGAGTTCCTTGGTAAGTTCCTCGGATCAAGTTTTTGTAAATGCACTTTGAAGGAATGATCAAAATGGAGTGAATAAAATATGAAATCCACAGTTTTTGATGTCATAAATATCTTAGAAATAACATGGGAAAACCAGGAGACAAAGTGTTCTGCAATGCAGACTGTTAACGTTCTTACCTCATGGCCGAATTTCCTATTTGCTTCACAAAAGAAAGTTCAGTCCTACGGCAAAATGATTGATTGTTGCGTATAATGCATAGTTTGCTCTCTTTTTTTCTTCAAAGTAATGAATGGAGGGAAAAGGAGGATATTCTTTTAAAATTACCTCACATTTGCAGCATATTGCAAGTTCTGACATATTTTTACTTGGGGTAGAATCCAATTTGTTGTTCCTTCTTGTAAAAAAACCTGCTCATTTTCACCAGATTTTTCTTCAGAAACAGGTGAAATTCAAAGAATCAGGAAAGTCAAGAAATCTATAGCACAACTGGGCCATGTTAAGCAGAAAAGAAGGAAGCCACGTCAGCTATTGCTAAGTTTAATTGGGAAATTCAATTTTTTACATGAAAACGATTGTGCGGATTTCTATGCAAATTTCAGAAAATGTTTAACATGGTACAAAGCAAACCCGTTCAAATTTTTGAAGGAATCCGTACTAACATTCTCTTGTGAAAAATTAAATTGCCTAGTTAAATTTGGCAATAGCTGATGTGGCTTGGTTCCTTTCTGCTAAACGTGGTCCAACTGTAACTGTTTATTTTTTAAATTTAGTGATGTTTTTTGTAAAGTGTGTACAGTGGACTCTCAATAATTTGAAATTGAAGGGAATCGGCTTTTTCTTCGAATTAGCGAGGTTTCGAAATAAAGAGAGTTCGAATTAAAGAGATTCATTTGGAGAAATTTCGAATTAGAGAGGTTCAAATGTAGAGAGAAATGTAGTGTATGCAAATGGACGGATTTACGTCTAAAGGAACCAAAAATATCAGTTTATTTCTTTATGGAGGTAAAAATTACACTAAGTTATTATTAAGTATTAATTATTTATATTCAATTTTAAAACTATTAATTACATGTTTACATTTTGACAATCCTATCAGCTCTTTCAGACACCCAGGTACGTAAACAGTTGACTTCGAATTGTAGAGGGAATGTACCGTCTTATTTCGAATTATAGAGGGAGGACCATATTTACTTCCCACACTTCGAATTACAGAGAGAATTTTCGTTGCAATTTCGAATTATAGAGGGCCGCGCCAGCTTAAAAATTTCGAAATAACGAGGGGAGAAAAATGCATTGATTTTCTTCGAATTATCAAGAGATTTTCAAGGGAAACGGACTTTCCTTCGAATTAACGAGGTTTTCGAATTATCGAGGTTCGAACTATCGAGAGTCCACTGTATTGTGTTATTAAATTCTTACTCATAAACTTCTCCATTGTTTCAGATATCAAATAGAAGAAGAGAAAGCCAAACTTGAAGATGAGAAAATGAAACTTGAAGACCAGGCCAGTGATCTAGAAATGCAAAAGACCCTAGTAGAAGAACAACACAGATCTATGCTGAATCAGAAATTAGACATGAGCATTAATGGGTCGGAAAAAGAGCAACTAAAACAGGAGTTACATGAGCTGTATGCACAGGTGGAAGAACAAAAGAAGAAACTTGACGAACAGAAGGAAAAGCTTGAAGAGCAGAGAGAAAAACTTGGAGAGCAGAAACAAAAAATAGAAGAGCAGAAAGCAGAGCTGCGAAGAAAATCTGATACTTTCGAGCGCAATTTAGAAAAGTTGGAGAGCCAAAAGAAGGAATTGAAGCAGAAGTTTGATTCTGAAATGATGAAGAAACTTGATGAAATAAGGAAAGATAGCATGGACAGCAAGTCCGTGTTGATTAAGAAACTTGATGAAATGCGAAGAGATTATGAGGAGAGCAAGCAGAAATGTGAGATGTTCATGAAGAAGTATGAAGAAAAGGTACATAACTTATCATTCCCATGTCAAAGTACTGTGTTGTATCTGTAAAACAATTCCTTACTCCATGATTTTTTGTATTGCTTTCTTTTCAGTATTCTTAAGTCATGCAGGCACAAAAAATTTTCTCAGTTCCATTTGGAGCTGTGGAAATCCAAATGTAGCTCTGACATAGTGTTCTCAGGGAGCGGTGCTTGTATTGAAAATTCCCATGATGAAGAGAGGAATTTATGGCTCAAAAAAGAAGAGAGATGAGACAGCACAACTAACCTCCGCTTTACTGACCTAAATTTTATGAAACAGCCTCAGAGAAGCATGTTGTTTATAATTTTCTGAATCCCATGATGTAAGTACATAGCATTCCTTTTTTTTTTTTGAGGAGCATTCCATAAGATCATATTTAATGGAAGTCGTCAACATTCCTTGACTGCCAGACTCAGTGTGAAACTGTAACTCAAGATTTTTTGTTTTCATCTGTACAGAGTCATTCCCTTCAGCAGAATAATTCATCTACATTCCTCATAAATGCTCATGTGGTGTTTCTGTTTCATTTTTAGGTTGAGGAAATCGAAGAGATCAAGCTGTCAAATCAGATTGAACAGTGGAAGAAATGTGAGGCCCAGAAGGATGAGTTTTTAAAGATGCAACAGAAATACGAAACCGAAATTTCTCAAAAATTGGAAGAGCACCGCAGAGAAATTGAGAGCATTAAGCAAAAACATCAAGCAGAGCTGAACCGTAAACTTCAAGAAACAACAGAACAAGCAAAGCGTAACAGCGAAACTGATCTCTCCCGGAAACTTGAGACTGAAAGACAGCGCTTCGAGTTAGAATTGAAAAAACTCAATGCTACTTTGGTAAGTTCAGTTTATCATATGTTTCAAGTTTTTTTTTTTTTGTAAAACCACTCCATTGATTATTCAATCATTTCACAAGGCAAAGCTTTACCTGCTTACTTGGTTTTTTCTCTAAAGTTTGAAAGACGAAGAACCTTATTCTAAAAAAATGTGTGTTAAAAAATGTGAGCAGCAGCATGTATGCGATCTAAGTGATACTCCAGAATTAAAAATTTCCTAAGTTAACAGTAGCGTCTTCAAATTGTGGAAAATTCTGGAAATGTGATCCTGTGCAGGAAGGAGGATCTCAGTGATTGAAAACAAATTTTTATGGAGAGAGCTGTTTCTCAAGTCAAGTCAATGAAATGGAATTTCCGACAGAAAAGAGCTTGATGCAAAAACGGCTTTTTTCGCCCCCCTCTGGAATTTCTTCAGAAGAAACATATCGAGGTCCGGTTTGAACGAAAAATCATCTAAAATTGCATACTTTAAGATTCTAAAGGTCAAAATCCCGATATCACATTTTTAAGTCAACATATGTGCTTTTTTCCAGTTTTTAGGTCTAGAAAATTTCTTTTAAACGAAAAATTTACAAAGATCTCAATTTTTTATTTGAACTAAAACCAGTTTTTTAAATTGTTCGTCTTTTTTCGCATCCAACGAGTGGTCCATTAAGCTGGGGAACCAAACGGTTCCGGAGTTATGATTGGTTGAAGTTTCCGCTCAACGCGCGCCGACCGATTTTCGCGCGCAAAAAAGTCGGATTTCACTGTTGTTAAATCAGATTGAATGTTCAAACTGAGCAAAATGCATTATCAGGGACTCTTGAGGGTCGCTGAGTTCAGAAATCACAGATACTTCCAAAAAATTCACGTTTTTAAAATTACAGCTCCGTAGCGCTATTTTAGAGGCCCACTGAGCGCCGACCGGCCGCTCAGTGGTTCTGTACGGAGCTGTAATTTTAAAAACGTGAATTTTCTGGAAGTATCTGTGATTTCTGAACTCAGCGACCCTCAAGAGTCCCTGATAATGCATTTTGCTCAGTTTGAACATTCAATCTGATTTAACAACAGTGAAATCCGACTTTTTTGCGCGCGAAAATCGGTCGGCGCGCGTTGAGCGGAAACTTCAACCAATCATAACTCCGGAACCGTTTGGTTCCCCAGCTTAATGGACCACTCGTTGGATGCGAAAAAAGACGAACAATTTAAAAAACTGGTTTTGGTTCAAATAAAAAATTGAGATCTTTGTAAATTTTTCGTTTAAAAGAAATTTTCTAGACCTAAAAACTGGAAAAAAGCACATATGTTGACTTAAAAATGTGATATCGGGATTTTGACCTTTAGAATTTTAAAGTATGCAGTTTTATACGATTTTTCGTCCAAACCGGACCTCGATATGTTTCTTCGTTCGAGAGATATCGAGTTTCACAGGTTTTGACTTCCGCCCCCCCTAGCTCCCCCCATAAATTTTTTGGGGGTCTGAAAATTTGGGAAAAGAAGCGCTCAAGTATGAGTAATCAATAGACAAAGTCTGAAGAAATTCCAAAGGGGGGTGAAAAAAGCCGTTTTTGCATCAAGCTCTTTCTGCATGTAACTCCAAGAATGAGCACTGTATTCATAGTTGCTCCTCATTCTGCCTGTCTCCGTCGGGAGGTCTCACGTGGTTTCGTGATTGAGAGAGGTCTAAGGTGGCCTTGAACATCACATTATTGAAAGGAAAATTTTGTTAACGTCGTGCAAAATCCAATAATATTGATTTGGAGAAAGGCCTTCACAAGAAATTACAATAATGTGTTGCCGTACTGCAAAAAATATAAAATACCGAACAAAAAATACCATGATTTTGACTGTTAGATGGGAACAGAACTACCTTATATTTTTGGAATGCCTTCAAAAATTAAGGAAGGACTATGAAGAAAGTCCTTAGCTGTGAGTGATTCAGTGCCCTTAGAATCTGTAAAATGTGACCTCCAGCCTACACAATTGACAGTGAGCCCCAAACACTGCAGATGGAGACTTAAGATTTCTTTTTCTCACTGAAGCTTTTTTTGAACTGATTTAGCAACTTCGAACGTATTTCCAGTCTGACCATATCAGGACATTTTATGTGCTAAAATGTTCGTGAAATTCTCCTTGAATTAGAAATGCCAATTTTTTATTATTGAGTTTTTCTACTTTCAAATACCTTTTCGTTTGATTTTGTCAATTTATCTACACAAAACGTATGCATAGTAAACTATTACTTTAAAGCAGCTCAGGCTTAAACATTTTTATTTCCGATGTTTTTAACTCCGTTCAATTTATTTTAGGAAAAAGAAAACTCTAGATCCGATGCCTACCGGAAGGATGTGAAGAAATTACAAAGGCAAATTCAGCTTCTGCAAGTTGATCTTGAGAGTAAGACAAAACTGGCGAGAGAGCTCTCCAAATTCAACGATGAAGGTTTTGAGGACAATATAACCCAAGCTAATGATTACGAAAGTTTTTCAAAGGTATGCAGAAATGTATTAAATTCATTTTTTCAAATGCTCTTTTTAATCTACCCTCTGCTTCAAGCATTTTTAATCAGAACTTATTCAGTAAAAAAATTTGAGGAAAACCCAAAACCTCATGATTTAAGTGTCTTTTATTTTAATATCTCAAGCTTTGCATGACTTGTGAGGTCTTTATTTATGCAAGATAGAGGGTGAAGTTGGGAAAACATTCAAAAAACCTCCAAAACCAGGGTAAAAAAATATGGACCCTCTTCGCTGTTGGTTTTCTGACGTCAGGTTGCGTTTGTTGGAGTCATGAGCTGCACTGGATGCCACAAGAACATTTTGGGTGTCTATCAAACTAACATAACTTGCAACTTGTTAAAAAGGGAAACAAATTACACTTCTGAAGATGTTTGGCTTCTTCTGCTCACTCCTTTTCCACCTAATAAATTGAATTCATGATTTTGCTAGGATCCAGTTAAATTTTTATTAAAGCTTCAGGAAATGAATGGATTGCTAAAGCAGAGGTGGTTATTAAATATTATTTTTCCGGACCAAAGACTTCAGCTTTTTAAAATATTTCGAATAGAGATGGCTCTTCCAACCATCGCTCAACTGTATCTGTGAAAGGCTATTTTTCTTCTCTTTCCAGGGGAAAATTAATTTTAGGCACCAAATTACAGGGCTGAAAAATTTAAGTTCTCTTCCATTTTTAACCGTACTAAGAAAAACCATTGAAGGTTCCATTTCAGCCAAATATTGGAGAGAGGAGAGATCTGTTCAGAGGAGGCAAAATTTTCTGGGAAGGGGTAAACTCGTATGAATCCAAAAAAATATCCTTTGATTGGATCAAAGTTAATTAAAACTGAACGAAATGGTTCTAAAACAAAGGTCAACCTTCGAATATTGGGCATGCCTACAATCACCCTCTATTAGCGCCTTTAAAAACTATGGTAGTATTTAATTACAACAGCTGCTTACTTATGTACTATTATGTGCCATTGTTTTTTCATATTTTGTCTCTTTACAGGAAATAATACATAAATTTGAGCAGATAACTTCAGCAGTTACCAATTTTGCAAATGATATTTGTGATGACTCACCTGATGAGGAAATACTGAACATTTCATCTGTAAGTAATCCTTCAGATTTACTGCTTTTGCAATAGTAGTGACTCCTGGCTATGTTAGGCAGGATTTTAAATCAGTTCTGGGAGCATTCTCTAAACCTTTCCTCAGATCTCCTGAAATACATTGCAATGAGCCCCCAAACAAGGTTTAAATCCAAGTCCCGATACAGCACATTTTTTCTGCATAATTTCACCAAGAAAACAATTCTTACAATGGGAAGCCTGCAAAGCAACAATTAAATAAGATTTAAGTGTTTACAAGCAATATTTTGTCAAATGTAAGAAATATAAATGACTGTATCTGTGTAATGTAGCTTCCATTTGATCTATTTTAAAAAAATAAATAAATGAAATCTCAAATAAAATAAATTTGCTTCCCAAAAAACCTGTTTTTTGTTTTTTTTTTAAACTGTTTAAGGATTTTTGATTCGACATTTTTGGCACTAAATAATTTTTGACTTCACAACTTCCCCCGTGTAATCGGCAGGAATATGAGCGTAACATAGCCTGCAAATCAAATTTGGAGTATAAGAGTGTTCTCTATCAAATACTTAAGTTTAGATTCATCAGTCCAATTTGACAAAGAAAGGGTCCGGTCTCTATGATTTTTAAATTTTTCAATTCCCTGACTTTCCTTGACCTTTGATCAAAACCTCTGAATTTGCTCTTTTAATTACGCTGACTTCGCTAATCTGTGGACAAAGTATCCTCTTCTAGAAATTCAAATTTAAGAAAAAGGCAATATTAAGTCGTACTCGCTCTCTTAAATGGCATCAGCTAAGGTTACTGAACTGATGTGCTGATCGCAAAATGCTCCGATTTTTCCAGCTTGCCTTATTTTCCCTGCCTTCCCAGATTTTCTGAACCACCAGAAATCCTGCGAAGTTTCCCTTCCTAACAAAACCTCTGTCCATTAATTTCTCTTCTTGTGGGCGGTGACAAATTCTTTCACATTGTCGAAAATCATAATTTCTAAAATTTGAATTCACTGTTCCAGGTGAAAACTCCAACCTCTGACAAAGAATGGTTAGAGAATATTAATTTAAAGACTTCCCGACGAAGCTCCATCTCTGCAAACATGAGATCACCTACAAGGGTTACCATCCGCACTCTTCCCAGTAAGAAAACAGTCCGCTTTCAAGATGTTTCAAAATCATAGTGCTTATTACTGTGCAACACAGTATGTGAATAAGTTGTAATTTTCTTTGTGTGTTGAAAATGTCTATTGTTTGTTAAGTTGTTGAAATTTTGAAAATCCATGTTATTTAGAACGTCATAACTGAAGACGTTAACTTCTTTGGAGTTTTTTATGTCTTTGTATAACATCAAGTGCGTCCTCATAATAAAAGACAGTCTCAATAAGCTCTTATGAATCAGTTTATTGAGAATTTATATGTGAGGAGCAAGCTTTACAGTGCCTTCCATACCATCTAAGGTCATTTATGGGTTGACCTTAAAAAAAAAGGTCGGATGTTTCAATTAGGGTGAGTAGTAAATGGTTGTATGTATTCTCAATGTTGAGAAAATTATAAGTCATATTAAGTTGGATCGAGGGCTCCTGTCTTAGACATCGATTAAAAATTATGTTAACTGATAAAAGGATAATTTAGACTGAAAGGACTAAAAATTGATGCTATTCAAGTTGAAAAGATTCAATTTTGGATCGCAACAGGGGTGAACAACATCGTACACTTGCTAATTCGTTACTTTAACTCTGTAGAAAATCTGATTCTTTAATGTGATTTTTGGAAAAATGAACATGAGAGTTTTTTTACAGCAAAAAATCGCCAAAGCTCAATTTTAAATTGATTAACAATCACAGTTGAAAGAGGTTTTGACAAATAAAACCATTAAACTGTGCGGTTTTTTTGCAGAAAATTTGACAGCATGAAAATGATGTTTCAAATTCACAATCTATTTTTTAGAGTGGAAAAAATTTTATTTTTACACTATTAAATGCTTTCCTTTCCTTTCGTTTTTTTTTTTTTTTTTTTTTTTTTTTTTTTTTTTTGAAACAAAAGTTACCTGAAGGACATGGGCACAGTTTTTGGTCCTCATCAGTTATGCTTCATTTTTTGTTCTGTAGTCATGATTCATGCATTTAGCCCTTTTGTAATCATTTGTTTGTTTAAGTTACTCATTATTCATTATTTGCTAAGACAATGGTCTGTTAGTTGAAGTATCTATTGAATAATATCATTCTGTCAATATGTATTTGGTCAGTATTTTTTCGAGTCCAATTTATTTTTAATTTAATCTAGCTAGTAATAATCATTGCCGAAAATATTTGAATGAGTCTATTACAAGAATGGAAACATTAAGTGTATGAGAACAGTATATCTATGGTTAAATGCAAGAAATGCGTATCGCAATTATTAATGATCTCCAGTAGTGTTTTATTTTCCTCAAAGAAAACTGATCAAAATGTTTCCTTGCAATTTTGTGTGATTTTTCTAGAGTGAGCGAAGGACATTCACCAACAATTTCAAGAAAAATTGTTTGTTAGTTCTCCTTTGATAAAATGAATTAGTCAGCAGAGATTTACAACAATGTAATTTAAGATGCAGTTTTTTTTTAAACCATCCATTTTGTGAAGATTTCAATCAAACAAAAATCATCTTTATAAAAAATTATGAAGACTTTTTTCATAGAACTTAGAATAAAGAACTAGCAGATGTGTAAATTGTAATTTGTTTCGGCCAGAAACTGCAAATATTTTCAATGTTTATGTAAATTAAGAAATAGTTCGCAAATTTTTTGAAATCCAAGAGTTCCTCCAGTGTTTTCGATAGTCATTTATAATACTTTTGCAGAGAAATTGTGTTGAAAACGTTTAGAGAAACACTATGCATTTGAAAAGATACCGAGTTTCAATGGTCAACATCTCGATAAACACCATGAAATTGTTTGTTGAGATATTTTTGTACCTTGTCTGATTTTCAGGATTCATGAAGAGTATACAGGGTGATCCACACAACCCCGGGGTTTTTGCCCCTTTTTAGGTCTCCCTGGAATTTGGGGGGATGGGTGCCAAAAACAGTTTCCTTTGATCTAGGAGCACTCACAAAATTTCAAGTCTCTATATTAATTTGATCAAAAGTTACAGGATTGATGCCTGGGGCTGGTTGTGCAGGACTTTTAGATCACCTTGTATCTTTTAGTTGCCGTAAATTCGGATGCGTTTTTAGACTCATGCATTTCCCCAACCTATATTCATTGACAGGAGCATTGCATATCCTAAAGATGTATTAAGACCAGGGTTGCCACATGTAGGGAAAACCAGAAAATGCCAGGGAATTTTAATATTTATAAAGAACCAAGTTACACCCAGGGAAAATTCTCAAATCATCTTCATTTGCTTTTCTAAATATGTTTGATGTTTCAAACTGAACACATTGCATGCTGGGGTTTGGAAGTGACAATTTTCGTTTCTTTCTAATTTTCCCCCAAAACCCCAAATCTCAGGGAATTTTACCGAAAGCTGTCAGGGAATTCCATTTTCTGAATTCTGTGGCAACCCTGTAGAACAAGTAATTTTACATGATTGTACGCTGCAAATTTTTAGTATTACGTATTGTGTTCTTCTTGTAAAATGACAGGTGATAGATGCTCATTCCAGACTATTTTGTGAATATTTGTATTTTGGTAAATTTTTATGTACATAAATAAAACTTTTCATTTTTTTATAGAAAAATGTCATTAGTTTTTCCTTGATCTTCGAATTTAAAAGGTCATTTGTCTTATTCTTGGCATTGAAGCATTAAGAAAGAGAAAAATGCTCAGCTTGGTTTCCCTCAGTCGAATTCCTGCGAGAGCATTTAGTTAAGATTTTGATTTACTGCCAATTTCCATTACTACAAAACTAAGTTCCCTCCAGGCGACAGTGCGCCTACAACATTTGGTTTTCATGCTATCAGCATTGACGGCCACAAAGTGGATGGATGCAAACGTTGGCTAAAATTCATCAAGTAACTGAGATAAGTTCTTGAATTCAGCAGAGCTTTTTTTCTTCTTTGGGTTGCAACCCTACAGTCTGGTCGAAAAAGTTGACCAAATCCACTCGCTGAAATTTGCATCCAACAATGATGAAAACTGAATGTTACCTTCAAGGGATAAGGAAAATCAATTTTCACATCACGGTTCAAGATTTGTCTTATCAAAGAAAACTGAGACAATTTTAACTTAATAAGTGTATTTTTTCTTTAAATTGTAGAAAAACAGGTAACAAAAATGCACTACATATGTTGACTTAAATTATTTCTGTACTGATGAGAATGCAAGAAAATTCAATCAAAATAATCATCAATGTCAATATCTGGGTTGAGAAGGTCCTCTCCAAAGTCTGTTAAATCAAGCTGATTCAAGATCAGATTTTCGCACATTTCCTCAAGATCCGTCTCACCAATCAGGACAGCTCCTTGCATCCTACCATTTTTTAAGATTAACTTAACATACTCAAGGTCTTTTGTTACTCTAAGCAAAATTTCGTAGTTATTATCCAGTTTCTGACCATTAAAAAGACCCAAGAGAACAACTTTAAACCCAAAAAACTTAGTAACATGACTAAACAGTTCAAAGCAGAAATCTTGTAGAACCTCTTCATTCTTTGTTGCAGCAACCATGCACTTAGCAGCATACATACCCATTTGTCGAGCCTGCGTCCACAGCCGCATTTGAAACCAGTGATCAGCAAGTTCCCAAGAGGCACCACAGACATCACCTGATGCATAGATATCCTCTACATTTGTTTCCATCAACCAGTTGACACTGATGCCCAGATCATTGTTCAACTGAAATTTTTTATCTTCAAGGTGAATTCCAGAATTTGGGATGACACCTGTTGCAGAGACCACAAAGTCGCATAGGAACCTCTTTCCATTGGTGAGCTCTACGCACGTACACCAGCCTTCCTCGCTAACTTTTGAAACTGATTTCACCTCACTCGTATATTCGATTGTTACTTTGGAGTCGGATTTTCCAATGAGATCGATATTTGAGTGCCAATCGGGACCCAGTGCTGCTCCTGGGTGGTTTGCATTTTCACCTGAGACAGAATACTTGAGACGTTTTACAATCTGAGGCTCAGATTCAACTTGATTTTTTTTTAGCTTTTCTTGAAAAAACTCGGCAGCACCAGGATCAATGAACGTAGCGGAGATGTGCTTGTCTTTGATAACCCAAATTATCTCAACGTTTTCAACCTTATGGACTATTTCTGTAGCAATGCCGCCATTTCCAACTAGAACGATCTTCCGAGCATTTTTTATTCTTGACTGGAAGTCTTTCACAGAATCTGTGTCTCTAATACCAATAATGTTTTCTGTTTCACCCGGTATGACTTTAGGGGAAGCACCAGTGCAAATACATAATTTCTTGTACTGCAACATTAAACCAGACGCAGTTTTGACCTCTTTATTGGTTGAATTAATGGAAATCAATTCATCTTGTATGATTTTCAGGGATGGATTATTGGCAAGGAGGTACTCAGCTTTCTGTTCCTTCACATCAAATTGTGTTAGGACTTTGGAGAGGTTGATTATATTTGCAACACACTTGACCAGAGGTGATGCAGTGATCAAGATAATCGGTTCATCAGGATCCAGAAACGAAATGCTTTCAACGCATGACACACCAGCTATCCCACCTCCTACTACAATGTACGTAGCAGCCAGTTTTTCACTTGAAATGCAAGTCTTTTGGGATGTAGTCTTTGTAGTCGTATTTTCTGAGAGGTAAATCAAACGTGATTGTTCCATAATCCTTTGCCTTTTCGATTGCTGCGAGCAAACTTTGGTATTGACGAGCGCAAAGTCCAGTTTTCCTGGAATAAAGAGGAAAACATAATGGAATATAAAAATTTAGGGTCTCTTTCTTTTCTATAAATATTTGAAACATTGAAATTTTTCATGAGTTATGTTTAGAAAAATCAACCTGATATTGGCTTTTTGTTAGGGGGAGGGGGGAGGGAAGCCTGGCAAAGATGCAGAAGTGCTTAGCCTCCCTGGTTGCATTGACTGTTTTCAGAACTTCAAAATGACTTAGAAATTTTTTTAATATAAACTAGTGAGAAAATTCTTCATTCTTTTCAAGTAAAATTTAGGTAAATTTAACGTTAAAAAAAGTTTTGAAAAAAATTGGGGACAAAATGTGGTTTAACTTCTACAAATCTCTCATTCTGAATTGATGTTAAACATAAAATAAACTGCAAAATGCCTAACACAGAAAACTAACATGTTATGTGAAATTTCGGTAAAATATTTGTTAAATTTACTTAAAGAAAAAGTGTTGAAAAACTTGTAAGTGCAAGGAGGCATTTTACGTAAAAAAGAACAAAAAGAGTTTTCTAACTCGGATACTTAACCTAAGTAGGTAACAGGTTTTTTCACAGTTTTCTCTTTAAAAGTACCTGATGAGTTTTTCAGATTTTTAATCAGACGATGATACAAAGGTGCAGAATCTTCCAAACCTCCAAGCATTTTTGGCACCCCTGCAATGCTAAAGGGGGCTTCTTCCTAAAAAATCTCGACATTATTATGTACCGTCTTTACTCTTAATGTACCTTTTGCCTTGAGTTGGAGAAAAATTAGTGATTTTTACTCTGATTTTGCAGAAAAACTTAATTTTTTTGACTAACACTTGCTCATTTCCCATTTTATCTTGTGACCAATCGAAACTCGCCAGCCGTTTGGCAAAGAAGTTTCTGCACCCTTAGAAGCCGTGACCTATTTGAACAAGTGTTCACCCCTAAATCTAAATTAGTTAAACGCTGAAACAAATATTGATTGTATACTCACACCACTGATATAACTTGTCCAGATTGCTTATCAATGAATTGCTTCAGCAGTTCAACATTTGTGTAGTGGAGAACCAAGTATTCGTCTCGGCAAATGGGACAAGGATTTCCACTTATAATAATACCTGCCGACTGTAAACACAAAAAACTTCTCAGTGAGTTCAAAAACTTTGCATAGATTACATAAAGCTGAGAGTAATTGAAAAAGAAAGAGTTGTTAATGCCTTGTTAAACTCAGCACGCTGCATAATTGAAAATTAGATGATGAAGTCACGAGAATGAAAGAAACATTGACATTCAAACCCACACAGGCCGACGGCGTATTGATTGCAGAAAACTATGTCGAAATAATAACCAAGCAAAAAAGTCAGCAATTCGGCTGCACTCAGTGCTCTTTGCAGGGGCAGACTGAGAACCCAGACTTCGCAACTTTGAGGGGCAAAAAAATAACTGGGAATATAGGCCCATCAGTGCATAATCCAGCCCATTTTAGTTGGTTTTCGCATTGTGAAGGGATTAACTAGTCCAAAATTACCCTAAATATTAACCAGCCACCAGGATTTCCCCTCATACAGTGTTCATCCTTAGTCCAGTAGGGTAGACCCATAGAGAAAAAAAGGAGGTGTTTGCATCTTGAGGATTGTGAACCCTGTGATGTAGGTCGGTACAACCTGTTCAGCAAAATCCGGAATTCGAAATATGAAAAACGGACCACAACGTCCACTTTTTTTGCTTCAATCAACTTATGATATAATTTCAAACACTTCATGTAGTATGCATTTTTTCCATAAACTACACCATTTCCACAAAAATCGATGATAAAAATCGCCGCACCGATCTACGTCATCAAAAAAACTCCGAGATACCCAAAATGCAAACACCTCCTTTTTTTTCTCTATGGGGTAGACCTTGCTGTACAATAACAAATAAAATTGCTATCCCATGAGAATTTACTTACAATACAAGTCTGTTTGGGCGGAGGTGGAATCAATCCTTTATGATTTCTTCGATAAAAAAACCAAACAGGTTTGTCTTCGTAAGCTTCTCTGTAAGCTAAAAAAAAAAAAAAAAAAATAGTTAAAAATTTAAATACTCGGACTGCTATTCACTGGTGAATCGTTCGGGGAGAAAATATAATGAAGTAAAATCTTCAGGGATGATCTAAAAATAGCAAACCTGACTTTAAATTATAGGGATCTTGTCAGATGAAATATAAAAGTAATGGGATTAGAATGATTGCTACTGATTTTTTCCTTGCTGCTGTCGAAGAGACTAACTAAAAAATAAGGAATACCCTGTATTTTCATTGGAGGTACACGTAAATCGGTCTCAAACCTACACGCCTTTTCAAAACACTTAAATAGCATTCCCTCAGAACTGCCCATTTAAGGTGAATCTTCAGCTGTAGTTCCGGAAAAATCTACCATGTTGCACTGCTAAAATCCGGCTCCGAAATCAGTAATTATTTAAGTAACACGATAGATGAATTAAATTCTAAGACTCATAAGTTCTAGCGGCATACGTCTGGAATGCTTAGAAACAAACGTGAGCTTTGAAAGTTTAATAATAAAAGCTATAACTTGATCCCAGTTTCTCTTATGGGATATCTGTAAGTGCGAGAGAGATAGCTCAAGGTGGGAGCGAGATATCTGCAACTGCTGAGAGCAATTGGTTGCATCAAGGTCATCATGCTTCACCCTACTTTTTTCTCGGATCAAGTTTCAGAGCTTCAGAAATTACTTTTCTTGTCTTTTTTAGTGTCAATAGGAGGAAGAATGTTGTGGCTAGAACTTATGACTCTTCGATTTTAACAGAAATTCCTTAAACTTTCATAAAAGCTCAAGGACTCACCAGGGCTGCATGGACTCTAATGGCGTGGACCAAAAAATCAAAACGCAGCGGTGGCGCTCCCTGCGCAGAAAAAATTCTTACTACACACCGCTGTAGATTCACCTTAAAGCTATGAGTACTTAAGGTGGGCTAAAAAATTGAATACATTAAGCATTAAACATTAAACATTAAGAATGACAAAGGCTGATTTTAAGATACATATGCAACGAACAGAAAGAAGCAATTAATTCATAATTAGTAACCAAAGTGTGGAGCGAGATTTACACCATTGATAAAAAAACATTACCTTTACTCTTCAAATATCTGATGCTTGTTTCGACCGGAATCGGAACCCTCCTATCTTTGGCAGGGTCAACTTGACGTTCTTCGCCGTCCTGTCTCACCCTAGGAGATAGGGAAAATTTCCTGATGTGGCTGCTGTGTAGAAACTAAAAAAAGAAATTTAACAATTTTTAGACACATGTGAAGCACACTACAGTTTTAGTAAAAGAATACTGAAGTTAGTTTCAGGGAAATGATAAACAGCACTTGTGGTTATAGTAGGGTGATGTATTTGCCAATTCTCAATCTCTGCTTTTAAAGTTTGATAATTACAGACAATTTTTCGTTTTTGGAACGACGATGCATCAAAAACAATCTAATTTACATTCGTTAAATTATCATGTATCTATGGTGAAAGGTTTCACACTCCCTTTAAGGTTTCTTTACAGAATGCAGCGGGATTGAGACCGTAAATAGTTCCTCTTGAGGAAAAAGTGCTCTTGAGATTATAAACGAACACCTTCGGTGGATAATCCAGGAGCTACGACAGCTTCAGTACGTAGATTCTATGGAGGGGGATCACCATGATTTCTTTTTTTACCAATTTCAAAAAGCCTTTGGCTGATCCCACGCTTATTACCCCAGCCCCAGGTGATTATTGCCTGAGACCATCAAACTCAGATCACCTGGCCAGGAATCGAGCCCGGGACCTCTTGGTCATAGGGCCAGCGCTACAACCACTACACCACAAGAGGCCGACTAAGATTAGAGAAAGCGGCGAATCAGGATTTGATCAGCTAAAACCATAATGTAGGGATGTTCAAACAAATTCTTGCTGGAACGCTAGCGGTATTGTTTCTTTCTGAGACTGGTGGCAGTACCAACAGTGGCAATGATATCGTCAACGGCCCGCCTTATCAGAGTTTTGAGAGCTCACACTCAATGCATTGTTGCCCCGTGTGTCGGTTTGTCAGATTGCCTGGCGCGGCGGCACATAAAATAGGTGTACAAATGGCAACAGCTCATTTTCGTCAGCTCCGAAAACTCAGATCACTATCGGTAAGAGCGCTCGTATCGTAACTTTTTCTTGACAGAACTGGTTCGGTAGCTTACCGACAACCGATAGAACAGCCCTACCATAATGTAATTCTCAAACATGGAATTCAATCAATGTAGAAAAGTAATCTACTTTTAGAACTTTGAGGGTATGTAGGATGCATACCTGAGGCGATGTCAGAGACTTGAGATGCTCTGTGGGCAGCGCTCGAGGCACGCGTTGATAAGCACCGATTATACAATGCTGTAGACCTAATTTTATTAACTTACTGGCCATAATACTTGAGTTAATTCATAAAACACTTGAAGCAGTCCGGCTAAATATTCGGATGCACACACTCACACTTTGGTGTTTTCTTCATGCGCGCAACTAACCTCAAAATCATAACACACTCTTTCAGTGATGTTAATTTACAGAATCTAAATAAACCTAAAAAAATCCTAACTAAATCTTTTCTGAGTTTTTAAATCGAGCAAAATATATGCATTATAAATTTTAATTTTAACTTTTTGATTTTGATTCGTTCTGACATGATTTTCAACTTTTAATCCTCCAAAATTGGATTACTGGGCTAATCAGATGAGCGATATGATTCTAGTGTAAAAATGAAATGTTGGCAGACACTGAACTGTTATAAAAACAAAATTTGGAATTTGGGCACCGACCGAGTGTTATATAACAAAATTTTTGTCTAGCTGCATACCTCGAAAGCAGTCTTCTGGAGGTGTAGACGGTAAAGATTCGCGTGACATTGTTCGGAATCAAGTCTTATTTACGAGAACTTATGTAAGTGAAACGTGCTGTATTTCCCACGGTAAATTATGATTTGCTAAGGCTTTAGGAAAATCCTGCACAACTTCTAAACCAGGTAAATTTCTCATCAACTCATGTGCTCTGGTTTTGCAGTTATCTGATTATGTAAAATGTATGTCAAGTTCTCATATTCTCTGCCACCTAACCTTATGCCAGAGTTCTCATTTTCTAATACATTTTATCTTTTTGTGTTGCGCAGCTCGACCAAAAGAGGTCCAATCGACACCGTATGACAATGGAGAGCTATCAAAGTTTTCGAGACAGTTACAACTCTGTGACTAACAATGGTGCTCACATATCAAACGTTTCAAAGATACCTTTGGTTTTATCATGGCACAATCTAACAGTATCAGTCCCCAAGACAGAAAATGGGAAAGGCTTTTGGGGCAGTCAAGTCGTCTCAAAATCAAATGTCCTCAATAAAGGTAAGCTAGTTCATGGAGAGACTTGTGATATGTTTCACGCACATGCCATGTGGTTTTTTACTTAATTTCTGTTGTCACTTAAGTCCTTTTGTAATTTTCCTATGTATCTTCAAGAATGTTCCCTTCAATGCCCCTAAGTTTGTCCGCTTGCTGGCTGAAGCACTTAGCTTGCACACGGTGTGTAGAACTATCTGCACAGGCACGAACATCCTTGAAATTGCCCCTGATGGGTTATATCACAATGCCAGTGGTGCAGTGTATCATTTGACATAGCAATTAAGTTGGTGAATTATAATATAGCCTCCTCCAACTCCATAGAGATCATTTCATGCGGATTCTGAATTGTTGAATATTGAACCGTGATCTCCACCGGAAAGGGACGTCGCAAATACTAGTAGCAGCTGGCTGGGAATTTTTGAAATTTTACTTCAGGTCAGCAAATCATTCAAACTTAAGGCTGGAGAAAACCTATGTCTGACCCCCATCTCCAAATGAATTCACACCTTATAACTGTACTTACAAGGAATTATTCGCAAGATGACTTTTGACATGGTTAATTTTACATGGCAGATAATCAGGTTTATTTAAGTATAGGTATTAGTCACTCCCCCTATTGAATCGATTCAATGATCCAAAAAAAATCCTCTCTCTATCCTTTTCCTAAAAATAAATTCATAATTATTGATAAATCAAATGGTTTTATTATTAATTTTTTCCAGTATTTAACTAATTTACTTTTTCTAATTTTTACTGTATTGATTGTTCCTGTCTTTGTTATATGCTGGTATCCATATAATGTGAGATCTTTGTACCTATACTGTGTATGGTGTGAAGTCTCATTCATCACCCTGCAAAAAGTTTCACCCATTCTGAAAATTACAAACAAGGTGAGAATTGACTAAAACTTTCCCATGTGTGTTTATATTCCTACAGTAAAATTAGGGAAAAGTCGACTGAGAACTCAGAATCAGTTTATAGCTATCATTCCAAGGAGTCATTTTTTACTTTGGGCTGACCTGCAGGCTGATTGTTGAAATTGATAGACTAAGTGATAAACGAAAGAGATTTAGAGAGTATGGAGCGATCCTATTGGTTGAAATGGGTGGTTCTCATAGACTAATGGGGAAAATGATGGACTAACTATAGGGTCTCAGGTGGGTTGCCCTTAGTTAGTCTATTACCTACCCTCTTCGTCCATTGTAACCACCTGCTTCCACCACTAGGACCCCTCCATATCCCTTTTGTCTTTTTAGTCTATGGTTTGTCTATCAATTTCAACAAACAGCCTGCTGCTCTCTGGTATTGAAACTGTAAGTGTGCGAGACCTATTGATCTGCATTTACCTATCCTCCTTTTTAATAGATTTTCATTTTTCTCTTTTAGTAAGTGGATGCATTGAAGGTGGAACTTTGATGGCTATTATGGGACCGAGGTATGTTTTCTGTCTTTTAACTTTTAACTCCCTTGTTTTGTCATATCTGCTTTCTATAGTCGGTGGAAACACAGAAACCCATCTTCATAGCAGGGGTGCAGAAAATGCTCGAAAATGTGGGCAGGCCCACACAAATGTGGAATAAAGGAAACTTTTTTAGGGTCCAAAGTCGAAAATCAAGGGACAGAAGAGGGAAAAGGTCCTCACTTTTGAGATCGGTAAGAAATTTTGTTGAAAACCAATGAGATAAATGTGGGAAGCCGATGGGCCGGCACTTGAAAACTTGGAAGCTTGGAAGACTTAGCACCCCTGCTTTATAGTCACTAAATGGAAAGTAGATTATTCACTCTTTTAGGTATTTTCTATGCTTTCTGTTCGCTCATCATTTGAACGAGGTACTGTTTTTAACTTACGATAAAAAAGACATACTTAAGTTCCAACGATCTCCTCATGCAGGTAAATACTTGAATGACTGAGTCAGAAACAGTTCCTTATCGCGATGTACAGACCATTTGTTGCTTCAAGTGAAACTATCTGGATATTAATATCAAATCTGGCAAAAGTTAGCGGATAATTGCTCTAATAATAACTTCACCCTCTACATGTGTAACGGTAATACTCCCTCACATAAGAAAATGAATTTTGCTGTTTTAGAAGTAGGCTCTAGCCATTTCTAGGAGATAAAAATTCTCAAGTTTGATTAACTGTCCAATAAGTGTGATTTTTACAAAATTGTTGATCTTTGGCTATTTTCTTCTTCACTAGTTAATGCATAGTCTACCTATTAATTATTTAATTTTATGTATCCTGAGATTTCTCAGTCCATGATCAAACTCTTTATTGTCATGTCCAAGTCTCAAGGTCTATATGAAATTATATTCTTTATCATAGTGTATAGTAAAATGGAAGTTTTTCAGCCTAATTTCATTAATATTTCTCTGCTTATTATTTCCAAACATTGTGCCAACCCAACCTAAAAGTAACTTTTATCATATTAAAATTATCGTAATTTATTTTTAATTTTACTATTTGTTCCAGTGGCTGCGGTAAAACAACTTTGCTTGCAACAATAAGCAAGCGAGTCCAAGGTACTTAAATTTTTAAAACTTTTTCATCCAAAAGTATGAATGTGTTCAATTGTTATGCCGAGGCTAAAGTTTGTCATGGAAAATGAGAGGGCTTGAAATATTTTTTTCTTTTCAGCCGAGCAGCAATGTTATCTTGACTTTTGTCGAATAGTGCATTACTCATACCTACTTGTCTGGCAAGAAGGTGGGAAATCTGATGTCTGCATTAGAAGTGTCTAATAGCAATGACAAGCCTGTGTTGTTGAACTTTTGAGTTTGTCTACCGGATGAGACAAGATTATGTAGAATGAATTTATATGATCGGTTGGTTTTGTAAGTCATTTTCTTTGTCCAGCCCACATTGTGTAGATTTGATGACAATGTATCGGCAACTTTAGAGGTGCTTTCAGCTTCTCATTGATTTCATCCTTTACTGGGACACTAAAGAGAACAACTAACAAAACCGATGAATTGCGTACTTTCTCCTTAATGTTGTCTTCTCCGGTCAATTAAACTGAAATTTCAATGATCAGGCTGCTGAACTCTCAAACCACTGTAAACTTTAAATTTTAACCTGTAACTCAAGTATTATCATTTGATGTAAATAAGGGACTAGTCTGTTATTTCCTGTAACTACTTTATTTGTAATTTAAAATAATTGTGTATATTTCTACTGTAGAAGGTTACAATAAATATAACTCCTAAAAAATAAAAACTTTCAAAGCTTAAAACTTTTCAAAACTTTTAAACTTACTGCAGAAGCTCTTCTAAGCTGCAGATTGCATATATCAACAAGCAGCAATTTTACTTATTTTATCATTTCAACCCATTGCCTCATCTTACTCAACTTGCGTTTTGAATGTTAGTCCCCTTGAAAAGTTGAAGAAACGATCAAATCTATCCATCAATCCATTCAATTTTAATTTATTTCACTGTGATCAAAATATTGGAATAATTGATTGAAAGTTTCTTTTCATTTCAGGTAATGTCACTGGAGAAATTCTACTGAATGGCAGCAGTATATCTGTCGAGCTAATGAATAAAATCTCTGGTTTTGTCCCACAACAGGATTTATGCATTGAAACCCTGACGGTTGTTGAGCATATGCAATTAATGGTTTGTATTGACTTCCATTCATTACTTTATTTTATTACAAATTTCTAATTTACTGAAAGTACTTTTTCATTTTCTCCTTGTTGCAATCGTATTTTTGTGCAAAGCGTAATCTTTCGGATGTTTTCAATTCGCCATATGTGACTGAATATTTTCTTACTTTGCAATATAAAAAAAATATTTTAACAACCCAAATGTAAAGTAAAATGATCCTTCTTTTCCTAGGTACAAGTAATTGAAAAATTTTATTGTTTCCAGGACTCTCTCGTGATCTTTAAGAAACAATATACTGCAAATTGATTAGATTAGTATAGCAATCAATATTCTTAAAAATTGATTTATTCCAGGCAAAATTGAAAATGGACCGTAGACTTCGAGCTGCTCAAAGAACTCGCAAAATTACCTCTCTCATAACAGAGCTCGGATTGACCAAGTGCAGTTACACTCAACTGTCTGCATTATCAGGAGGTGAAAGAAGAAGAGTAGCTCTCGCAGTTCAGGTATACCTCTTCTAAATTGTTTGGTTTGTAAGCATTTACCCATGAAATTACAAGTAATATTTTATTTCTCCTTAAATCAATCGTTAAAATTCATGCGATGAGGTCGTCTCAAATTAGTTACAGGAGGCAAACTCGATAGCTGAGAAACTAAAAAGTAAATGTGAAAAAGGTGCTCGGAAAGGACCGATCTCCCTCTAATTTTCTAAAACTGTCACACACTAAAACCTGAAATTGCTCCTTTATACTAGTGTGTTGGGATCCACGGGCATACGAGTGGACAAATGCAATGAAAGTGTCAACTTAGGAGAAAGGGCGTGTTTTGAAATGTTTTCGACCCAAATTCCCTCCAGATGTGAACTAATATTCAGCATATTATTTCCTTCTTCAAAATGTGCCTTTCCTAATAATCTCAGGGCCATGATCAATTCAAACTTGCAATAATAGTGGTTAGATGATTGGAGAAGTGGTATTAATGCAAGCTCAAACCAACAGCAGCCATCAGACATTCAAATATTAAATGCTCCGAGGAGAAAAATATTTTTCAAAATGACATTCTTCCATTCTAGCTACGCCTCATGGTATTTTTTTCTTGGAATGAATGGTATTTTAACATTTGAAACGGTAGCATATAAGCTTACTCACTTTTGTAGCCTATTTTAACTTACTTCTCCTTTAAATTTTTTTTCACTTATCAGCAAAAACTCTTGAATTATTTTATTTTTTCTGTTTTATTCTTCTTTCTTTCTATACCATGTTCCTGACGCATGTCTAAAAATCTTGAAAATTAAGTCCAAGTTTTTTTCTTTCTCCAAAGTTTATATTGTTATTATTATCCTAGAAAAGAAAAGAAAATTAGTAAATCAGAAAATTTTGGAACACAGAAAATAAGTATCCAAAAAATTACAGCTCCAAGAAAGAACTGTAGCTAACCTTCTCTACTTAATTTTCAGTTAATCACTGACCCGGCAATTCTGTTCTGTGATGAGCCAACCACAGGATTAGACAGTTATAGTGCTTGCGTCGTCGTCGAAAAGCTACGAGAACTGGCCACTCGAGGCAAAGCGGTTGTTTGTTCAATCCATCAGCCAGCCTCTGGAATATTTGATCTCTTTCACTCAGTTTTATTCCTGGTTCCTGGCGGGAAAATTGCTTACAATGGACCTGTTGATAAAGCAGTACAGTATTTCAATGAGTAAGTTTCTGTTCCAATATCATTCCAGAAATGTACTTTTTTGTTTTGCCTCACGGATGGTTGACTCGTTGGCCAGTCCTTTTTTCTTTCGGACGTATTTCTGCCAAACGGAACTGTGTGCATTATGACATGAGCCTTGTTATGCATACATTCTTATGGGTCTCAGGGCTCATGTCTTAAAGCACGTAGTTCTGTTTGGCAGAAGTATGTCCATTTATGCCGAGGATGACGCAAGTTGTTCAGGATTTTGAATGACAAGAAAAATGTAACGAGATTGCTATAATAATGGATCCACAACATGAGAAAACTTTTATGTAAAGGTATTGAATGAACTGAGTTTCGAATATTTTTCACGATTCTTTTCCATTATGAGATCATGGAGAGAAGTTGCTTTCAAGTTGAGAAAATGGACTGCCTTCAAGCAGCCTATTTAAACCCATGTATTGCAATGCATTGAAGTATTCCGTCATAACTGTCTTCGTACTTGTCTGATTTTGAATTCTCAACTCACTGGGTGGTTTTAATATTTAAACAAAAAATGTCAACACTCTGACCCCTGACCTATTACTAATCATCTAAAAACTCCCTGTAAGTTATACTTTCTCTGGATTTTTTTCAGTTTTTCCTGCCCTTAATATTGTGAACAGCAATCTCCAAAAATAAGAATGCGCTCGCCGCGCATGAAAATGTAGGAGGCCAAAACTTTCTTCATCCTTGTTTCAGTCTAAGTTTCACAAAAGTGGTTTAATATTAACTGCTCCTTCATTGTAGCCTGTTTCAGTAACATGAAGAAGTCTGCCTGTTGCTCTTATGTGATTTTGTTAATGTTTTTCCTTGTGATGTAGGTTGAACATGGTCTGTCCTCCAGCATACAATGTTGCGGAATTTCTGGTATCACAGCTTGCCCTCAAGCAGCACCAAAGTGCAGATGGCAGCAAATTGGACGAAATCTGCAGTTATTTCAAGTCTTCAGATATTGGCAGAAAACTGAACAAGTTTTTGGAAGCACAGTTGCCTGGAACAGGGTGTTCTAATTGGTCATCCAATAACAGTGAATCATCAATGCCTCAGGTATAAATTACTGATATCAAATCAGCTGTTGAAATTTTCAGCAAAACTCACCTAGTTCCCAAGGTTTCCAAGCCTCATTCCCCCAAACTCAGTGTTTGACAACGAGCTTGTCGCTAATCACTGATAATTCCGTTTGCATATGGATAATACTTGCACCTTGGATTGATTCTCAAAGGGTGTTCCAGTTATCTGCTCACCTTTTCTGTGACTATTAATCAGTGAGCAAAGAGGCGTGATAAAACCTGATAAAATGCTGCAAGCACTACATTGAGACATCTTTGTTGAAAATAATAAGATTGATTTCTCTAAAAAATGTAATATTCCCATGGTAATGACCTCGTAATGTGTTATCCCAATGAATGGCAAATGAGAGATGATTTTCTTTTATTTTCTATGTGAATTTTTTATGTTAGCCTAAATAAAAACAAAGCATAATATACTATGTGTCTCTTATTAAAAATGGGTTTTCTTTTTCAATCAATTATATCATCTTCAGAAGAAACTATGTTTTCTCTTTTCTTCTGCGATGTTTTCATTTTAGTAGTAAAATTGTTTCCTGAAGAGTCTCCATGCTCTTAAGGGAGCGTTCATAAATTACGTAACACTTTAGGGGAGGAGGGGAGGCTGAAGAAACCGTCATGCCATTTTGTTTTTACATGTTGAAAAATAGGGACCTACATCACAAAAGTGTCACAAGGGAGAGGGGGGTCAAAAATGCCAAAAAATGGCGTCACATAAACTATAAACGCTCCTTAATTGAAAGATGATTTCAATTTGAGTAAATGATGATCACAGGGAGTGAGTAAAAAGTTTTTCATCTTTAAACATAAATATGAAGCAAAGAAACTTGTCCCGTTACCTATATTTAAAACTTATCATCACTGACAAGCCAAGCGCCGAACAATCAAAAATTGAGTTTGACATTGTATTTTGCACTAAACACTAACATGCTGTACAACACCCGAATTGTCACCAATAATAGAATAGTGCATAAAACGTCTAAAAGATAGAGTAACAGGTACGTTCTGCTCCAGTTCTCAGAAATAAAAATGTGAATTACTCGAAATCGACTTTTGGCACCTTGTTCGTTATGACAAGCCTTCAATTATTTTTCTTTTAAAGATTTCTATTATCTACTTTATTGGTATTTTTGTTGTTGCAGCCAGAGGATGAATTCATCAAGTACATGCATATGTGAGTATTAAATTAAAAAGTATGTACTAGCATTGAAAATACTAATCCGCAGGTAGAAAAACTTATCTAATAGCATCTACGTCATAGTATCATTTTATCTCCATGCTAAGACACCTGTATTTTATTAGAACAGGATGGTAGCTAAATAGCAAAACCATGTATTTTTTTTCATTTTTCCAAGAAGAATGAAGTCAATTTTATAAACTGCAATTTGTATAGAATATTCTGCGAACAGAACAGGAAAGTCAAGGAAGTTCTCAAGAAATTATGTTGATTAGTTTTCCAAAGAAAAAATAAAGTGTGACAGGAAGTCTAAAATGTTTCAAACGGAAACATGTCGTTTCGCTTTTTGGCCATCAATGAGTTTAATGCCCATTAATTTTTAATTTTAACTTCTAGTATATTTTTATTTTATTTTTTATCGTTGAATGAGCCTGTGAGCCATTTACCTCTGTTTTATCAAATGTTCTTGCTTAAAAACCGTTTCTAATCATGAGTTTTTAACTATCAGACGTGCCTTCAATTGTCAGGCAATAGTACCAAAATTTGGCAGGGAAATCTCAGGGCATTTCATTTTCTAAATTCTGTTGCAACTCTGTCTAGTATTCGGTTAATATAAATAGGCCCAGTATTGGGTTGCTCAATACTGACTTTGCGAAAAATCCTTTAATAGTGTAGAAAAATTATTTTATGTACTGATGAATGTTTGCATTTTTCAATTTCTCAGTCAATCACCCTCTCAAATGATGCAGTTGTACTGGTTACTTTGGAGATCGCTCATTGATAAAATAAGGAGACCTCAAGAGGAAATGCTAAAATTAAGTTTATATGTGGTAAGTCTTCAAATTGAGTAAGCTTGAAAAGTTAAAGTTGATGAGTCGGGCATTAAAGTAAGCATTATTCTTTCAGGTCTTTAAAATGCCTCAATTTTTAGGAATAAGAACATTCTCTATTATTGAGTGCCCCTTGATAACATTGGAATGGGAGTTGCATTTCAATTTTGCAGTTTATTCATCTCACTCTCGAAGAATTCAAATGGATTTTGCTCGTAAAACATCCACAAGTAGCTAATGAAATCGTTACTATCTTAAAGACCGAATTGAGCTGAAAAGAACCAAGCCATATTNNNGGTGGGGTTATGGGTCTGCAGTGTTTCTGGGCTCAATAAGTCATTCAAACTATATCAAAGAAAATAAAAAACTTTTTGTACTTATAAATATTCGGTAGGCCTTCTATGGTGTAGTGGTTGTAGCGCTGGCTCTATGATCAAAAGGTCCTGGGTTTGATTCCTGGCCAGGCGATCTGAGTTCTATGGTCTCAAATGGCAGTTATAGAGGGCTGTCTATTGATGAGAGACTGAGGGGTATATGGGATTCAAGCACAGTATTATCCCTTCGTGAGTACTTTAAGTAGTTTGAAAAAGCAAAAACTATTGAATACAGGAATCTTATTTTGTTTTAAAAGTCAGGGTATACAGAAGAATGAAACTTCAAACTAGTTTGTTGTTGACCCTTACTTGATTTAGCTTTTTTCCGCTCATGTTGTCAGGTAAATTTACGTTTGAGATGACTCAATTCAAGGACAGAATGTGTTCTTTTTGTGAGATAAAATTTGTAGAGAGAACAATTTTTTGTGTTCGGACGCTTTCAATGTAAATTGTAATAAATTGTTTTTTCTGTCCAAATCAGTTTCTTTGTGTCAGTATTAGTGAACTTGCTCTAATGATTGATAATGTTTTCAGTTCATTGCCCTCCTTGTCTCAACACCATACTCAGGATTGATAATCAACCAAGAAGGTATCCAAAACATGCAAGGGTTTCTGTATTTAGTTATTGTTGAGACTGTTTTTACATTCAGTTACCGAGTGTGTAATACATTTTCTGGTGAACTACCCATTTTACTTCGCGAGATTGGAAATGGACTCTATAAACCTGGCCCGTACTATCTGTCAAAAATTCTTATTCTGGTATGTCCTTGCAGATTTTCTCTCTTTTCTTCTTTTGCCCTTAAATACTTTGATGTTTTAACGAGTTGTGTCCGATAGATTTTAACATATTAAAGTAAACCCAAGTTTATTAAAAAAAATTTCGGTCACTAAGCAGTAACTAACTTACAAATGCCAAAACTTGAAATCGCAATGGCGAGCCGTCGTGGAGTTGCAGTCAGTGATCATGATTTCAAATGCAATTATTAATTTTGAAATGAAATGACACAAACAATTTTTATCACTCTATTCCAGCATGCAAATCTGTTATAAATTTTTAACGTTGGTACAGTTTCTTGTCTCCTAAAAAGATCTCTCTTTGATTTTTACTCTGATGTATCCCAGTCCGTAAAGATTTTAAAACATTTGATTGATCACAGCTATCTTTGTTCCTCTAAATCCATTCTTTTACCTTTAATTATCTTTTAATGTACTTTTAATTATCTCTTTAATTTAATATCAATTTCAACGTTAAGTTTTGTAAATTTTTCAGGGTTTTGTAATTTTTCTTATTTGCCTCTCTTTATTTTATATTAATGTGTTCTATTCACCTATTTTTATTTATGGTGTTCAGTTGCCGGAATCAATTCTGGAGCCATTACTGTTTGCAACTATTGTTTTCAATATTGCTGGATTGTTCGGCGGTTTCCTGGGCTTCTGCAAATTTGCTCTCCCTATTATTTGCAGCGCTATTGCAGCATCAGCCTATGGTAATTTTCATTTTTGTTTATTTTACCTGTCATTTTTAACGATTGAAGAATTTTTGGGGAAAATGCATGATCAGAAAGCAGATTCTCTGACATTGGCCCTTTTTCTGCCAAATTTTGAGTACCCACCTGTAATAATTTCAAAATTTATTCAGCTTTGTAACTTTCGTTCTTCATTGCTCTACATGAGTTTCCATATTATTCATGGTAATTTATGAACAGTCAAAAAATTGTTAAAATCTACAATCAGTTCTGCACTGTCACCGCTAAAGAGGAAGGGCGACGGACCGGAAGGACGGTCGGCTGAAGTAATCAATGTAAGGAAAGTTTTGAGTTTTTTTTAAGTTTTAGCGTTTCCGATTTTATTGAACTATGTACTTCCTTTGTTTTTTTTGGTCCTGCGTATGATTATTTTAATTAGTGAACAGCCTTTTAAATCTGCAACGAACAATAATTAAAAGGGGAAATGTTGAAGATGATTTTCAAGAAAACAAATTTTTGACTTATGAGAGAGAGAGAGAGAAAAAAATCAACAACACCAACTTTAAAATTAATCCTGAACTGATACAAGTACCGTTTTGTGTTTCTTTTCCATTCAAGGTTGCTGTATCTCTGCTGTGTTTGAAAAAATTGAATTCGCTGCCTTGGTGTCGGTTCCTATCGAATTCATCACTCTAACATTTTGTGGGTTGTTCATATCACTCAAGTGAGTAATTCTTTCTTCCTGTATTTGTCTTAATATTACTTTTTTCTTTGCACTTAAGCTCATGCACACTGATTTGTCAGAGCCTCTTCTTCGGTTGATGCTCAACTATAAACCAGTTGCATCCGCCAAGATGTTATTAATACCTATACCAGGTTCAATGAATGTTTTTGGAACTACAAATAACCCTAAATTGCTGCAGAAACAGTCTTCTATTATCTCTGTTTTAGGTTCCTCTTTAAATCAGTTATTTTGTAAATTAAAGAGGTGAGAATCACAAGATTAAGACATTAACAAAAAAGTCTTAATGAATGTTTTTTTTTATTGGTCGCTCTAGACTAGACTGGTCATCATAACGTTTTAAATGGGACGTTTTCATAACATTTCTGTGTGATAAGAGCTGATATCTGCGGTCCTCCAAGGAACTAATCATAGGTACTGATTGCGCTTCCCATCAGCTGTAACTGATTTGAAGCACCAGAGTTGTGGTAACTGGCAATAACTGTGGTTTAAAGCTTGAGTTTTTCTGGCCTTACATTGACAAAATAATATTGTTTAAAAACATTTGCAGTGAACTTGTTTAAGTCAGCATTTTATACTTAGTTTAGAGGAAGTTCTCATAATGTTTTATGTACCATCCATAGTACAATCTATAAATGCTCTAAGTATTTATTTATTAACTTATGTTATTGAGCTTTATATTTTTCAAAATAGTAATGATAAAAAAAAAAGTTGAAGCCTTTCTTAAAGCTGCAGGTATTTCCTTTGAGAGGAAGAAAGATTTTTAAGAGAAAAGGCCCAAAACAACAGAAGATTTCTCCTAAAAATCAGAATTAATAACATCACAAAAAATCACCTCAGACGTGCAAAATTCTCTAAATGTATCACTTATTCATATTTTTTCCATTAAGGGGCATCTCTCTGGGTGCCACATTGTGCATACAGAAAATTTTTTTCTAAGGTGGAAGTATGCTAAGGGTGGTCCTGTTTGCATTACATATCAATTAGCAACTTGTTTCATGCCTTGGTTATCGAATAATTTTAAATCTGTCTCAGATACGTCATTAATTCATTATTGACACTTCGGTTTTTTTCAGCTCTGCACCATGGCAATTTTTCTGGGTCCGATACGTTTCAATGTTCTACTATGGAATTGAAGCTGTCTCTATTCTTCAATGGAGTGCTGTAGATCACATCCGTAAGCATCATTTTTCCCTTTACCTATCATTTTTATTTTTTCAAGTGAGAATATATTTTGAACTGAAGTTTCAGTTCTTTGCCAGCCTTGCAAATTCTGAAGTTCTGTTGTCCAATAGCAGTCGAATTTCTCAATCGTAGATAATCACAGGGTTGAGTTACTGAAAAGCAGGAAGGAGGAGATATTAAACTTTTCTCACTTCCTTGCTGCAGAGATGATATTACTGTGGTGTCAAGGCAGTGCTATAGTCTTCGCATTACTGTTGAACATTGTTGTCCATAAACTACATATGCTGAAAAATGTGCATCCAAAAGAACAGTTTCAGTACCAAAATTCCAAACGCAGTCATGTATCTTAGATTAAACATTAAATAAAATCAATCATTCTTCCAATGTTTGCTTTTAATTAAACAACAAAGAGGTGGTGCTGGTTAAGCATGAGTGAAAATATCCAATTCGATGTTCAATTTGTTTTATATTTGAATCGAGGCCAAAAAGCTACATCCGTCCAACCCTATTTTCTGAAACAAGTGAATGATCCCAAAATTGTTGAGTCTGATCATCTTTAAATTTAATTTTTTTATCTTTCAGCTTGCTCAGAGAAAGAGGATATTCCATGTTTCTCTTCGGGTGATAGTGTGTTGCAGCTCTACGGTTACAGCCCCAATAACCTTTTATTGGATCTTCTTGGTCTGTCACTTATCTACTGTACTGCGCACATGGCCGGCTACTTTGCATTCCAAAGACGTAGCAAGAAACAAGCTACATATTAACCACCATTATGCCAGACTCATCACTCTACAGATACTTCTTCTCTTTACGGACATTCTGATGTGAAACATTGTTGTTTTCAGAGTTTTTAGCGAGAATGTCTTTGTGACAATTGCGAAACTTCCCAAAACGGTTCTCAATCAAGTGCCTTCATTTATTCCTGAGACATTCCTTTTTTTAGAAGATTACGAGATAAGGAACTGAATATAAAGAACCCAACTATGATATGAATTCTCATAAATAGGGTTCGGAACTTAAATAAATCAACCGCCTGCATTACAATAAGCATTTAACCAGTGGGTGTTCATTTTTTTGGTACCGTATTTGCCTTTCTTCCAATATATCCTCATAGCATCCTTGTCCTGTGGTTATTGGTGGAGTCACCTGCATTCCCATCCATCATTTAACCTGCGTGAGGTTTGTTTAGCATGGTGCTACTTTGCTCTATAACGCTGTGGTGCTGACACATTGCTCAGTTTTGATAGTTTAAACGAGGCTATAACCTTCACAGGGTTTTATTTTTATCAGAACTTTTTGCCCCAATTTTATCCCTCCACGGGGAATGCACCTTTTTTCTTATTTTTTTTCGCATATATTATCATTATTAACGCTAGTTCAATGTTTACGGGTATTTTTAAACTCATCAGAAGAACTTTAAAGTGGCATAGAAGGATTTATCATGAAAGAATCATGTCAGCGTAAGTCCTACTTCTTGGATATTTGCTTCCAAATAAATTGTAATTATGAACTGTAATCATTCCCGCATAATCTATTGTTTTGTTGCCCATTAGATTATCTTGCCTTGTTGCCATAACTATATAGGTCTTTAATTAGATCTCGGAAACGATCAATTATCCTTAATTGTTCTTTTTAGTAATATTCATCAGTTTATTATAATGTTCATAGTTGCCATAACATCACGTCTCATTTATGACAATACTACCACCGTCTATAGCTTTCATTATTATCATTTTCCTTTCTCAGCCATCTTCTTTTTTTTTCTTTTGTCTAATGAGAAAAGCATTCCAAATAACTGTATTTTTTTAATAATCGCAATTTTCAGTATTATTGAGTAAGTTAATAGTCATAGTGATTAATAGGCAAAATGTATTTCCTACGTAGCAAAAACAGTTTTGATTTATTCTTTAGTGACTGAGCAAGCACAGCAACAGTGAAACTGTAAGAATGCGTATCTCTGTTTCTGATGTTTCAGACTTCCTGTCTTACTTTCTTTCTTAAATGAAAAAATACTCAACATCATACCTTGAGAGCTTACCTAATTTTTCCTCTGAAAGTGAAATGGGAGGGAAGATTTTAAAACACCGCAAACAAGATATGTTTTCCTACAATTTCACTGCCAAATGATGACCAGCGTGAATAGTCCAACCAGTTTTTCTTTCACAAGAATTTTTCTTTTCAAATGTTTCTACCTTTGTGTACATTTTCCACGGAATTGCCAGTGCCCTAAAAAAACTTTCATTCATCACTCAGAATTTAGTTCAAAATAAATTTATTGAATATTGTTAGCAAACTTTTTATTTGTTTGGTAAGAAATACTCATCACTTGAATTACTTCTTGCTTTTATTCGCCGTCAATAGTTCTGAAGGTATTTGATGAGGATATTAAATGATCAGCAGAAGGATACAAGAACAAAATGAAATTTGAGATAGCGTTATTTTAGCCGACTATGTCTTGAGTCGACTTATTGCTGATTTTCATTTTTATTTTTATTTTTTTTTATATCACTCTCCCCGTACTTATACCCTCATTTATTAAATTTGTGTACGAAAAAAATTATCCTATTGTTATTGTAAATTTTATTAACTTTAAGTTTTAAAGAAAAATTTTTGGTGATCTGTTTTCCATAAATTAATTGTCACTCTCACAGTTTATGCAGGCAAATTAATCAAACCTCACCCAATTATTATGATAAGTAAAAATGAGCCTTTTATTCAAGTAGGTGCCAAGACATCAAACCTATAAAAGAGGACCAACTCTGAATCAAAATAATCCTAGGTTAAAGTATTTTCTAGAATAGTCGCGAATGCACAAAAACGAACTTGGGCCCCCTCAAATTAGTTTATGTGTCGCATCATAGCCTTTAGAAACAAGTGTATTTTACCTGCTCAGTATGTTCTCTGCCTTTTTTTTAGGTCTACTTTTTATTATTGTGCCTTTTGTTCTTTTTTATTGCAGGCTAGGTCATTATAATATAATAATTTCATGTAAATACCATTGATAAAAAGTGCGATTTCATTGAAGGCAGTGTGCTTTGAAAATCGCAGTATCTACTCGTATCTAATATCTGCAGCACAAGTTAATCTGGTAATTTCCTCTTTGTCATTATTTCCAGGAAATTACTCACTGAAGACAAGGTGCTAAAAATTTAGCAGTTTTGTGGTTGTATTTATTGTTCATATTTTCAATTAGGTAGCATGTTATTTCTTATTTATTTACCTTTAGTTTTTATGTTTGGATCATTTTCCTGACGTTAGGATCTGTGCATTTGTTTTACCCCCAGAAACCTGTCAGTTCGTTCATTTCATTTTCACTGGTTTTTGTGAGTCAAGTTTGACAGGTTAAGACTTATCACAAATTATTGTACCACAGCGATTTTTATCTAATTGTAATGCGATCAAAGTATTTATTTATTTCTATATTTTTCGTCAAACTCTCTCTTTATCTCTAAAGAGTCCCTGAAATTTCTTGATATTTTTCTTTTTCATTTCCTTTTTGTTTCTCTCATCGACTCTGATTTTTTTGCGATTGTTTTATTCAAATATTTATTTAGCAAGAGAAATTCCTCCACGTGTAGACTCGTTTAAAATTTGAATTACGTTTGATTTGAGAAGCTGTGATGACTTTGATGACTTATCATGTTATGTGACTTGGTTCTTGCGGATTCAGTTAAGGATCCGACAATGGGTTAAAATAGGACATGTAGTTTGACAGAACAAAGAGGATATACTGGAATTCTAAATTTAACTATTTATATTAACTAAAAGTGATTATTTGACCTTCATCAATCTTTCTTTACACAATTCCTCAAGTTTATCGTAGCTGATTAATGTGACAATCTTAAATAATGTGTATGGATTCAATGATTGGTTCATCCTGCTTACTCTATAAAATTTGAATGTGGAAAGACCTTAATGTAGCCAGGAAAATTTGATCCTTGACTAAGTGAATGTTTTTAAGTCATGGTCATTATTTTATTTTTTCGAGCTTAAAATTGTGTATCTATAGTAATAATTACTATTTAATTGTATTATCATTTTCATTTGTTAAAATTTAACCACATGCAGATCTGCCTTTCTGTAATTTTTTTAAATAAATTGTTTTTTTATACCAGCATAGAAAGTATTTTCTCTTACTAGCCACTCCTGTTTCCTTCAAATTTAGTCCAAAAATACGATTATATTAGAGGTGCGTGATAGAGAGGAGATCGAGGGGGAGAGAAATAGCAAAAAATTGCTTAACATCATTCATGAACTGTCCCTCTTAAAAAGGGAAACGGAAAGTAAGTTTGGAACACTTAGCAATAGCACATCAAGTCAAGACAGAGAAAAGTAAGTTTTATTCTTCCATAAGATTCAATGAAAAAAAAAAAAAAAATTTAGCCTCTGTAATGATTTGAAGACAACATTAGTGGTTGCACTTATTGAGAACGAGAGTTATGCTGGTTTTGTTTTCTTAACGCAACACTTCCATCTAGAGGAAAACGAAGCTTCAAATAAAACATTTTTTATCCTTTAAAAATTAGAAAATGCTTTCATCAAAATAAAGAAAAGTAAGCGAATAATTCCCCCCCCCCCCCCTACCAGTATTATCAACAAGTATTACTAAGACAGAAAAAAACATTAATTTTGAACTTCATTACAAAGGTTTCATTCAACAATAATTAGCTGATTAATCAGATAAATGAATGTTTTAGATTCATGACTAACTATGTATAAAATACCCAGAAAAAGAAGGTATAAAAATGTACCAATTCATCTTGAACGAAATCCTAATGAAAATCTTGACTTCACGAGACAAAATTTCTGTAACAGAAATTTGGAGTTTATTATTGAATAAAGGTCAGACTTTGCCGAGAATGCTGCAGATCTGCTTAGCATGCAAGAGTAAGTCAAAATGTCCCAGCAAACTCACGTATTTTCAAAGAAGTGCTAAACTGGCTTGATATAAATGCAAATTTACTCCCGAAAAAGACACATTTGCTATGATGATTTAAAAAAAAATATTAAAATTTAAATTAAAACTATGATCAAATCAATCTTATTATGAAACTTCATAAATGCTTAAAGTTCCTCATAATTATCACAGCTATTAAATAAACTTCAACTGGAAAAAAATAACATTTCATAAACTTAAACAAAGTTATTACATATTACATATTAACACAATCATCAAGTCACGAACTATCGTGAAAGTTACTATTAGAAGTTTCTCATAATTATCACAGAAATGAAATTCATTACTCTAGGTATACTATTACACACTTTGTGCCTGGTCACGCACTTTGTGTCTAAACATTTTTCTTAAAATTAAAAAATAATTATTGAGTAGGTGTAACTCTCAGTGGGAATGTATTTAGCGAACTTAATATACCACAACTGACATAGTAGTTCCGTTTTAATCTATTGATCATTTATTGTCGCTATAGAGTAAGCTTAGGGTTATGGAGCATCATCTGCCAGCCCAGTTGCTACCATTTTAAGAGGGATATTAACAATAAGTTGACAATTTTTGTACCACAGAAGAATAGGAATGACAGTAAGAGGAGAAAACAATAAACAAAACAGAAAAAATACCACATTCAATGCAGAAATTTGCAACATTAAGTAAAATTACTGATAGGTTCTTTCTTTCTCCAGTTTAATAGGCCAGTGCACCTGTATTCTTATCAAGTTTTCAACAAGGAAATCCCCTTGGCTGAAACTAAAACTAACCTTCATGATCTGTTGCGTAGAGATTTTTGCCACTGTACGTAACGGAAGGACGGAATTAAGCCTTGTTTGTTCAAACGCTCAATGAATTTTGTTTTCCCCTCAAGATCTTCACTTTCGCTACCAAGCAGGTAGGGTAGAAACACATTGTTGAAATACTGCCTTCGAAAAACAGATGCTTCGATTAGTAATTTTGCTACTTCTCCAGTCTCGACAAAATGAGATATGATTTTCCGGAGATCTGCTTTCTGCCCACTCTGAAACAGATTTTGAATCAAATTCATAATAATTTTTGGGTTTTGACATGGTTTTTAGGTAATATTGAAACTTTCCAAAATGACAGTAGTTCTTTGAATAATAGTAGCTCACAAACCAAGCCAAATCTCTTTTGTAAAGTCATGATCTAGGGGCTCAGCAGGCTTATAGATTAGCAAGATGGAAATGTGCAAAAGGTAGGTAAAGCTTTCTCCATTAGCTGGCACTTTTGAACACACTGATTACTTTAGTCAATAATTAATGAGCCTTTGTTAAACTGTCAATATTTCCGTCAATATCTCAAGGTCACACAGTTAATATAAACTAAAAAGGAATTCTTATCAGTCCATTTCAATCAATATTCAGCGGCCAGCTAAACATTTATGGACAGGTCGTTCTGTCATTTTCGATTTACACTGACTGTGTAACCTGCGGACATTGACGAAAGTACTGATGGTATGACCGTTTACGACTGCTTATTAATTTTTGTAGAACATTTTATTGTGCTCTTATATCACTGGCCCAAATTTAAGTTTTAGTGGTCAACTATGAAAATTAGCATGGAAAATATAAATGGCACCTGCTGAGCTTCAAATAAGAATACAATTTAAATTTCTTCAGATGAACGATATTCACGCTCTTCTCATTTCTGTTGGCCATCAGTGTGTGAAGCTGACTTATGCCGCAATCACACGCTGAATTTAGCAGCTGAATGTGGAAGTCAACAGTCATCGCTCAACGGCTGAAATTTAGCAAATTCGAGTTATTTTCATCCAGATGTGTATCAAATCTACTCGAATAGTTTAGACAAATTCAACATTAGTCCGATGGTTGCTGAGAATCGTTGCTGAATTTTGCACGTCACACGCAAAATTCAGGCATCGGCATTCGGGATGACTTCCACATTCAAGCCACATTCAGCTCCCACATTCAGCGTGTGATTGCTGCATTATTGAAATTCAAGATATGCTGATAAGTACCTTATCTGAGAGATAGAATATTCCTTGGTACTCCATAGTTTCCTTTAGGTCCATGAGTCGAGTTTTTACAAGCAAGTTATAATCCGAAACTGTCGTCCGACATGGCACATTCGGGAACTGGAAATAAAAAGGAAGTGTTATGCAAATTAATAGGAAATTTTACACTGAAAGAAAAAAAAATTGAAAATAATCACCTTTTGACTTCATACTGTGATCAATACAATGTGAATGCTACGTTCAAAGTTTATTCAGTAGAAGACTAGAAAAACTTTCGACTAGTTAGCTTAACATCGATATAAATATTAGAAACGAAACTAAATAAAAAACAGATTCTTTCGATTCTAATGCTTTAAAATATCTAGGTATTTCTCGTGTTTAAAAGAAACTGGCATGCAAGGGAAGAGAAGATCACAAAATATATTGGAAAATAATGACTATTTTCTATTCATGAAAAAAAATCTGTAACATGGAGTTTGAGATATCAGCAAACCTAGGTCCGTTATTTTATTTTTACATAAAACAGCTTATCACACCAGCTCAAACAGGCCCATTCTAGTCACTAAATATATTCATGAGCACAACTGCCTATTGTAATCACGAATATCTGACAGAAAATGTGCACTATAGCTCTTCATCGATGGCTAAAGTGCAAAACAGCGTTCTTAGATCAACCCTTAATCGATAAGTAAAAAAGAAGGAGAGTTACAGGGGTTCATGCATCTTTAAAAAAAGGCAAATTATTTTATAATGTTAGGGAGGATACATTTTTTTCTACTAGAATATATGGATTTATGCATTTATTTACTTTGGTTAACTTTCATTAACTTTATTAATTTCTTTACTTTTGCTTAACTTTTATTAACAGGTCGAAATGAAAATAATTTACTTCAAAACAGCCCGGGTTCTGATACATTTTTTTTTTCTCCAGCATTAGTACTGAATAAAGATGTTTTTCACAGAATATTTAAGGAGGTAATCAAGCTGTTTATTGTATAGTGTACGCTTGTAATCATCGTGGTTTCCACAAAACACTCATCTCTTCAGAATCTGTTTTTGTTTGCAATGAAATAAAGAAAAGAAAAGAGAAAAAAAAGGTCTTCAATATTTTAGCACTAGTACAAGTTCCCTATCCAAGTACATTTAGGAAGTTTTGAGAGCACTTAAGCATTTCTTTTCAATGCGATGAATTGCAAAAACAGAAGTGTAATTGAATCAATTTTTTATGATTCGAATATAGTGCTTAAATTATTTGTTTTTACTTTTGTTTTACTTCCATTATCCGATCTAAATGAAGTTAAATACTTAAAAACGGACCAGGTTGTCATACATTTTCTTATTTTACAGCCTTCATCCTGGATAAAGGGGGTTTTCACAAGGTTTTGTAGGAGGCTATTGAGTTGTTTATCGTAAAAGAAAAGTATCGCAAGGTACATCGATATCATAAAGTATCGCTTGATAAATCCGCAAAACACTTATCTCTTGAGAGTCTGTTTTTGTTTTTCGGGACACCTACTTTAAAGGAGGCATCGGCGTGAAGGAAAATTCGATAATGTTGATGGAAAGAAAAAGTATTTGGCATACAAACAAGATTACGTTTTCTATGTAAACAAAAACTAGGCTAGAAGGTTCTAAAAATCACGCATTGGAATTTGACAGTTTACATTCTTCCATTACCTTGACCAATCGTTCCCTTGCTTGGCCTGTTTTCGGTGAAAATTTGAAAGAGAACTCTCGGTAGTTGAAAAATGGGAATTCTCAGTTTAAAACGGGAAAGTTTTTATTTAAAAATAAGTTTCGATACTTTGGTGCTTGCGCTTTTAAATTGCTTTATTTTCGACCCTAAGCCTGGTATCAGCCATCAACTACTGATAAATGAAGATCAAAGTACCGTAAGTCCTTTGGCATTTAAAGTATGTCAAAACACAATAGTTAAAAGCTCATCTCAGGCGCTGTTCTACATCCTCGATTTCCAAAATGACGTATCCGAAATGCCTTTAATTGAACACTTACACCAGAGTAACATTCAGACCATTCAGTTAAACACGTTTGCCGAGTTTAAAGCGGTAAATGAAAATCGGATGAGAAACATATTATTATTTTTTGATAATATTGATGAGTTGATTAGTTTCGTTTTGGAATCAGAGCTTAACAGAGATACATGTTTTCACACTTTGGCCATCGATATGTACAATGAGACATTAAAACCATTCAAAAAGTATGAAAATTCGGTATAATTTCAAAATTTGTTTGTCTAGAAAGTTTGAAATAAAATGCTAACCTCATTGATGTGAATTTTCAAGCACAAGGGAGGCTCATAGGGCACAATCCTTGTTAAACATTGGAAGAGAAAGCTGAACTGAGCATTATTCAACCGTAAACTCTTGAACCACTTGGCGTATTTTTGAAAAGAGACAGAGTCTTGTAAAAATATCTGACGGATAAATAACAAAGACACATATACCATATGATCATTATGGTCTGTGGTTGCCCCACAAAATCGTTCCTCCACAANTAATAGGCCAGTGCACCTGTATTCTTATCAAGTTTTCAACAAGAAAATTTAGATTCAGGAAATCCCCTTGGCTGAAACTAAAACTAACCTTCATGACCTGTTGCGTAGAGATTTTTGCCACTGTACATAACGGAAGGACGGAATTAAGCCTTGTTTGTTCAAACGCTCAATGAATTTTGTTTTCCCCTCAAGATCTTCACTTTCGCTACCAAGCAGGTAGGGTAGAAACACATTGTTAAAATACTGCCTTCGAAAAACAGATGCTTCGATTAGTAATTTTGCTACCTCTCCAGTCTCGACAAAATGAGATATGATTTTCCGGAGATCTGCTTTCTGCCCACTCTGAAACAGATTTTGAATCAAATTTATAATAATTTTTTGGTTTTGACATGGTTTTTAGGCAAGATTGAAACTTTCCAAATTGACAGTAGTTCTTTGAATAATAGTGGCTTGCAAACCAAGCCAAATCTCTTTTGTACAGTCTTGATCTAGGGGCTCAGCAGGCTTATAGATTAGCACGAGGGAAATTTGCAAAAGGTAGGTAAAGCTTTCTCCATTAGCTGGCACTTTTGAACATACTGATCACTTTAGTCAATGATTAATGAACCTTTGTTAAACTGTCAATATTTTCGTCAATATCTCAAGGTCACACAGTTAAATAAACTAAGTAGTAGTTAATATAAACTAAAAAGGAATTCTTATCAGTCCATTTCAATCAATATTCAGCGGCCAGTTGGACAGGTCGTTCTGTCATTTTCGATTTACACTGACTGTGTAACCTGCGGACATTGACGAAAGTACTGATGGTATGACCGTTTACGACTGTTCATTAATTATTGTAGAACATTTTATTGTGCTCTTGTATCACTAACCCAACTTTAAGTTTTAGTGGTCGACTATGAAAATTAGCATGGAAAATATAAATGGCACCTGCTGAGCTTCAAATAAGAATACAATTTAAATTTCTTCAGATGAACGATATTCACGCTCTTCTCATTTCTGTTGGCCATCAGTACGTGAAGCTGACTTATTGAAATTCAAGATATGCTGATAAGTACCTTATCTGAGAGATAGAATATTCCCTGGTACTCCATAGTTTCCTTTAGGTCCATGAGTCGAGTTTTTACAAGCAAGTTATAATCCGAAACTGTCGTTCGACATGGCACATTCGGGAACTGGAAATAAAAAGGAAGTGTTATGCAAATTAATAGGAAATTTTACACTGAAAGAAAAAAAATTGAAAATAATCACCTTTTGACTTCATACTGTGATCAAGACAATGAGAATGCTACGTTCAAAGTTTATTCAGTAGCAGACTAGAAAAACTTTCAACTAGTTAGCTTAACATCGATATAAATATTAAAAACGAAACTAAATAAAATACGGATTCCTTCAATTCTAATGCTTTAAAATATCTATTTCTTGTGTTTAAAAGAAACTGGCATGCAAGGGAAGAGAAGATCACAAAATATGTTGGAAAATTGGTGCCTTCGATTTTACGATCACATGAAGACATAAAGATGAGAAATGGGCTTGACGCGAATGAATCGTCAGAGCATCACTTAATCAAAGAACATTTGATGAAGCTCCCTTTTCTCTTTCCGTTCTTAAAAAATTCGTTCCTTTTCGATAGGTTCTACGATGTATTGTCTCAGTTATTTGAAACTGGACATGTAAAGGAGGTATTTAAATTTGTAATGACTGATGAATTTGCAGGAATAAAGCCAGCGCAGAAATCTGAGAAACCATACAGCTTAAATGACCTACAGGTAGCTTTTATTTTTCTAGGCGCAGGCTTATTTTGTAGCTTTTTTGTTTTCATAGCAGAGCTTACGAGTGATTTTTTCCGGAACCAACTTGTGTTAGTGCGTTTAAAACACTTCAAAGGCATAGAATTGAGGAAAACAAAATATTAGGACCATATAATTAAATGGATTATTTGAAGAGGGCCGTAACTGCCAAAAGCCAAGTTTCGAGAAAACATGAAAAAACTTGACTTATACGACAATTCTTCATTTTACTATTCGAACAACTTAACCGATTTTCTACATACCATTTTGACAGTGAATCTCCAAAACCACATATCTCGTTTGAGATGCTCAAAAATCTCCACTTCTATATTATATTCTAACGGAGAAAAATCAGCATCACTCCTTGAAGTTTACTCAGAATTTTCCTCGCAGAAAAAAGAAAAATCAAAGAAGTTTTTCAGAATGGAAGTTGAGGAGTTTTCTTTTAAAAAAATAACGTATAACAAGAAGTCTGCTACATCGCAAACCAAGATACGTGGTCTGGTAGTTTTACCATCGATTTGAAAGAAGTCCACAGTCAAACGAGGAGGGTCGAAAAAGTTGGTCCGAAATTGTAAACAACTTGAAGAAATTTTGGTAGTCATACGCCTACTTTCACAAAACCGCTTAGTGCTACCATTTTTAGCAGTATTGACCTGTTGTAAACTTCAGGCAGAGCAAAAAGAAGAGATGCTTCTTTTGAAAAAATGGCTCAAAAATCACAATGAGCGCATCAGGAAAGTCTGAAATACACTCCTAACTTCACAATCTGCGAAAGAAATATGCGTTTTTATACAGCTTCCTGCCTTCAGGCTTGATACTGCGGTCAAGGTGAACATTTCGTAAGAGGAGTCAATCCACTCAACCCTTGCGGACTATGCACAAATCGTGACGAAGCACTATGGTCGCAACGCAAAGAAAATGTAAAAATAAAGAAGTCAATTGATAAAATCCCTCTCTCTTCTTCTGACTCTTCTTTCTATAGCTGAAGTTTATTCTGTTTACAGTGGAGGAAACCGAGGTAAATTTTCAAGAACTTACGTTGACTATTTTTCTGATGAAAAAATAAAGTATGACCGGAATTCAGCAACATCGTAAACAGAGATACATGTTTTCGCACTTTGGCCATCAATATGTGCAACGAGACATTAAAACCATTCAAAAAGTATGAAAATTTAGTAAAATTTCACAATTTGTTTGTCTAGAAAGTTTGAAATAAAAAATGCTAACCTCATTGATGTGAATTTTCAAACACAAGGGAGGCTCATAGGGCACAATCCTTGTTAAACATTGGAAGAGAAAGCTGAACTGAGCATTATTCAACCGTAAACTCTTGAACCACTTGGCGTATTTTTGAAAAGAGACAGAGTCTTGTAAAAATATCTGACGGATAAATAACAAAGACACATATACCATATGATCATTATGGTCTGTGGTTGCCCCACAAAATCGTTCCTCCACAATTTCTGAAAAAGAAAGGAGGGATTACAGAAGTTGCAAGTTCAATATAAATACAGAGATTTTAAATAAATATATTTCAAACAAATACCTAAAAGGCCCTCGTAAACAATATGCATAAACTATATCTGGACCTCATTTTCTAGTTCAGCATGAGACTGGCGTATAATTTTGACCAAAGGTAACATTTGTAAAACAGTTTTATTTCATCCACTTCAGCATAATAAAAGCAACTAGGCATTGAAGCTTTTCTAAATTAGACTTATTTAGCTTAACAAACAAAAATAATCTTCATTTTAGATCCGTTCGACCATAATAAAGTTTCAAATATGCTCTTCAAAATCTCAATATTGATGAAGAACTATTTTGGTTTTATGTGACAAAACATTTTGGTACATAATGAAGTAATATAAGCAAAATAAAATCCGAGAAAGGGGGTGGGAAATGTATTCTAAGTTTTAGTAGGGGTGCAGAAAATACCCAATTACGCACCTAAGCAGGAGTGTGTGAAAATGTGGAAAAAGAGAAAATATATAGGGGTCAAAAGACGAGAATCGAAGGAAAAAGAAGGTGATCCTTAATGGATTTGGTGAGAAATTTTACAGAGAACCACTAAGAAAAATACCGGGAGAGAGAAAGAGAACTGGGAGTGTGTGAAAATGTGGAAAAAGAGAAAATATATAGGGGTCAAAAGACGAGAATCGAAGGAAAAAGAAGGTGATCCTTAATGGATTTGGTGAGGAATTTTACAGAGAATCGCTATGAAAAGATTCTACACCCCTGAGTTTAATTAAAATCTTGGTCAAATTCTTCCTGGTTTCAGCAAAAATTGAATAAAAACAGAAGACAATGCTATAAAATTTGGTAAAATGCCAGGAATTTTAAAAAAATCCTGAACTCCCAAGCCTCTCTGCCCTTCCAGAGGCATAACTTGGGATAAACGTTTTGGATACCAGATTTTCTACAGTCCTGAATTTTGGGAATATTGATTAAATTATTTTAATCCACCAGCCATGCTTCAGAATTTCAGTCTTACCTCCCATATTAAAGGGCATACATCACTTTCAGTTCCAATGAGAACTTGAAGCAGGCGAATGCAGGTTGATGTGGATGCATTTTTCGTTTTCTGCAAGTCTGTATCGCGAATTTGCATCGACAAATATTTTTCCAACTTGGAAAAAAAAAAGACACTGAAAAAATGGATTAGAGTGACTGATAGAGGTTACATGTGATACTGACCTAAGCATGGTTTTTCTCCATAATGCGTGCATACCAGAGAAATGAAGTTAAGAACTTTTTGTAAGTTGAACTTAGAAGCGCTGATGACAGAGAAAATTTGTTCAAAAACTTCCTTGCATGAGAAAACTTTGAGGAGCTGAAATGAAAAATGTAGACCAACATCAGACCACAATATAAAGAATTTTTCCGGATTTTGTATTTTATTCTCACCGACAGAAACCATAAGCTACTAGTGACAACAGTTAAAAAGAATCGATTTTTACATAACAATGGTCAAAGTTGGAAAATACTTATCCCATTGCAATAAATAAAAATCTGCAATTATTTTGTTCCATTTTCTGAGAATAAAAGTAACAAAAATGTCTCCTTGAAATTTTCGGTGAGTAATGCATATGTATTTGTTTTTGTTTGTTTGTTTGTTTGTTTTTTTTCAGGGAATTTTATTTAAATTACTAGGAGTGGAGAATGGGAGCCACTACAGTATCTTACACGAACCCATTCAACTTTTGCGTTATTTTTTGAGATATCTCCGTGAGAACTTAACGAAACTCGAAACCCTTCGCCCTTCGCACTCCGGCTGGCAAAATTTATAAATACCACAAGTTTTTCCTTGTATCTATCTACATGGTTTAAAACTAAAACTAAACATGTATTTGTAAATGAGGAAAAGTCACAGAAAATTCCGAGNTAAAAAAAAAAAAAAAAAAAAAAAAACTGAGAGAAAATTTGTAACATTGCAATCGAAGATAGGCATTTTTTAAATTCCAGTTATCGACAAGTTTTCTTAAAAAGTCTATGATAATCTATAAAAAACTACTTACATTGTAAACAAACTGCCTTAAAACACTTGATGGTGATTTGTACTCAAACCAAACAATTTGATCAGATATTGCATCAAATAGAGAAATTTTCTTTGGATCGTAACTCAACAGTTCCGTCAGGTGGGAGGAACAAAAACGTTTCCGTTCTGATTCCAAGAAGTCAGACTTAGTGGAGAGATCCTCTAAATAATTGTGAACAGTCTGCGCATTTTCAGTGTATAGGATTTTGATGACCTGAAAAGAAAATACCCAAATAATTAATTGAGATAAAGCTCAATAGCTGAAAGATAATGAAGATTCCTCATTTGTAATAAGCTTTGAGAAAAGGAATTCCTAATTATTATCAGGTGGGCAAAAAACAAGATTTTGCTTCTTGCTAGGTCTAAACTTTGGACTCAATTTCTTCATTACCTTGTCTTCCTAAAAATCTTTGACAAGCAATTATAAAATTATTAAAACTTGTACAGTTTTGGTTCTTCTTTCACTGGTTGGAACTTAAATTAACCACAGGAATCTTTTCCATGCAAGCATACCAAAAACTTGATTTTCAAAATTGAAATGTGCAGTTTCTTTTTCCAAATCGCATGAAATTTGATGAAAGTTTGCCAATGAGTTCGCAACTCAGTGAAGAAAATTTAATCCCTGAGAGAAGGGATGTACATTTAACATTGAAGGCAGTTACACGAAACATTAACTCATAATAATAAATCTATAAATTGTGATGAATCACCAAAAAAGGGACTAATTTATTTTGAGGTTCATGCAGTGTGCTGATAAATTTTTAACATACTAGGTTTAGACAGTTCAGAACATGGTGAAACTTGCAAATACTTTTGCTATTTTAACTTAAAAAACTAAGCCATTGTAACTTCAACTAAAACCCAGCAATTCTGCCGTGCTAAGGAAGACCGCCATATGAGCCTTCAGACGTTGCCAAGTTTCCTCCGATAAAAACCGAATTTACTGGGAAAATTCTGAACATTATTTTCCAACATTTTCAGACAATTTTGTACGTAATTTAATCCAAAATATCTGAAAATTTCAATGAAAAATATGCATAATGTTGTCAAAAATACACGTTTTATCAAGGGAGATTTGGCAACTCCTGAATGTTCATACGGCGTTTTTCCTTAGCACGGCAGAATTGACCTCCCCCCCTTCCCCCTACAATGACCATAATATTTTGGAGATCTATTCAAAATGTTGACTGAGGAGTTATTGTTTTTATCAGTACGTATTCATCATGAAACATCACATTTTTTTTTTTCAAGCAATGCCGCCTGAAATATGTACCTTGCCACTTTGGTGCACTCAAATCAAAGCCTCTGGTCCATTTAATGCAAGGATGTTCAATCAGACCCTCTGGTCCTTTTAATGCAAGGATGTTCAAACCTTCAATTATAACTTATTGACATTTGAGGATAATTAAATTCACTCTTCTTTGGGATGGGCAGGGGGGCTGATAGATTTATACGCCCTAAAATAAAACATTTCAAACCTTACCGCCAAGGACAATTGTCCTACCTGCTCAGTGCTCATATCTAATTTGTCTAACTTGTACTCCAACTAAAGAAAAGTGAGACAAAAAAGCTGACTTACCTCTTTGATAAATTTGCTCTGTAGTGATTGGTATATTTGATACAGAGAGGGGACCGCATCATTAACGCACAAAAGCTGAAGCAGAATATCAATTAAGATTTTCTGGGCATATTCTTCACGTTCAGGAGCTGTTGCTAATAGCACAAGGTCTCTTACAAAACAATCATGAAATTTTTCAAAGCTAAAGACAAACAAATACACGGTAAGAATGAAAAGTTGCGGATAAATAACTTAAAATGTTATAAAAGAGTGAGTTAAGAGAGGAGAAGATTGTCAAGTCAACATTCCAGCAGAACAGGCCCAAATGGGCACATTCAAATCTAATAAAAGACGATGTTGAACTCAGGTTGGCTAAAAAATTAGTGCTGAAAATTCTTCAATGATCTAGATGCCCCCAAACCAATTTAAAAAAATTGCCTTTGTCAAGAGACACTTTGATAGTTAGAAAATAAATTTAAGGTTTTCCCATGAGCACGGACACAAGCTACAGCTCTATGACATGACATGAATATTCCCTCTTTGCATTTTGAGGACATTTTTATTCTTTTTCTTTGTTTTTTTTTCAGGCTTTCCATGCTATTCACCTAACTTTTCTGAAAATTCTCTGTCTCTTATATTAACCTTAACCGTAGAAACCTTGCTATCTTTGGCTCATTTTACTCTGTATACATCAGCCGGAACCTTTGCTGGATCATTCATTTGCTCTTAGGAAAAATAGACCCACATATCTTCAGCTTCAGGGGTAACATATTTTATTGTCAATGTCCAGACTCCTTGTACAGAGGGAAAAGTAAAGTATATACGCTTTTTGTAGAGGGTCTTGAATTATTTAACTCTCTTCAAATATGACAAGAGCTCGGCTGAGTTCCGAGACAGTATATTAGAGACCCTGCACTGCCGCAGTATAATAGTTACTTTTGCATGATAACGCTGAGATTTGCCTAATGATGGTTGAAGACCAAGGAGCTGAGTAAATGATGGTTTTCAATCTATGATGGTTACGAGTAACCAAACATTGAAACAAACGTTGTGTATTGAAAACAAAATGAAGAGAATTTTAGAATACTTACAGATATAAATAAGAAGAGATTTGAAGAACATACTTTCTGTTCAGGAGCCATAGTATTTCTACATTCACTGGTTTTTCCTGATAAACAAAAATTTGTTGCTAAGTATTAAAGACATGAAAGGCATGGTTTTGGTGGCAACTTTTATGACTAAGATAAGCCTCTTCATTTCAGGCTCATTTACTAAAAACACATTCTAGCTCTTTTTAGCCCTCTCCACAGGATATTTTCTTTGGTGAAAATGTGAGAAAAGTTTCCAAAAACATATGACGGTGAAGCTACCAGACCCAGATCTTGTTTGAGGTGTTTGAAAATCTCCGCTCCTATTTTATTTTTGTGACGGAGAATAAACCAATATCATTTTTTGAAGTTTTCACAGATTTTTTTTTCACACTGAGAAGAAAAATCATGGAAGTTTTCAAGAATCGACGTTGAGTAGTTTTCCATTTAAACAATAAAGGATGACAGGAAGTCTACAATGTCCCAAACCGATATACAGTCTGCAGCATTAGGAGTATGATTAATTTCTTTCATTGAGTATGAAGTATAATAAGTTGTATTCTTCCTCCTCTTTTAGGGAGAAAACGCAGAAAATCGATAAAAGTCAGTTCATATAAGTAGACTTTCAAACAAGCATTTTCAGCCATTCTGCTCTCAGGAAAGCATCCTTGGCTTGACCCCTACTCCCCTACCTTTCCGTCACCCTCCGTCATCCACCGCTAGACACCCCCCCCCCCCCCATTGGGTGAAGTAATTTATGGACCGCCCCTAACGGTACTTATGTTGGATAGCGACACTAATACACATACTCAAAATACTACAAAATCTATTTGGGCAGAAAGGAGCTAGGATTTAATATTCAAAAGTAATCTTCAGAGACCTTGCTTTCCCTTCCACCGGATGCAGATACTTACTAGAGTTGTCAGCCAAGTCCTTAGTTCTTTATGCGAGTCCAGCTCGGAGAATTTTTGGATGGTAGTAGATAGTTTTCCTCGATCAAGAGAGCTGAGGAGAACGTTCGGGTGAGATGATTTTGTTGGTTTTCTATATCGCTCCACAATAGACTTTAAAACTACCATGTATTCAGATACTGTTGGCTAGGACAGAAAAAGAGACTATAGATAAATAGATGAAAAACTTAACTTTAGTGTCCTTCTGGGACCAGGGCCAGGTTTGCGAATTTGATGCCCCAGGCTGATAAAAGTTGGCCACCTCTTTGTTTTGACGAGGACCTATTTTTTATTTACCTGGCCTGAGCTTTTTCATTTCGGATTTTACTTTTTCACAATATCCCATGATTCACAAAATTGAAAATCACAAGAAAGGTACTTATTGTTAGTCTTTGTCAAAATATGTCACCTCCCTTCTCTTCTTTATTTTCTACGGCTGTGACAAAACTCTACCGAGGACTGAAATTGCCATTCTCTGATGATGAGAGGCATCAAAGAATAATAGGATGAGATGGGCATATACACTAAAGTAATTTTTTATTTCAATTACGCACGAATTATGCAGATTTCTTCAAATTACGAATTACGCAGATTTCTTCAAATTTTGCATTACGCAGCCTCTATGCAGTAACCCTCCAATTACGCAAAAAAGTCCTCAATTACGCAGAATGGTAACACTGCAAGAAACATAAATTCATCCACTCCTTGTGACAGTCATAAGAAATTATTGAATGATGCATGTTTCAGGTCGAACACCTTTTCTTAATTACAGTGCCTTAAAATTCGCCTCTAGGAGCATGGTGCAAGATATGTTGCAACGCCAAGAGGGAGTGCATCTTTGATAACCAAAATTTAGAATCTGAATACTTGGCCAACAAATAATGGCATACAAAAAAAGAAACAAAATAATAAAAGTTACAGTGAATTTTGGTAAGTCGTGTGAAGTACATAAAAAGAGAAGTTACCGAAGGATTTGCCATGAAAACAGATGAGGAGTCTACCACAGTTAATGCATAGACACGGGTAGTTATGAAACGTGAAAAAGAATGGTGAAATCATTAAAGCTTGATGATGATCGAGGAATGACAAAACCGAAAATAACTCAGAATTTAAAATTATTTTTTTGATTTTATGAAGCCACATGAGGAGAATGAGAATACAGAGAGGTTAGGATTTTGTTTATAAACAAATAAATGGCGGGCTTCTCAGAACTTATTTGTCTCTGGAACTTTGACATGGATGAATATGACTTTGAGCTGTTGCCAAGCCGGCAAAAATTCTTTACATGGGTCCCCTCGTCCCAGAGTAAAGAAATTTCGTGAAACATTACATAAAGAAATTTCATGATTAAATTTCAAGAAATTTCATGAAATTTCATTTAACACTCAGAATTCAGGATTAAACCCTAAGAAACTTAGGAATCTCCTTAAGTCTCTTTATACGCACGTGGTAAACTGTCAAAGGGAACTTTAGAAATACCCAGGAAGTTGAGTAAAAAAGCAAAAACATAATTTTGAATTTTTTTTCTCTTTTGGTTGAACACACGGCCGTACCGGTTGAACAACAAATAAATTTTACGGATAAAGTACCCCCTCATAGTATATCCTTCTTTTTTGGTACAAAAGGGAGGAGAGGATCTTAAACTATCCTTGAAACAATTTAAATGATTTTTCAGAAATTATAAGTTTCCTTCGCTAACGTATTTCTTTTTTTGAAATAGGAAATATTTGATAAATAAGTAGAGTACCTGTTTTTTTGAGCTTTGAAGTGATAGATTTTGACATCAGTAAGTAGGTAGGTGTTTCACTTTTTCTTGAATCTGAGAGAAAATGTTTCAAAATGAAAGAGTAAGCATTTTGTAAGTGTAAGAGAAGACGAGAAGAGAAGAACTAAGAAGAGACAGCGCTCCACTTGGTCTAATTGACGAATATTATTCTCTTTAAAAATAAAAACAAATTCTGTTAGAAAAAACAAGCATTTTTTATATTTTGTCGGTCGAAAGAAATTTCATGGGGAAAAAAAATTTCATGAAATTTCTTGTGAAATTTCATTCGATGAAATTTCTTTTAGCAACTCTGCCTCGTCCCCTCTCAAATGCTGTTTTTGAAATTAGGTAGAAAAAATGATTCCTCATTACAAAATTTATTTCATTCGTCACACTGTAAAAGTGAGTAAACTTATGAAGCCAGGGCTCTACCCTTCTAGAAAATTACTTACTTAATGAGATACTCATTTGCAAGGGCTACTGAATTTTTTTCTCATTCAATCAATATTCTTTTATTGTATTTTCAAATTTATAATTTTGGTATTGTTCAAATTCAATTTCGAACTGTACTGTACCTATAGTATTTGCAATGCAAAAAATACTTCGTGAATACAGATTGTTTAGAAATGATTTTATTGTGATCATTGTTTAATTAAAAAAAAAAAAAAAAACCCTGAAATTTTTTTTTTCAAAATTAAGATTTTACTGAGTTTAGGTATGCATTTCATAGCATTCCGAGTGCATTGTAGCAGTTTCAAAAAAATTCTCAAGTGTTGGTGACTGGTAGTGATACAATGAATTTAAATTTATAAAGGCGAGTAAATGGTTTTCAAAAACTATAAGCAACAGGGAGCATGTTTACTTCAACAACAATGGATACATAATAATATAACCATAATAATCTGCTGAAATGAAAAAAACTTTTAAGAATTTTTTTGTACTTCATATATTAAAGTTGCGTATTTACAATTGTACAATGAAAATGAAAAATTCAACAAAAAGAGTGGGGAAAAACCAGTTCTAGGAATGAGGAAATTTGTTACATTGAAAAAGAGGATCCCAGATTCAAATAAAATAATTCGAGTTAATAAGGCTAATTTTTCAACTAGATCGCACTCAAACTAAAACTTTCGAGCTTCAAAAAGAAATCTCTGCTAGTACTCCTGCATGCATAACAAAACATGAAAGAATAAGGCTGCACACCAGACAATTTTATGAAATCTGCATCCTAACAGTTGTTTCTCTGAGAAGCAATACATATCTCTGTAAATACTTGGTGAGGCAACTCGAGGTTTACTTAGTTACTGACATAAGAGCTGCAACCTTCTACAGATGAATCTGTGACACAAATAATTGGCTCATTGAAACACAAGAAATGTTTTGGAAACATTTTGGTATTTTGGGTTCAACTTTTAAAAATTTGAAACGATATAATGGTGCCCAGCAGGCTGATTAGTGAAAGTGTAAAGCAGCCTGATAAGATATCAAAATGCAATATATTGCATAGTGAAGATAGAGCTATGTCTTGTTTTGTCGTAGGAACATAGTTTCAATAATCAGGCCACAACTGAGAACTACTGAGAAGGCTTACAGACCGTGTCAACATGGTTAACATGGTAAATACCACCCGTTCTAGAGTCTTCATGTAGATTTAATAATATTTTCCAATCAAGGAAGGCTTCAAAATGTCATGACTAACAAAGTTCGCATTCCAGTGGCAGTTAGAAGACGCGCAGGGAGTTTGATCAACAAAGCGGCCTCAAAATTTGTAAATGCAGCAATTTATACAGTTTAGACTGCAGCTTCTTTCTCATCTTCATCATCTGAGTCTAGTTCTGGCGTCTCTCCTAAATACTTTTTCCAATCGACCCATAACTTCTCAGTCAAGAGCGGAGTCGACAACATGACCCTGAAAATACACCAGAGCAAAATAATAATGAGTCAGCAAGTATGGCAGATAGTTAGAGCAGATGAACATGTCTGAATTTGGTCTCAAAACAATGACTGGCTTTAAAAAAATGAGATTTCTATACGAATAAACTACTGAGAGGATCTCATTGGAAATTTCCCGAATTTGGTCAAAAGTAAGAGAGAATGCCCCTTTATTTCCATTGGAAAATTTTACAGTTGTTTATAAAAGCCAAAAATGAACTGACCTTGAATGACCTTGAATGAAAAGTCAAAATTCTGCGATGAATTTACACATTTAAGCAGAAAAAAAGGCTATGGTATCACATGTCAATGCTCACAGCAATTCAAAAATTATAATACAATCAACATCAGTTAAGCGCACGTCCCACGCACAAACTGGGGCTCTCAAATTGGCACTAATCCTTCAATTTATCAGCTATGTTTGCACAAAACCCCTTAAAAATCTCAAGATCTGCTCTGTGATGCGTCTTCGACGTATTGGTTACCTTCTCAGAATGTCCACTCGACAATTGCAAACGATCTTTGAACGGCAATATTTAACAATTCAATTAATGGGCCTCTTTGAAGCCTCTAATTTGTAAGAGAAGGGCAATTTCAACTGAAGAGTTAGGTTTGTTTTTATCATGTTTAACATTCTTTGACTTATGAAAAAAAAATGAAAAAATTTTTACATTCCTGAGCCTACCGGAGGCAAGAGCAGAACTCAAAAATTCAATACGAGATTATTGATAGAATTTTATTAAAAATAAGCAGATTAGGTAGCTAACACAAAAATATCGGAAAAGATGTGATAAAAGACATCATTAAACCAGAAAAACTTACCGTGTGATAAAAGGATTGTCCCGCCTAGGTTTCTTGGCCTCAATATCTTTGAGCAATTCAATTAAATTTGCTTCTAAATGTGGAGTCTCCATACTGATCTGTAGACAAAAAACAAGAAAATCATTAGGCAGATGCAACATTGTGTCCAAGACAGTGTTTTCTTCATCTTGAGGTCATTTGTCACGCAAAAAATTTTCAGACAATCTTGTGCTTTTGCATTTAAGAAAATTAATGATAAAACATTTTATCAGAGAGCAACAATTCCAAAAAAAAACTACACTTGATGGTTGGAGGCTGATTGATCTGTTTCATAATTTGACGTTGCCTCCTTGCCAAAAGACTGTTTGCGCATGTCCCGTTGTGATAGATCAAGCACAATCTTCTTGAGGAGAAGGTTGGGATTGTTGCCTGACTACAGATCTGAGCAGACCTTTTGATGTCCAAGGAATCAGGCTCTTTCATAAAATGTTTCCCTGTAGAATCGAGTTTGACTTTATAAAGATCAACAGATTTGAAAAATCAGCAGTCAGGCAGGTAGAAAGGATGCACTTTGCGCGATCAGTATCTTAAGTATGGCTACAAAATAAATGGAGAAAAAATTGGCATGGGTCTCAATAATTTTTTAAATAGAGTATGTAAAAAATTTTGAGGATGAGGAATTGATCGGATAATTTCAGAACATGGGTATTTACTGACTTTTTAAGAATTTGTCATCCTACATTTGCAGAGCATGCACATGCAATCGAATAAAAATGAACTCAAATTATAAACTCACACGCCCCAGCGGAGTGTCAACCCATCCATAGTCTTGTTCAATTTCGTGCTTCATGCTTGAGTATCTCACACCAGTCATACACTTTCTCACCAGTCCAGCAACATCGGTGCTCAGAGTACCTGAAAAATCAAGAATATTGGTCCAACTAAAATTCTTACAAGTTCCATGACATCACAGGATGATGGAATACACGAATTGCAAACCACCTGGTCTCTAAGAGAGAAAACAGATAGGAAAAATTAAGTATACAAAAATAAGTTAGAATGCCAAAGGAACGATAGTCAATCTGACCTCTATTCCGATAATAATATACTATTCTGACTAAAAATCTTGGATGCCATGTGACTTTTGTCTCTCGAATAATGGATGAGCTTCACCTGCAAGTATAGTGATCTACATATCTAACCATTAAAAATGTCACGAATTTTCACTGACTTATTGATAATTAAGATCTTTTCTTAAAGTGAGCAAGGCTATTTTAGAATAGACCTGATATTCATTCTTTATACAAAGCCTAGGCAAAAGTTGGGGAGCCTGCTTAGATGATAAAATAAACTACAGAAGGGGGGGGGGGTATTTTCAATGGCAGTATTCCACTCATAACAAAAAACATAAAAAACTCAAATTTTGCATTAAGCATTTTAGGTAAGCATCTTAATTAGTTCATTGCGTAAGATAATTTAGAGAGAGAATCTACCATGTGCCAAGCTTGGAAAATTCTTCCTCATTAAATACCGAAGAGAAACAAGCTCTGGAACAATATCTGGATGAGCAACCACGAACTGAAAATCTGGGAGCATTATTTGTCCTTTCTGTAAAATTAAAGAGGACACAAATTATTCTTGGGAAAGTCATTTACCCTAGTCATCTGGCAGTTCAAGGCTCACACAGTGCTGACCAATCATTTTATTTCTATTCTTTTTGTTACATAATAAATCAAGAGCTTCTAGTGATATGAATTTAAATTTTAGTAAATACTTTCAGATTTTGTGAAATTCTCAATCTTTCCTGCATGTATGGTTTTTCAAGAAAACCGGAAATTCCCTGGCTTTTCCTGGTAACCCATTTCAAATTTTCTAATCACAAGCAGTGCTAGGTATCACATCTTACTGCTGAGTTCTAATTTTTCATTATAAGAAAATCTTGAAATATCAGAAATTTATGAAAAGCGGTGAAAAATACTTTTCAAAATTAAGACCAAAAACGTAATATTTTTGGCTTAATGAAGTTTTATAGTGAGTGCTGCATATCTAGCCCTAATAATATATTTCATATCTTCCAAAGCATCCAGAAATTTCATGAAATATTACACGAAAATTTCCAATCTTTCATACATATTTCTTATTTTACTAGTGCAAGCCTACATTTTAATCATAACGAGTCGTTTTCTCACCTACAATTTGACTGAATGATGAGTAAAAAGTTATGGGTATTCTCATATTTTACATTCTTTCTGAAAATGAATTGGAGAAAAAATAGGCGACAGCCTCATAATTGTCTTACGTAGCAGTAAAATGTATGACGGTTTCCATAACAAAGTTAAACGATCAATAATCTCACCTCGATTGCTTTGATGAGTTGCGTGCCACCGGCCATTTGAGCACCAGCGTCATTTGCTTCTCTTACAATCTCCTGATTTTTGCAAAATGCTATCACAGTGCGCTCTTCACCATGATCATAAGGATAGGGAATCCCAACCAATCTTGTAAAACGCTCAACAAATTTGGTCTATAAAGTAGAAAAAAACAGAAAGAATCAAAAGTTAGGAAATCTCCCAAGTTTAAAAAATCTCTGACCAAGAATTCAGAAGACAATTAATTTTAAAAAGACATATAATGTCTCACCGATTCTTGATATTGCTGAGACTTCTTATGATTACATGATTAAATGTGAGGGAATAATCTTGCAGTATGCTTAAATCAACGTTTGAAACTCTAAAAGCCACCTTGCCATTCGAAACCAGAGCATTAATGCAAGTCATTCAAGGAATTAGAGTTGTGATCAAAGTTGGCGCCTGAGTCTTACAAGTCAAATACAGCTTCTTTTCTGTTATATTCACGTTAACGCAAGGAAAATCATTCAAACAGGCACTTTCCATTCCCACTCAAAGTCAGTCATTCTGACACCAGTCAAAGGGATTTCATTCGTAAAGCTGAGCCTGCGTTTAAATTTCCAGACATCAATGAGGTTTCCTCAACATTTGGCGAGTGATGTGGATGGAAACATGTGCATAGATACCATCTCTATGCATGCTTCCATCCACACCTCTCGCCTATTGCTAAATCCGGAATATTCATCATGTGATGAACGCTGCATAATGTAGACCCGCCTAAGGGCTCTTACCGTTAATTTTTTGTGACAGAAGAATTGTCATTGATCTTCTACACTCTTGCTGAGCATAGCAGCATTATTACTAACACATGTACATTGACACAATAAGTTAGTTACAAAATCTTTGAAAGCACAAAAAGTATGACAAAACAACTTTTGAGATAGTAAAAAGTTTCATAATTTGTCCAGAAATCAGAAAATACAGACCTTCTTAGCAGTTCTCAGATCCAATTCGATGTAAGCATTCACCAGACTTTTTGGCTGATTATATACTGTTGGATGATGCACTTCCCTTATCATGCCTAAAGCTTCAGCAAAGGAATAAACAGGCCTCTTGTAATCCTTCAGGAACCACACATTGTCTGGAGGTTCTGTTAGCAACTCATCATTCACTCTTGGAGAGACAACAACACCTTTGGTTTTTGTTCTGAGAAAAAACGTAGGATAATGAAATGCAATCTGCTTGAAAAAGGCACAACGTGACAGAATAGAAAAAACAATTATGGTGATGAAAAATGACCAGAATTGTCCAGATAAATCATGAGTTACAAATGCAGTCACAGAAGGGGAGGAAATTACCCCTCTGTCTTTCCTCACTTGTGATGCTGACACCGCAAGAAAAAAAACTATGTACAGCATTTCGACGGTGAAAGTGCAGGAATGCGCTTCTTATTCGTGGTGTTTCACTCTCTGCTCTCATTTTATTTTATCAGAGGAGAAATAATCAATTGTACTGCATGAAATTTTTATGGTATATTCTTTGAACACATATGAAAAACTAGGGCAGTCTCTGAGAAATGATGTTGAGAATTTTTTGTACTTAAAAAATAAAGTGAGTATTACAGGAAGTCTGCAACTGTCACAAATAAAGGTATGTATTCTTGAAATTTCATCATCACTTTTGAAACAACAGTGCATCACTTTGAATCAGTATGGATTCTGCATTTAGTTAGAGAAAGACGAGGATGCTTAGACTTAAGGTGATTCATTACGGTTTGTAGCAAAGTCAAACTATATAACTCATCGACTGTGTCAAAAATCTAGGCAAATTTTACCAATTTTTTGGTTTAGAACAATTTTTTAACCTCATGCATGCGCAGGGGCTACTGTCCTTTTTTAGCTAAAAAAATCTGTCAAGATTTTTAAGATTTTGTATATAATAGATGCAATATATGGAACACCAGTTTGACCACACCAGAAATAGTGATGAATCACCTTGAGCTATTCCAAGATATCTGATTCCACATNGTCTTTCCTCACTTGTGATGCTGACACCGCAAGAAAAAAAACTATGTACAGCATTTCGACGGTGAAAGTGCAGGAATGCGCTTCTTATTCGTGGTGTTTCACTCTCTGCTCTCATTTTATTTTATCAGAGGAGAAATAATCAATTGTACTGCATGAAATTTTTATGGTATATTCTTTGAACACATATGAAAAACTAGGGCAGTCTCTGAGAAATGATGCTGAGAATTTTTTGTACTTAAAAAATAAAGTGAGTATTACAGGAAGTCTGCAACTGTCACAAATAAAGGTATGTATTCTTGAAATTTCATCATCACTTTTGAAACAACAGTGCATCACTTTGAATCAGTATGGATTCTGCATTTAGTTAGAGAAAGACGAGGATGCTTAGACTTAAGGTGATTCATTACGGTTTCTGGCAAAGTCAAACTATATAACTCATCGACTGTGTCAAAAATCTAGGCAAATTTTACCAATTTTTTGGTTTAGGTAGAACAATTTTTTAACCTCATGCATGCGCAGGGGCTATTGTCCTTTTTTAGCCAAAAAAATCTGCCAAGATTTTTAAGATTTTTTATATAATCGATGCAATATGTGGAACACCAGTTTGACCACACCAGAAATAGTGATGAATCACCTTAAGCTGTTCCAAGATATCTGATTCCACATACTCAGTCGAAGAGGATGCAAAGGTGCCTTTTTAGCCGACTGACTTCTTCAACCATTCTTGTTCTAAGTCAGGTTAAAGGGTTCGTGAGAGTGATTCTTACCCATCATTATCAAAAAACTAAACATTAGAAATTTTCCCTTCCTAGCAGTGTTTAAAGTTCTAACTTAATGTTTTCCACAAAAAATTAGAAGGTACATACATGGGTGTAGTTGAAGGAAGCCCCTACCCTCGAGGACTGGTGGCCTCTTTCAGAAAAGACTCTATTATATGTAGCTGCTAAGTACTAGTTGACTATTGTGCGAAGGTGAATAGGTCCATGCCCTTCTTTCACAGATATTTTTTTAGCTACACCTATGAGTACTTGGCATTAGATACTTGTGAAACTTCGAAATACTAACGAGTCTGAATTCATGATAACAATGCAGTATAAAGAAAAAAAAATAATTTCTCTAAATTGATCTCTGACCTGAGAGTTGCTCGCTCGCTTGTAGAAGACTTCTCTCGAACCTCTCTTCGTTTCAACTCTGTAAATGTCTGCATGAAGCGAAGATGGAGCCAACTGCATGCAAATCTGGCTGAGGCTTGTCAGGAGCCATCCAGGTTTAAAAGTTTAAGTAGGGGGGGGGGATATATTTAAGTATTATTGATGTTTAGTCTCCTCTTGTTTACTTTGTCTCTCTCTGTTTACTCTCCTCTCTTGGTGGTTTATTGAGTCATGTTCAAACTATGTTTTCTTATAGTATCCTTTGTTATGTTTGCCATCTTGTTGAGTCTTGATATATCTTTTATTTTTGTTTGGGTCTTTAGCCTTTAAATTATGAAATAAATAAATAAATTGGGAAATTGTTGAAAACCTAATTTTCCAAGGTATCTCAACACCATTCATCATGTCCCAGTTTAAAGCTGCGTTGTCGAAGTCAACTGTTGAGGAGCGTTGGGCAATGGAATTACCCGATGCCCAACGCTCGGCGTTGTTCGACTTCCGTTGGGATTGCCCGATGTCCTGGACTGTTTACCAAACGGAAGTCAACAAGTCATCGGTCTCAGGAGGTAGTTGAGAGCGTTGAGCTAACCTCTAAATGATATTGTGCACGCGGTGTCACAGTCAAAACACAACAATTTTTAGTCAACAGAGACGACCAACAACGCGTTTTCCAACGGGTAAGTCAACTGTCACGTGATATCCGTTAGCGTTGAGAAGCCCAACGCAAACGGAAAGTTGACTTCGACAACGCACCTTAAATGCTAAGGTAGTGAATCCTTGATTATGTTTACTGTTAGTCATCAGATAAGAGGGTTCTTCTCAAACCAAATATAGACAAGACAAGATACCCACTCAAGTACGTGTGAGGGACTCACTTTTTGATGGGCATCCATGGTTGCTTGATCACTTCTTTCTTGACTTTCTTTTTTTCTTTCCGCTCTCTCGTTCCCTTACGAGCTCGAAAGCGCTGTTGCATTGGTGACAAGTTTGAAACAACTAATCTAGGTGATTGACTGAGTCGACTTATGTTCTGCAGTAAAAGCGCCATTGAAAATCTGAAGCAAAAAGAGAAGATATGGTAAGTGCATTAAATGTGCCATTTTACTTATCAACAAACACACAGCGCCAAATTAGATGGCCCCTCGTACAGGATTTTCAAAGGATTTGGGCTACTTTTATTTTGGCAATGAAACCAATCATAAAAAACAAAGTAAAAATCAGGAAGTCCGCTAACTCATTAGTTCTGATCTATTGGCAAATCATGTGGGGCTTGAAAAGCCTAGATCACAAATATGTTCGAGTTTGAAAAGATGATGATATCCAAGACAACTTTACTACCACAAACGGATACCCACAAACACAGGGAATATCACAATAAAGAGAGCATCAAATGATGAGGCCAACTTCAAGAGTGAGAGCACGTAGTGCAACAATCCGGATACAATCCAAATTTTCAAACTAGTCCAATACGACTAAAAAACTAGTCCAAAACTAGTTGGCACAAAAGAGCTGAAACATTTCAAAATTCTGAAGTTATCTGATTAGAAAAATTTCATATGAAAGAAATAGATTCTGCAAAGTATTTCATAATGCCGTGGGGTACGCAGGCCTTGTTGAGACATTGGTGCGAATGAATTCTAGAGGTTACTTACTTCAGGAAAAGGTGTGATAAAAAAGGCTGAGACTTACAGGAATAAGCTGTATAAAATTAAGTGACAAACAAGTGAGTAAAAACAGAAAACACTAGAGTTTTGAAACTAACGACGGCGAGCACTCCGGAAAAAGTTTAGTTGTTTGTTTGAGGTTAGTTGGCTCTTGTTGTTATCACGTGGCTCCCCTCCACCCCTCCACCCCACTCCTCTGACCTCTCTTATCACCTCAACGTTGCCAACGTTGCTTTGTTTATTATTTCCTAACCTATAAAATGTTACACCTTCATTGCAAAGGTAGATTGCCTCTGGTCAAAGGCTTGGACGAATAGAACCCATACAATCGTGTAAAAACCGAAGTATAAACTGACAGGTCCTTCTCAGTATTTCAAACAGTGTATTCCTTCCTAACAATTATTCATTTTCACGTTTCAATGAGTGTCATTCACCCAGTACGGAGGAAAGTTGTCGTTCAAAGATTTGGAGATTTTCACTTTGAATTTCACACCGGCCTGTTAAATTTGCCTTCCTTCTCCTTTAGGTTGACACCGGATTTGCTTGAATGGTATGACGTGTGATTTAATCTTCAAGCCTCAATGAAGCCTTGGCCGCAATGGAGCCAAGTATGTACCGTGTTGGTTTAATTTGATTCCAAGAAACTTAAATGTCCTCAAAAGTTCCAGGTTTGGTGAAGCTCAGCTTTGCTTCGACTCAGTTTAGTGCATCTTTTACCAGCAACCTTCCGGTCCTGAACGATCAATGCTGATCTCCTGTCAATCTTTGTTTGCCATCAAAATACTTTGATGAGGGATCAAAGCTGGCCGCATCATTATCCTGAAAATTGTACCCCAGGAGAGAAATGATTAGCTTAATACCAAAGTTACTACGTCGGAGACGTAATTTTCTATTTCTCCTCTGTTCACTTGCTATTGCCCATTTTTTTGGTGCTTTTACACATCCATTTGAATTAGATTATCACACTACCTTCTCCTACCCTTTAGATATTGATATTAAACCATGTGTAAATAATTTAAAGACCAAAATACCTAGTAAATGTCCTATTATTAATTCCTACAATTACTCTTATCTGTCTAGCTGTGAATCAAAATGTCAGACAGTGAATGGCAACCTTTTGAGATTAGTTTACATTGTCAAATCAAAAGTAGACAATTTTGAACAAAGAGCAGCAATCCGCAAATCATGGGGCTTTGAGAAACGATTCTCTGATGTGCCAATAAGAACTGTTTTCATATTGGGTGTCGAAGAAACTAAATCAACTTTGCAAAAGAAAGTAGAAGAGGAATCTAAAATTCACAATGACATCGTGCAAGCTGACTTTATTGATACTTATTTCAATAATACTATTAAAACTATGATGGGTATTCAATGGGCTGTCAGATTCTGTAAAAATTCTAAGTTCTACTTCTTCAGTGATGATGACATGTATGTATCAACAAAAAATGTCCTTAGATTCATAAGGAACCCTGTAAATTACCCCGATTATCTAGAAAATCCTATTATTTCTTTGCAAAAAGTCAGGCGTGAAAAAAGGAATATTGGTAGTCAGATGAGTTCTAGTGTGGAAGGAGAAAAAACTTCCTTTCATGATCAAATTTCTAGTTCATTCAATAGTTTAACTACCCGAAACTTAAAGCAAGTGCTTGACTTTGAACTGCCTGATGATGTCAAACTATTTGCCGGCTATGTATTTTTTTCATCTCCCCATAGACATTATCCTAGTAAATGGTACGTTACTCTAGCAGAGTATCCATTCCACATGTGGCCACCTTATGTCACAGCTGGCTCCTATGTTTTGTCGTTTAATGCCTTGACGGATCTATATTTTGCAAGCTTTTTCACAAAGCATTTTCGCTTTGATGATATATATTTAGGACTGTTGGCTAAGAAAATGGATCTAGAGCCATTCCACTGTGACGAGTTTCATTTTTACAAAAAAGCCTACAACCATTTCAACTATAGATATGTAATCACATCCCACGGTTATGATGACCCTGATGAATTGTTGAAAGTTTGGAATGAGCAAAAATCTGCAGGAAATGCTTGAAAATTGTCTAAAATTTTTTAATATCGGCTGTGTCATCTTAGATTACTTCGAAAACTCTTTTTTTTCTATGTTACCTGTATATTAGTCAGAATACGGTCTTCAAGTTTCTTCATAAGGTATATTTCACTTAATCCTAAATTAGTATCTCAACATATTAAAATTTAGACGATTAGTGACATTTTAGACAGGGTCTTTGATAATGGGTTACTTTATATTCTCAACAGTGTATAATTGTAACAGTAACAGTTTTAAGTTTCATATTCGAAGTTATTAGTTTGGGAGAGTAAAACAGCAGTTCCGAACCATTTTACTATGGACTGAAAATGATCTGAAGAAATCTGTAATTCTCTTCACAAATGATTGAAATTGGCAAGAGCAATTCAGTTACAAGTTGTCTATGGCTACCCTCTACCCACTAGCACTCAAACAATTGCGATTAGGAACTATAAGGATGGAGAGTATAAGGGTGCATCTATCAAGATTTGTCGCTGAATTGCTTCACTGCCCAAAAAAATTTCATTCTAATAAGTGCTAAGTAACCCCTAGCAATGAAAAGCAGCAATAAAGAGGATACTTTTAAGATGGTTTTGAAAGTCATTAAGATAATATTCAAAATGTTCTAAAAAATACAATTCTAGCCGTGGAAGAGCCCTCGTGCATTTTAAGCAGCTAAAAATGTGATAAGTTTTTCTGCAATGCCAAGTATTAATATTTGTCAGATAGTGTATTATTAAGAATTTCTCCACTCCCAAATATTATCTCTGTATGCTTGCATGCTTGCACGTAAGGAAGGTGCGTAATTCTTGTCCAAAAGTATCAAATTCATGTCTAATTTTTACTTAATAAATCTCCAAATACTAAACTAATGGCCCTTCCACTTCAATCAAATCTTGAATTTACCATTTAGCATTTTTTAGATGATAAGCTACAATTAGTCATTGATCTAATCCATCCTGGTCCATTTATTAAGGTTTTACTCTTGATTTTCTGGATCTAACAATTATATAATTACTTGCATGTATCTCTCTAATCTCTTCTTTTGCGACTGTGATGCTGTGTTGCTGCATGTTTCATCACTCATAATAGAATGCTTATGCCTATCTAGATCTATATTCAGAGAGAGTTAGTTATTTTTCAGAATAGGGGGCTCTAGTTACTGAAACGATGGACCAAAAAAGTTCATCATCTATTACAAAAAAATAAATATAAAAACTATGCTTTCGCTTAAGGTCATAATAGCAGTTAAGTTTCTGGTAGCAGTCAAGTGTGAATATTTGAAACTAATGTGCCTTTTTCATAGTGGCAGAGAATAGAGTAAGGTCGCCAGATTGTGGAATTAAATATGTATTTTTTACTTGGGTTAAAATGGGGAACAGTGCTGATTAATCAGCACAATCTGGCGACAATGGCTCAATAGAGTTTGCTCAAACACTCGAAAAACATACCAGTTTTACTTTTTTCTTCAGAGTTATTTTACACAGTGTGCTACCAGGGAGTCACATTTTTGGTCTTTTTTAAGATTTTGTGAAAATTATGCAAGGTCCCATCTCGCAGATGGCATCAATCAAATGTGAAAAACTTTCCTCTGGCATTTAACAAGAGCCAAAAATATTGTCGCCTTCTTGCTTTATAGCTATTTTCTAAACTTTATGTTCAATGCCTATTTTTTGCTACCTTACAACGAGATTTTTTTCTCTGCTTAGTACTCTGTACCTTGTACTTAAGTCTCAATCACTGTATCCTTTCGCTTTCACACTGCAAGGCCTAATCATGAAGGAGTAGAAGTGTCCTTAATAACCATTTAGCTTTCTAGATATTTAAGTCAGTGCCTATCAAACCTCATTTTTACTTTGTTTTTTGTTTTTCATTTTTTCTCTTTTGCTTTCAGCTTTAATTCCTATCTCCACATAAGAATCGCAGCCCAAAGTTTGCATAGGAGCAGTTTATTAACTCTTATGACAACCTTTGAAACAGTGTCCCTCTTTCCTTTTGTATGTTCTTTTAGATACTAAACGGAAAGGAAAATTATCATCATGTATAGGCTGTGCTGTTATCGGAGATAAGCCTTCATTGTTCTTAAATTAAGTCAAGTTTGTCCGTGTTAGAGAGCCAATGTATTGTAACTCAATTTTGGTCAGTATGACTTATAAGAGAAATATATCTTATTTTATTTCATCATAGGTACTCAATCATTTACAAAATCTATAAGTTCGGAGCTAAGTCAAGCAAGCACTAAATAAGGAGTTAGGTCATGGATTTCCTGAGAAACAATGATGTGTCAAAACTAGTGAATATACTTTAGTCACAAAGTATCATCTGCCAATCAATATCGATTGATTTAGATATTATTCTTTTTAATGAAAGAAAGAGCCACGATTTTTTCATTCATTATTGCTAAAATTGTACTTGAATGGAACTCAGTTTCTCTTAAACAATGTTTTCCCTCAATGGCAGATTATCCAATACATTAAGAAATCATAGTATTAATTCATTAAAAAAATGAATAATGATCCATTGTCTCTCAGCTCGGTTTCTGTGGAATGAGCTTTGTAAATTAAGAAAGCTTTTTTTCTAAATATTTAAGAGGATCTCAATCATATTTTTACTTTTTAGTATGTTAATGTACTATTTCTATCATATTTGCACATTTTTACCTTTTATATTATATATTATTAAAACAACAATTTTGCTAACTTAGGTCATTCTTACTCACTTTTAGTCTTGGTAGAACTTTTCAGTGATAAAATTAACGTGGTGGAATTGCAAACCAGTTATTGCGTTCTTATTTATACAATAAATTGTTGAGACTCCGTAGCCAAATCAGCAACTTACAACTTGCAGAGTTTACAGTATCAGTCCATAAACAGTTTTAAAAAAAAAACTCTTTTTATGCAAATTGACCATATTTACTGTGGCCAATACCATATAAGAGCAGTTTTTGCCATTTTGAGAAATATGTGTTTGAAGTTTCGAAATTACATGGATCCTTATGGCCGAAAGAAAGTTTAAACTGACTTTTTAATCCTTAAAAAATTTGAATTTGGGAGCGAATTTTTTACAGAATATGCACTAAGACTAGTTATACTTGAAATAATTAATATCTCGATTTTTTCAAAAACTGCACTTATGCTAAACTGTTGTGTCAAATTATTTACAGCAGCCAGTAGTTCATCATGATGACCTGTGGGATACCTATAGAGATGATGAAGAAAGTCCTTGTCCAGTCAATGATGATAACTGTATTAGATACATTTATATAACGACCATTGCTATTCATCATTTTTATGTTTTTCTTGTTAATGGTCCATATTTGATCAGTTAGAAGATGGTGAATAATATGACGCAACATGCAGATGTATTCTGTTATCACTTTTTTCCTTCAAAATATTGCACTATGCTGTAGATAGAGAGAGTGTTTCCCTTTTTTTAAATAAGTTTCGCCTTTTGGTTCAAAGAAATCAAGATGATTGCCATCGTTTACTAATACACTAATTCTTTTTCTTCAATTAAAACTTTTTTCAAGTTAAAAGTTTAACCACTGTATCAAGACTGACTTTCACTCATTGAATAAAAACAAATAATTCGAATCCCGCCTTACTTATTTTTTCACTCCACTACCTTAATTTGAAAATTTTTTTCTGTCTCAAAACTTTTTAAAAATCCAGAGTTGATGTTTACCCGCTTAACATCAATGTACCTATGATATCAAGCTGAATACTATTGGACTAGGTAGTAGATACTTACTAACTATTTTAGTTTATCATTTTATGTATTAAATACTTACTTTAAGTATTAGAAGACCTTATTTTGAAAATTCATGCAGCTCTTTTTAGCCTGATGGGCTACATGAAGCAACAACAAGCAAAAGCAAACCACATTCATCTTATCAAAAACTGTGCAATTTGACATTCAGACGAAAGTATATATCAAGGAAATATTTTGTCATCATCTTCGCAAATTCTTGAATTTATTGGTTTAGAACTGTCAAAATTGAGTCAAGGCTATCAAGTATAACATTAATCCATTGTGACAGTAATTAACCATCATTAATTGAGTATTTTATCATTATTTTTTATATTTTTAACCAGCAGCACCATGGAAAATTTTTCCCTAATCGAATCTTCAGTTAGTATTTTTCAGATTTTGGATTTTTCCAAAATTTTATTTGAATATTTCTTCCTTTATATCTTATTCAATACCTCAAACAACTATTTAAAAAGATAATACGATATACATATTGTTTTGAGTAATATCTCAAAAACATTCACTCAGCTTTTTATTAGGAAACATCATACCTACCTGTGAACACTCATACAATACTTTCTTAAAAAGTATTGTACCAGGAAAGGTAAATTAAGTATATTGGTTAAGTACCGTAATGAAAGTGGAAGTACATACTAATTTGGCCGGTAAGGTCACAAGATATGGCTGTGCTGAAACCCCAGAAGGCATTTTTCCGTATAAGAAATTTCTTGCGGGCACCATGGCTCTCACGAATGTTATAATAAATGCACTTGGGCACCTGCAGATGTGGTATTCACTTGAGATATAATGTAGTCAAGTCCGAATACCTACATATTTAGCAACTATTCAAAACTATTCACAAAAAGTTTTTTCATACCTTCTCTTAATAGCATGGCTTGATACTTTTTGTTCAATTTTTTTTTACTTTTCATCGTTCACCTCTACTCAAATGACTGCTCTGTCTGCAAGGTCGCATGTCGATGCGCTCGTTTGGGAAAAGAGCGTCAATTTAAAATTCCCGCCTAGTTGTGTTCCCGCGCGAATGTGCTGCGGCCCGCGTTTGAATCTGGAAACAAACTTCGACAAATTTTTTGAGGTTAAAACTTAATTAAACATGATATAGTGATAAGTGATTAATTTTGATCAAACTAAATCAATAAGGACAGGAAATGTGTCATATTTGATAAAAAATCAACCACGGGTGTATAATTTTACTCATAATTGTAACTCCAAACATATCGGTGATCATGCCAATCATCCTTTCCTAATTACATTACCAAGAACTTTCTGTGTTTCAAGTATCAGGGGTGAAGAATGTTATNTTGATAACTCACGGTATTCACTCTCTCTGTTTTCCAACTTGCTGTTATTGCAGGTTATAAATTTATTATAAGATAAATTTGTTTTAACGTCTTTTTTGTAACTAAATACCATGTTGACTAGTACAATAGCCCCATATGGTGGCTTTATGTATGTTATGTAAAAAATAAAAAAAAAAATAAAATAAGAAATAAAAATAAAGGTCGCATGTCGATGCGCTCGTTTGGGAAAAGAGCGTCAATTTAAAATTCCCGCCTAGTTGTGTTTCCGCGCGAATGTGCTGCGGCCCGCGTTTGAATCTGGAAACAAACTTCGACAAATTTTTTGAGGTTAGAACTTAATTAAACATGATGATATAGTGATAAGTGATTAATTTTGATCAAACTAAATCAATAAGGACAGGAAATGTGTCATATTTGATAAAAAATCAACCACGAGTGTATAATTTTACTCATAATTGTAACTCTAAACATATCGGTGATCATGCCAATCATCCTTTCCTGATTACATTACCAAGAACTTTCTGTGTTTCAAGTATCAGGGGTGAAGAATGTTATCGAGTTATCCTTATCATCTCCTCGGAGCATTTCTACTATTTCTCCTTCCTCTGCCTTTTTCATCCTCGGTAAGTTTATGTCTTTTGACAGTGTCATCATTCCTGATTTATTTTAATTTTTAAAGTCAGCCAACAAAATCATCCTCTTTTTGGGAGAAATGTTACGTATTGATTTTTAAGTGCATTAAGACATTTTTTTGGCGTTTGCATCGGTGTGGTGTATTTACTTAAGTATCTATGGAATTCTGCATCTACTAGAATTTTCACATACTCTCTCTGAACTGTAGCAATAGTCATAGGTTGAAAAATACATTCCGAACTCAATGTACATTAGTAAGTTTGATGCACTTCCTGTGCGTTTCTGATCACTCTCACCAGTCTCTATACTTGGCGTACGCAAGCTTTATCTTCAAAGTAAGCACAGCCGCAGCTTGAAATTTGGTGATTGATGCGTATATCCTTATTCTGGTGTAATTTATTGTACAGTCATACCTATCATGCCCAATAAAATACCTATCCCTGGCCACAAAGTGACATCATTGATATATTTTTACTTACTGTCATGTTGTATTTTTGTATCAAACTTCCTGATAAGCTGGTTCAAGATATAATCAGACCTTTTAGTTGTATTCAAATAAGTATGTCCTAATTTTTTTCATTATTCCTTTCCAGAATGAGCAAGATTATGATATGCCGACGAGTATCACCTTATTTCATTCGTTCAGCTCAGATTTTGAAGACAATTTTTCTGAAAGAGGGACTATCAGCATAAACACTCAAAACATCATAGGCGGTTATCATTCTACCAGAAATGTCAAGCAATCAGCTCTTGAACAGTCAGAATTGCAGCAGCTGAAGGTGAATTGCACTGAACTTACTTAACATTCAGATCAGTTTCAATGACTAAATCTGAATAAATGATTTCATTTCACAATGCTTTAAAATTTCCTGAAAGGCTTCACTTCTTAAATGAAAGGGCCATCTACCTCTTTAATTCAAACTTCATAATTTTTCTTTTTTGCCCCAAAAAATTCTACGTGAATTTCAAGCAATAGAGAGTCTGTTGCAGGGCTGGATTCACCTACTTGCCACCCCCTCCTCATTTGCTTTGAAACATCAATAAGAACCATCAAATAGACGTTATCGAGGAGTGGAGAGGGAGAGGTGTGCTTAAGACGCATTTACTTGTGTTGGGCTCATTTTTGTGAAAGCCCTGTCAACACTTGCAAAAGTTCACGGAACTTCGAGGGAAAGTTAAGTTCTGTTAACCTATCTCTATGTAGACAAGGCCTTCCATTGATAAGAAATAAACGAAAGAGTTATGAAAGAACATACATAAATGTGGTTTAATTATTTTAGCTTCCACCGTCGCGCCATCCGCACTGTGTTTGACGCAATGAGTGAAGTATTCATGCTGTCTTGTTGGCGCTAATATATGCGTGTCACACCAATCGCCGACCGCACTGCGTTTGACGCAATGCATGAAGTATTCATGCTGTCTAGTAGGCGCTGATATGTGTGTCATGTGTTATGCCGATCGCCGACTGCACTGCGTTTGACACAATGCGTGAAGTATTCCTGCAGTCTTGTAGGCGCTAATGTGCGTCTCATGCCGACCGCCGCGTCGAGGGCTTCTCCTTTTATCTGAAGTCTTCGTCATCATTGCTCACTGCGCCGCGTCGCGCTGGTCCAGGCCAAATTGCGTGTTTGGTTTCTTTCCCTACTCTAATAATTAAAGGTGACTGTCTTATGTATCACCGAAAGACGACAAAATTAGAAATTACTATATTTTTACTTTTAGGAAATGAAAGATTTTGACGCCTTTTCTTGATTGTTATTTTTTTCTGAATCCGGGTTTTTTTTTTTTTTTTTTTTTTTTTTTTTTTTTTTTTTTCTGTTTGTTTGTTTGTTTGTTTGTTATATACCTACCTTCAAAAAAATCGCAAAATGTGCCCCCTTAAATGCCATCACGGGCCGTGGCCCATGTGGCGACCCCCTAAATTAGACCCTAGTCAGTTCTCCTTTAGGTAATAAAGATCACATCCAACATTATGAAACTTAGAAATTGTAATTCGTTTTTTGTCCTTTGGCCATTGATATCCCTCCATACCCTAAAATTCACAATTTTCTCCTTGAAAGTGTGTATATAGTATACAAAGGATGGTTTTTAAGACCACGAGAAATCTGTATTTTGAACACAAACTTGTATTGAATTTCTCTCCTTCCTATTGGACTTTGATTTTATTTCCAAGCATCGAGGATACCCAATTTGTAAACAAAGGTTACACATTTGCTGTGAGAAAGTCCCCACCTTTGAATTGAAAGTAGGCAATTTTTTTTTTGTATCCGACACAAAAATTGATAAGATTCTACAGGTAGATGCACATTGCACAATAAGTATCACATAACAATCACTTGTGAATCTGATTCACAAGATTTAAAATTTGTACATCTGCCGCAAAATCTGTGTCCGACAGAAACAAAAATTCCTTTCGAGAACCATAGTCTAAAATTTCACAATTTATTTATTGCACTTTTCAATTCATTCTATTTTGCTTCCAATTGCCTCTTGCTCATGTATGTTCTTATTTTTCTGTTTTAGAATTTAGCTCGGAACAATGGACTGTATAGAATAAAAGCTATTGTCAAAACTGCTAATGGGAGGAAAACCACTCTACTTACTTATGTCAAAGCGGTAAGCGGTTTTCAAGCATTATTAAATTACGTTACTTTTACGTCTTCACCACTTTACTAAATGCTTGAGAGTAGGTAAAAGAAATCTATTTATTTCAAGAATCCACAATAGGGGATAAAATACTCACTATTAATATGCAATGAAGCTCTGTTTCTAGTGAAGTTATTTTTAAATTTTGCAGAAAATGGTCAGCTTCTTTTCTAATCAGAGGTTATGAGTCGTGATAAAAAGTTGAAGGAAATGATTTGAAAATTTTTTGAGGAGGACTCTCTGAAGTGGACTGAAATTGACTTAGAACAGAGAAAAATACCTTTATTCCCTGATAAAACAAAAAAAAAACATCAAGTCATGTTTTCTCATAGTAAATATTTCTTGCAAATTCAAAATTTTTCGTAGGAACAAATATGCTTTTTGAGATGCTTAATGCTATTTTTAACTCAGTTTTTCAGAAATGTCTCCGAGTTCCCTTTCGCTGCTTACTCAATTCATAATTTTTCCTTCAAGTAATAGCACTCTGCGCCTTCTCCCCCCCCCCCCCCNNNTTGCCAGAAATATAAGAAGACTATGTTGATCTGAAACTGTGGTACACTTATTCATATTTCTGCTTTTATAGTTTTATCGAAGCAGTTTAGTCAAAACCCTCGGACTTTGCTGTTGAATTTTGGAAAAAAAATGATTACCTATATATCTTTCATTGGATCTTTGAAAGGAAATACTTCTACTATTTTGGAGCATTACTTGGACAGATTTCATTATTTTTTGCTAATTTTTGAGTGCCAACTGTCATTATACAATACCAAAATTTGAAAAATGATTTCACTGGATCATTACACTTGAATCACTTAATGAATTGTTTTGTTTTGTTTTTTCAGTGTTTACTGCTAGAATCTAACCTCTCGGATATCATCACAGTTTTCTTAAATGCTAATTATGATGTGGTGTCAGTCTCAGCAGCGACAATTAAAGCCACCTGTGAAAATAACTTTGAAGACATCTGGACCAAAAATTTCAATACGACTGTAAATTTCCGCAAAACAGAGCCAGGGCCAGTTCCTGACACTGCAACTTTCATTCAGACCCTGGAGCGAGAACGAGAGGCCAGAGAAAAAGGTGGTCGGAAAGACAATAGGTCTTTCTTTGCTAAATATTGGATGTACATTGTGCCTGCGGTCATCTTCGTCCTTCTCTCTGGAGCTTCAGCTCAAGAAGGACCTCAACAATAGGCAGTCTCAGGTGATAACTGCAAATCTCATCATTTCACATGATGTCACTTTGTCTTATTCTTAGTGTTGCGGGACAATGCTCTTCTGGTGCAGCATAAAGTAAACTCTAAAATCTGAAAGTTAACTAGAAAATAAAATTTTGCTGATTCCTACATCTCTAGACCCATGTCACATAAGGAAGGACCAAAATGTAAAATGCATGGCAGTGGGTGCATCAATTTCTTTTATATGGCATTTGTATTACCAAAAAACCAAACAGTTTCTGTTTTAAGAAATCTCTGTTTTGTTTTGTTAGCGTATTTATAAATTTGTAAATAAAATGATTTTTGAATTTTTGAAAAAAAAATTACTTAATGTTGCTGTTTTAAACATATTTCTATTTGCAAGATCAATAGATCTCACACAGTTTTTGATATCCATCACAGAGGAGCCAGTGGCGTAGTGTGGCATGGTGTGAATGATCGATAATTGATACTTCCCCATTTGAGGCTGCGGTAAAGAATCGATGTTTAAGGTGTTTATTTCGAACACCCTGTTTATCAATCCTTTTCCATAGGTTTGAATGACAGACAGATCATTTGTTTTATCGCAAAGCATGCCACGCCACTGAGAGGAGCATATAGTTGAGCAATTATTGAGGCGATATTCAGACGGTCAAAACTTTTCTTCAATCTTCCTTCCGCTTTTGTTGAATGAAAACTTGTGTCATGTGATATGTACTGAAATAAGAACACAACATTCAGATGAAAAGTCGAACAAAAACTTGAACCTAATATCACCTTCAAATTTCAACAAAAGCTGAATGGAAAGTTAGAATGAAATCTTCCGACCGTCATGACTGAAATCGTATCTTTGCGAATTAGAAGCTGGTGGAAATACTCAAACGTTGATGTCCAGTGTTATGATGATATCTTTGGGCAATGATAATTGGATCAAAATTTGTTTGCTACAACTTCTCAACTTGCATCTTTCTCTACAACTTTTTGTCCACTTGTGTCAGATGAAAAGTTGAACTGTCTGAATTGGGCTTAAGAACTTTTTTGATGTTGAGACTACTTACACGATAGCTAAAGTATGAAACCTCTGGAAGGGTTTTAAGGCATAAAAAAAAAAGCTCATAGTGATTGAGAATATTTTGCGCCTGAATGCTGATTCTTTAAAACCAATAGTTAAAATTTGTTGACCTTTTTTTTTTACTTTTATTTTTAGAGTTTGTCTCTTTGTAGCAGATATCCCATGTTTTCTTTCCATGGTGCAGTCATTTTTTCCTCTTTGTGGTACTGTGGAAGGGAACTGAATAAAAAACGAAAAGGTTGGTAGGAAACGTTCTTATTAATTTCTCTCTTAAAATAAGAGATCCATTGGCAAATTTACAGGTATCACACTAGGAGGCATTGCCTTCAAAAAAGAAATTATTTTGTTGCAAATTTAAGTACAAAAATTGTTCTGTGAGTACTTACTTACAGGGCTATTAGAGCTCTTCATAATTAGGGCTAATCATTTGATTCATAAGTATTTAATTCATGCAACTATGACTTTAGTTCAAAAAACATTTCCTAAGATTGCGAGGTTTCAAAATCCTTCATATTTTACTCTTTACATAATGATCGTTCCTATGACACCACTGAAAATTTTCAGAGAGCTCACAACATAAAAAACAGGCATCATTACAAATTCTAAAAGAGTGAATGACATAACAGTCCTGTAAACCAGTAAGGTATAGAGGGACTTTCTGAAAATTCGCCACGCCGGATCTGTGATTGAAACTAAAGCCAAAGTTGAATGTGCTTCTTCATGAGAAATTTGGCAATGAAAATTCTGATCCTTCCAAATTTCCAATGTGAATGAATGCTGATAATTCTAAAAACCAGAATTATAAAACCTCATTGACAGGCACAAATTCGTTTTAAAAGACTACTGGTAAAAAAGAGGCTAACAGATCCATGAGTTTGAGGAGACAACAAAATACAGAGAACAAATTAGAAATTAAGAGTAGAGGGGGAAAATGGAAATAATTTGGTAAAAAAAAGGAATTGGTTCCAAAAATATAAGTAGAGAACATTGTCTAGTAAGAACAGGCAAGAATTAATTGTATAAAGAGAAAGACAAAAATAAATCACCTTTCATAAAAGCGAATGAACACAGAAAGATTGTTGGAGACATCTCAACTGAAAAAATAATTAGATGAATACATGAGTATGTATTAAAAGTAAGAAGCTGAAGTAAAAGCGAATTAATAAATCTATCTAAGTATGTAAAAATGCAGGCTGTATTTCTAAAAAAAATCTTCTCCATTTGTGGAGCAAAACTGAGAGAAACATCGTTATTTTACTTCATAACTTTTTTTCAACGCAATCCATTGAGAGTTAAAGTCAAAGACGTTCTAAAAAATTTAGCAAGAGGAGGGATTCAGACTTCAATCATTTTTAATTGCTTGCTCATACACTAGATCAAAAGCAATTACAGTAATAATGAAAGAAAAAAATATTGCACAAGTATATAATTATGTGAATGGTGAGCAAAGTCTGAGGTGTATACATTTGTACATTTTTGAATCCTTACGTGGGTATACAGTTTGGACACAGAGCAGAAAATTCAGATTTTAAAAAAATAACGGAGAAACTATTGAGTTAAATTGACGTACTTTCATTACATTAAAACAAAGAGATGTAAAAAATATCACACCATGAATGAAAGAAAGAAAGAAAGAAAAGGATAGATTCCTTTCAAAATGATAGCACCTGCTTGGTCCCCTTCTGACCTTTGACAAGAGTTTAAAACATTTCTGTGGATAACGTACATGCTGTAAGTTTGAAGTCTTAATTTCCTTGGGGCACTTATATTTTTAAAAATTGACGGAAAATTATTATTTGGTTGATTTTTTTCTTTCGAGGGAGGGAGGGGCAAATTTTGGCATCCTAAAGAGAAAGGGCAAAAATATTTTTGAAAAAAAGGGTTAAGATAGCATTGCATGTTTATGAAACTTGACATTCATTCCTTTTACATGTTCACTGGTAGGAATTCGAGATTTGGCGTCATAAAATTTAAGACATTTTCCTTGTTAAAATCTAATAGAAAAATCTTGAATAAATCTGAAATCAGTTTCAAAAAGGAGAAAAAAAAAATGATTGGTATTTTGTCAGTAAGATATTGATACCAAAGGTGAGACACTGTTACAATGTCACATTTTTAATTCAGTTAACATGGAGGTAACTGACAATTAGAACTTCACAATTTTCTAACTTTGAAGTAACATTTTTTGAGCAATCAAACGATAAAATATAGTGTTAGGAAGGGACATTGATACCCTTCAAACAGGAATACTTTGATAAAATTACACTCTTGCACAACATTTTGTCACAATGATCTAATCCAATATAAATATACAACATAAAAATAAACGAGTTTCCAAAGCTTTGAACTCTTAAGTAGGTAGGTAAGGCACAAGAGAGGGCCTCCTGAGAAAAGGCTAGTCTCACAGCTACAGCTCTGATCAAAGAGATCAGATAAATACGGCACTTAACGCGACAACTGGGCGTAGTTCTGGTGCATTCACATATTCACTTCCCACAGTTTCAAATGGTTATCCATAACCTCATGAAACCACTTCCGTTTCATTGGATCTTTGAAAGCAGGTGCTAACGTCCGTAGATCTAGTTTTAACAAGGCTTCATTGCCTAGGAGTTGGTCTAATTTGCTTAATAACTTTAAGTCTTCTCGTAATTTTAGCAAACTAGGATAGGAGAAAAAGTAGAATTGGTGCTGAAGATGCCTTGCTGCCCATTCCTCTACAGTGGCGTTCCCACTTGCAACTTGGATTGTGCCAGTGTGCTCTGCATACCATGGAGAGAAGTATCCTAATAATTCGGTGTTGGTAAGATTTGACACGCCTTTATCTTTTAGTCTTTCTTTGATTCTTTTAAAAATAGGAGGCGAAAAGACGAAGACCTGGGAACAAAAATAAGATAGAAATTTAAAACCTATTATGTACTTTTAATGTCTGATCAAATAATCAGAGAAAAGAGAAGCAACTTCAGAAAACTTGCATTCCATTTTTTTAAGACATTACATACTGACATCTTGAATAGGTACTTGGTATAGATAGGGTCCAAGATAGATAGTCAGATGGAACTGAACACGTTCAACCTGCGACCTTCATAAAAACCGCTGAACCCTAAAAAGTAAAGGTTTTTAAAGGTCAACGTCAGCTCCGCTTCAGATCTCTTCGAGTGTTCTAACTGCACGGGGTGCCATGTTTAATTTATTGGCTAAAATCACGGAGCTGTAGCTTATACAAATAACAAACAAAGACGCAATGTTCTTAAAAGTATTAAATAGGAAGCGTTCAGCACTCAGGTGCTAAACAGGCTCAGTACGATTTTCACTTTTTAGACTGGAAATCGACGTTTTTGACTGAAAATCAAGTTTTTTGCTGTACCGTGAATCATTGGAATTTCAGACACTGGTCACGGTGATAACTTGTCTTGGATTTCTTTTGTATAATTAAATAAAATATCTTATCCCAGAAAAATTAAAGCACCAGGTCTCTTGAAATAAAAACAAATGCGATGTTTTGGCCGAGAGAAAGTATTTCGAAGTTCTGCAGTAAAATCCCTTAATTTTTAAGGGTTGGTCAAAATTCCATGACTTTTCTAGATACCTGATTTTTGAATAATTTCCCAAGTAGCATTTTTTAACGGAAAAATCGGGATATTGCAATATTATCGGCGATAAAATCGCTAGGATTATGAACTTCTGAGCGATTATCCTCAATCTTATCGGGATAAAATTGCGATTTTACCGCCAGGGAATTCATCGCGATATTTTCGGAATAAAAATCGCGATAAATGGCGATTCAATCTCGATTTTATCGACGAAAATTGATACCTAGCGATTTTATCGGACTAGTTGCGATGTGTAGCGATTTAATCGCCATATATCGCAATTTTTAATGCGATAGTATCTCGATATATTGCCACCGACATAATCGCGATGATCAACCGATGAAATCGATATTTAGCGCGATTACTGCTGCCTGGGAAGGGTTGTTTTTCATTAAATTATCACTCTGTAGGCACTTTGGTATCATGAATTTCCCATGAGTTGTCTCGCTGTAGGCACTTTGGTATCGACTAGGATTGAAGGGAACTTTTCTAGATACCTGATTTTTGAATAATTTATCACGTAGTAAGCACTTTGATATGGACTAGGATCAGTGTTCGAAACTCACCTTTGAGTTTTAGGAGCCATGTGGCGCATCAAGCCCGATTTTTAGGCGCCATTGAGGATTTTTTAGGGGCCAAATTGACTTTTTGCCTGTGTATTACGGCGCATTTAGTGAAAAGTTAGACGCAAGATGTTTTCGTAACAGAACTAGAAAGTAGCTGTAACTTGGGGAGGACAAAAGCACTAAGAATGAAATCGTGAAGAATAGAAGAAGCAAGCTTTCACTCGGATTGCATTTTGCAAAAAGAAACCAGAAGCATTGCAATGATGCTAAAGGATTGTGCAAATTCATCCTTTGCAGGAAATAACTGAAATCATGAAAAAAAAAATATGAAATTTACATGGTCATTTTTGTCTTAGATTCATGGTTTTCAACGAGTAAAATAGAAACGGTCAATGGAAAATCAGGTTTGTTCTCCAAGAGAAAAGAAATCGCACAATCTTAGCAACATTGCAATGCTTGTGGTTCCTTTTTGCAAAATGCAATCCACTTGTAAACCTGAAAATTCTGAGTTTTTCCAATTCAAGTAGATACCTTTTTCTTTCTTCCTGTGACTTCCTGTGAAAATCCAGATTTTTAGGGGCCACGTTGGCGCAGAGCCTTCATTTTTTAGGCGCATTTGGCGCGTTGGCACCTGTGAGTTTCGAACACTGACTAGGATTGAAGGGAACTTGATTTTTGAATAATTTATCACGCAGTAAGCACTTTGGTATCGACTAGGATTGACAGGAACTTGATTTTTGAATAATTTATCACGCCGTAAGCACTTTGGTATCGACTAGGATTAAACGGAACTTTTCTAGATACCTGATTTGGATTGCATTTTGCAAAAAGGAACCACTAGCATTGCAATGTTGCTAAGATTGTGCAACTTCTTTTGTCTTGGAGGAAAAACCCGATTATCCATTAATAATTTCTATTTTACTCGCTAAAAGCTGTAAATTTAAGACAAAAATTACCATCTAAAATTCATAGTTTTTCACGATTTCCGCAATTTTATTGCAAAAGATAAAGTTGCACAATCTTAGCATCATTGCAATGCTATAGTGGTTCCTTTTTGCAAAATGCAATCCATTTTTGAATAATTCATCACGCTGTAAGCACTTTGGTATGGACTAGGATTGAAGGGGTGTTGGTACCTGGTAGAGGGAGTTGCCGGTGACGTAGGCGGTGATGTAGTGGGAGCCGAAGCTCTTGACGAAGTCGAGGACGGTGGCCGGGTCGCCGAGGCGGACCTGGTCGACGTGGCGGGCGACGGCGTCCTGGAGGGTGACCTGGTCGGGGGCGAGGGTCTGTCCCTCGGCCATGGTGGCGACCTCGCGGTGGCGGGAGACCCGGACGAGGACGTAGCAGTGGTCCCCGCTCACGTAGCTCGTGTTGATCCCCAAATTCCGGGCCAGCACCGTCTTCGACCAGGAGCCGGTGAACGCCTGCCACGGCCGCTCCAGCCGCTCCACCGCGAAGTCCCGGAAGTACGCCTGCAGCAGCTGCTTCATGTTCTCGCAGAACTCCATGTGGAAGTCCCCGTCGAACGTAGCCGTCGAGTTGTTGCATTTCTTCGTGCTGCAACACAAAGGAAACAACCCAAAAATTAGAGTATGTCCATTACAGGGGCATGTGCAATCGGACATCCATCAAGTTTAAATGGTTGCATCAAGTCCCCGTCACCGCCGACCAACGCGTCTGTCGATCGAATCAACTACAGCCACTACAGGTAGTATGAGCAGGGAGTCAAAACGCCTTCAATTTTTTGAACGCAATACGGACATCCGTCGAGGTTGTATAGTTGTATCAAGGCGCCGTAGCAAGCGCGTCCCATTGTTTATCGTTACAGACGAATATAAGTTGAGAGAGGAAAGTCATAATGCCTTCAATTTTATACATACATATTTTTGGGCAAAATGAGAGACGACGTTGCGACGTTGCAGACTTCCTGAGAAACTTTATTTTTTCGTAGGGAAGCTGGTCATCATAGAACTTAAATTCTCCATGATTTTTCGTATTCGATAGCAGAAGCTTTGGTTCAAAATATAAAGTCGTAAATTCGGATTGTTTTTCATGGAAGAGATGAAATAAGAACGGAAATTTTGAAACACCGCAATGGAGATACGTGGTTTCGCATTTCAGTCGGTACGATACGGACAATGTGCATTCCACACGGAGAAAAAAACTTCGTGCGTATAGGACCCGAAGTTTAGGTCATATAGATCTCTGAAGTTTTCGGATTGAGCATCTGAACACTTTAGGTCCAGCTGCTGAGGTTTGGATCACACATCTGAAACTTCAGTTCTTACATCTGAAGTACTTCGGTTTTCACATCCGAAATACTTCGGTTCTCACATCCGAAAAATTTCGCGGTTCTCACATCTGAAGTACTTCAGAAGTAAGAACTGAAGTTTCAGATGTGTGATCCGAACCTCGACAGCTAGACCTGAAGTGTTCAGATGCTCAATCCGGAAACTTCAGAGATCCATATGACCTAAACTTCGGGTCCCACGCACGAAGTTTTTTTCTCCGTGCAGGAGCATGTGGAATCGGGGACACATAACGATGGCCCATAGAGTTCATGGAGTCGTAATGTAAATGGGAGAGCTGCACTGGGGGAAAAAACACATTGGATCTAGAGTTCAGACTCTTGAAAACATTGACAAGAAAAAGATACTCTCGATTCAATCAGATTTAAGCTTAAATCAAAAGGAAATCCGCTCAAATTAAGAGGCTTGGTTCTTGACTTAAGCTTAAATCTGATTGAATCAAGAATATTTTTCCTTGTCGGTGTTTTTAAGAGTCTGGACTCTAGATCCAACGTGTTTTTTTTCCAGTGTAGCTGGAAAATTGGAACCAATTGATGCGATATATCGCATGCCGTCCTGACACAAAATATGGCGTCCATCGAATCACCTTAATACCTTGGTGACTAAGTTTTGCCACCCTTCGAATTGTGACTGTATCGCCGGATGCGCCGTGGGGCAACGCGAGGTCCAATTGCTGAATCTACGAGGGCTTTTCCCGGCATAGTTGGGTAGCGGGGCGTATTTTTAACGGCGCGACCACGAGTGACTCACCGCTGACATTGGCCTTCGGGGGCGGAATTGTGACTCATGTCACGCTAAGTGGACTCGGCGAACTTTGCAGGTGCGGTCGATCGCCGAACGCCCCCGCCCCCCGAACCGCAATTAAGGTGATTCGATGGACGCTATATTTTGTGTCAGAACGGCATACGATATATCGCATCAATTGGTTCCATTTTTTCAGCTACTCGTCATTTTTTTCTAATTTTGAGATCGCAATTCTGTTGTCAGGAGACTAAAGCACTCACTTACCAATTTTAACAAAGAAATTCAACGTAATAAAGGCGTGGTTTTTTTTAGAGTGAAAATATCGCATTCGAGTGCAGTTTCGATATCAGTATCGAATGCGATGTTTTCTCTCTAAAAAATCCACGCCTTTATTACGTTGAATTTCTTTGTTAAAATTGGTAAGTAAGTGCTTTAGTCTCCTGACAACAGAATTGCGATCTCAAAATTGGAGGAAAATGACGAATAGTTGAAAAAATGGAACCAGTTGATGCGATATATCGCATGCCGTTCTGACACAAAATATGGCGTCCATCGAATCACCTTAACACCTATCATAACTTTCGTTTCTCAAGAGAACTGGATGAAGGCGATTCTGCGTGGAGTCGAATGGAAATGTGATGATTCGCGTTGATCGTGTTCCTATTTTTAGCGCGCCTTAATTTTTAAAACGCACTTCGGTTTCTAAAATGATATCATTTTATTTCCGAATCATTTCTTAGCGTATGTATGCTGAGGAAAAAAATCTACGGCGATATGAACCGTAAGTGCAGTAGAGTGGTCTGCCATGGAAGGAAGAACGCCGTATGAACGTCCGAATTCGAGAGTTGCGGAATTTCCCCGGATAAAAGATGTATTATTGAGGAAATTGGTGCATGCCCTAGTAAAAATTGGCGATAGGAGCTGCGTTTCAAAATACCACAGGAGTTCTTATAGCCGACTAAAGAAGGCGATAGAAAATCATTTAGCTGGCTGTAGAATGCGGAAAAAATCATATGGCCGAGCTACACGAAGCGATAAAAAATCATACAGCCGGGCTATAGTTCCTATCGCCGGGCTTTACACTTTATCGCCTGGCTGTTGCTTTTCCGCCATCGGCTATAAAAGGCTATAAGAAATTGTGCAGAAATTCGTGTGCTTTGTAAATCCGCAAGTTTGTACGGAATCACCTTAATATTTACAAAACGCACATTATATTTTCCCTCACTACATATTTTTTTTCATCAATTAAAATGAGAATAATCCATACAGAGTGTGCAAACATTTCACAGTCATGAGTTGAAAAACGCTGACTCCACGAGATTAAATATTACAGCCTAATACAAAGCGGAGCGGCAGCGCACTGGCGCCTACAAACCTAACAGGGATACTTCACGCATTGCGCAATGCGTGAAGTATCCCTGTTAGGTTTGTAGGCGCCAATGCGCGTTTCGCGCTGGCTGCCCGCCCGCCGCGCCACACCGCAGCGTACCACGGCGCTTGAAGCAACTATTTCACACCAGAGGTATTGCACAGTATCATACGAAATTGAAGGCGCTACAACATATAAGAAATGGCATGCGTCCTTCAAAAGTACGGAGCTTTCCTCGCAAAATAAATCAAGATACTACGGCCCAAAAAGAGAGCGGTAGTCCAAAACCTCACGAAGTCCTAGCATCCGTAATTAGTAACGTTTAGCAAACACTTTATCGCCAGACTGTTGCTTAATCGCCATCGGCTATAAAAGGCTGTAAGAAATTGTGTTGCCGGCTGTAGAAGCTATTGGAAATCTTACAGCCGGCTGTAGGTCTATGGTATTTTGGAACACAGATTCTACTGCCAATTTTTACCAGGGTGGTTATATTACCTTGAAATTTGCAGATATTATAGATTAAATTGCGTACAAAATGGTCGGAAAAATTTGGGGAAAATATTCACAATTTTCCCAGTAAATTCGTTTTTAATCGAAGGGCTTCCGACGGAAAATTGTCGAAATTTGAGAGCTCCTAACATGAAACTTAAGTCAATTTCGTCACTAAAATTTGCCAAATATAGATTCCCTTTCTTATTGGTTCGTCCCCACCCTTCTTTTTTTTCTTTTTTTCCTTTTTCTTACTGCTCTTTCCCGAAAGAACGTGGGAGGGGGTACGCCTACGCCCCCCTTTGATCCGCCAATGAAATGCTCTCGAATTTCAGGGTTTGGCAAAATTCCCTGGGTTTTCAAACCCTTGTCGCTCTGATTATGAAAAAGCCAATCTCTCGTACACATCCGATCTTGTTTCACGCACAAACACGAACGCTATCTGAAATGAAAGGAAAATTTTTCAAAGTCACGATGGCTGGACCGCCCAACGCCTAATGGCCTAATCAACAGACAGAAATAGGAAAAAGCTGCCTCTGACGAAACAATACACCTGTCAAACGATCGTAATTAACTGCCGGTTTTCTTTTCGCTCGTAAAAGTGAGAGCGAATTTCCGACCTCGAACTTTGAGAGCGTGCTGCCTGAAATACGCGAGGAATTCCTTGAGAACCTCACCGCACCGCGACGGAAATTAATGGGCGAAGCGCGATATTTTGGCGAGCTTGCAGGATCTCCTTCTTGGCGGAGCTTTCGAGCTTTGGCGATTCGGTTTGGGAGCGAAAATGCATTCGCGCCGCCGCCGGTGACGCTTTGCGCTCGAGCTGGATCCGTGACATTTAATTCGCGCTACGCCGAGCATGATCAGTCACAGCTGCAATCGAATTTACATCGGGCTACGGGTCAACAAACAAGGTCAGGGTTTACTACACCAACGAGTATCCGAAGCATTTCTATCATATTAGTGGATTTGGTGGTTGATGCGGGCTCAAAGTTTGCGCGAGAGAAAGTAAAAGTGAGACTGAAAAACTCTTTCTCAAAACGTGTGATAGTACACGGAGAAAAAACTTCGTGCGTGGGACCCGCAGTTGAGGTCATATGGATCTCTGAAGTTTTCGGATCGCGTATCTAAAAACTTGAGATCAAGCTGCCGAATTTCGGGTCAGACATCTGAAGTACTTCGATATGTATTCCGAAGGGTTCAGGTCACACATCTGAAGTACTCCGGTACATACCGAAGTGCCTGGATGTCTGACCCGAACTTCGGCAGTTCGACTTCAAGTTTTCGGATGCGTGATCAGAAAACTTCAGAGATCCGGGTCCCATATATGCACGAAGTTTTTTTTCTCCGTGATGGGCAAAAGGAACCTCAGTACACGAAGGTGCAATTTTTCACAATGGGTCAGTTGCGCTGGTCACAGAATCGTGTGTGGATGCTTGATTCTTGTAGATTAGCTAAGAATAATAAGAGGTGCCCGAACAGCAACTTTCTACCTTCAATATAAATCGCGCTTCGAAAAACTCGGTTTTTGACGTCGTCAACTGCGCTAGTGACACCCTTGATTTCTTCCACCTTGCTTTCATCAATCAGGGAATATACATTATTGTTCTGATTACTGTTGAGAAACTCGGATGAAGGCAAGGTGGAAGAAACCGAGGGTGTCACTACGGCGGTGGATGACGTCATGAATCAAATTTTTCAAAGCGCAATAACTCGGTTAATATTCAACGTATCAAGTTGCTGTTTGGACGAATCTTAATATTTTTTGATCTACAAGAATCAAGCATCAAAACACGATTCTGTGATCAGCGCAGCTGACCCAATATACGAGGATTTGCGTCGAGTTGGGCGGAAAAATCGGATTTTAAGATCGCCATGCTGCCGCGTACTAAGCAAGAACGCCGTAAATCCTTCAAGATTCACCCTCGTTTTTTAGAACTTAACACTTCATAAAATAAAAACCGTTTTACCGATGCACCTCAAATTCTCAGGTTAGGTTCTTGATAGTATTCGCAAAAGAATTCTGTAAAAACATTGTCCCAAGGTACACAAGTTTTTCTGTTATGATACATTGTTTCCAAAGAATGTGAAACAGCGTTTACGGCGTTTTTGCGTTGCATGGTAGAATGGAAAACTCTGTTGAGTGTCCTGAATACACACCTCTGTTTGGCGGAGATATTTCGGAAGATGTCGGCGGTGGGCTCACGGAAGATCCAGGAGCGGTCGGAGTCATTTCTCGGGACGACCCGCATGCTGATTCCCATGTAGCCGAAGCGGGAGAAGATGTTGATGGCGCAGCCCACGTGGAGCTCCGGGAGGGCCCAAGGGATGGAACCGGATAATACTGTCAATATCACCAGCCGCACCCCTCCCAGCATTCTACCCGCTCTCTGCAACACAAAAAATCACAAAGCTCGAGTCAAAATCAACAAAGCGAGAAAAATTAACACAAGATAGCAAAATCAACACAGAGAGCAAAATCAGCACAGAGAGAGAAATCAACACAAAAAGAAAAATCAACACAGGGATAGAAATTAATAGAGAGGGAGAGAGGGAGAAATCAATACAGAGAGAGAAATCAATACAGAGAAAGAAATCAATACAGAGAGAGAAATCAATACAGTGAGAGAAATCAATACAGAGAGAGAAATCAACACAGAGAGAAAAATCAACATAAAAGTTTGGTCAGTACGGGAAGTAAAAAACAAAATAACCCCGGCCTCCGGTTGACAATTTCAAGAAAAGATGTCAGCTAGTTTTCTTGAAGAAATTAAAAAACGAAATCTTGACGAGATAAAATAAATTTTGCTCGAAGCATTTTTCACGAAAAATTTTCAGCACAGAGTCTCATGAATAAATTGAAAGATGTGATATTTTGACGGAAGAAAAAAAATTCTAAGGGCTGAGGCAAAATTCCCTGATTTTCTCAGGTTTTCCTTGATTTTTCAATACCGTGTTGGCCTTCAAATATAAACATCGATACATCGTGGCAGGCTGCCTTACGTGGAATCGACATTTTAGGTGATTTGGACGGAGAAAAATAGTGTTGCCAACTTGTGCGTGAATCGCCACTGGATGAAGTCGATTTCCTAAGCCGCGGGCACCGACACACGATTCCGTGACACGCGCAAACGACCCATTAACAGACGCGAGTCACGTCAAAAAAATACAGAATAAAAAACGAAACGTGAAGAACCGCATGCCAACTTATTTGGTTGTAAAATCGTCGTTTCATAGACGGAAGAACGCAATTGCATTGCAAGGTTGCGAACCTGACTCGAACAATTCAATTTTTCACAAGAGTGCTGTGCAATTTCTGTCCAAAATTTTGCTTATTTCTGAGTGGATGATCAGGGGAATAATCACTGACATTTTCATTGCCACAATTTCGCATGCCAACTTATTTGGATTCTTCAGCGTTCGTCTGCCGTAAGGGCGTAACTCAATTTCCACATGAGTCCCGAAAATCATTGAGTTACACGGGAAATAGGGCCCACGTGAAATCGAGCTGCGGCCTTACGACAGAGGAGCGACGAATATCGATGGTGTAAGTCGGCAACCACGTATCTCGTGTGCGGTGTTTGGAAATCTCAGTTTCTATTTTATTTTCTTAAAGGAGGAAAAATCGACATCATTCCTTGAAGTTTTCGCAGAATTTTCTTTGCATTAAGAAGAAAAATCACAGCAGTTTTTCAGAATTGCCGTTCAGTATTTTTCCATTTAAAAAATAAAGTATGACGAGAAGTCTGCCATGTCACAAACCGAGATACCTGGTTGTGGACTTACACCGTCGATGTATACTGCTAGGGAAGAACATCGTATGTGCATTCCAATGTTGCAACATTTCTCAGAGTAAAATCGTCGTTTCATAGACGAAGAAACGCAACTGCATTCCGAGGTTGCGAACCTGGTTCGAAAGTGCTGTGCAATTTCTGTCCAAAATTTTGCTTATTTCTGAGTGGATGATCAGGGAAAAAATTACTGACATTTTCAATGGGAACTTCCAACATACTCCTGGTAAAAACACTATTTTTGCGTGAAAATTTTCCAAAGTTAAAATGAAATTGAGTTATTTCATCTGGACATTATAAACATTTTTCCTTGAAAGTTTCAGAATCAATAGATTGGATCGCGGGTAAAAATCTCCGAAAAATTGAAAGGAAAGAGTCCCAAGAGAAAGTCGCATTTTATCAGAGGAAATTTGGCAACAACCGAATGTTGATACGACGTTCTTCTCCAGCACGACCAATGTTGCCAGATTGCACGATAAAATTCGGATATTTACATGGGTTTAGCTGGGGAAATGCGCTCATTTTCAGCACTTCCTGGCAACGATGAGCAGAATATCGCTCTGATTTGATCTCGCATCAAAGACAACGACAGTGGCAACCTCCGTTCACGTATTTCATTGGCGCCTGATGATGCAACTCCGTTTGGCGCGCTTTCTGCACGTGTCCACTGGTCGCGAACTCGTAACCTATTTTTCAGACGCCGCGCTGTTTTTTGAGTTTTTTTTGTTATCACGAATTGTCAGCTTGCACCGATTCATTGTGAAGTCAGGTGTCCGCAAACACAAATATTATCAACGCGGCCATTCATACTGAAAACAAAACGTCGTTGCTGTGCGCAATCAGGCTGCTGATTTTTAGCCAACTGATCTACCCATAGTGTTGCACATGATTAAATGAATCGCATTTTGCGGTAGGGGAGCCAACGTGACTAGAAAATTATAAAAATCGTGCATCTGTAATTAAAACATGCCAATAATATTAGTAATTCGTTTTTACCAAAAAATCTTTGATTTTAAAGGAAAATGAACGTTTATAGTTTACCACTCTACGTATGTTTGGTAATTTTAAAACCAACCCTGGTAAAAATTAGCAGTAGAATGTGTGTTCCAAAATAATATAGACCTAAAGCCTGCTGTAAGGTTTCCAATAGCTTCTTTAGCCGGCTATACAATTTCTTATAGCCTTTTATAACCGATGGCGATTAAGCAACAGTCAGACGATAAAGTTTATGCTAAACGTTACTAAATACGGATACTAGGACTTAGTAAGTTTTTGGACCACCACTCTCTTTTTGTGCCGTAGTATCTTGATTTATTTTGCGAGGAAAGCTCCGTACTTTTGAAGGATGCCTGTCATTCTTCATATGTTGGAGCGCCTTCAATTTCTTATGATACTATGCAATACCTCTGGTGTGAAATAGTTGCTTCAGACGCCGTGGCACGCTGCGGCGCGGCGGGTGGGCAGAGAGCGCATTGGCGCCTACAAACCTAACAGGGATACTTCACGCATTGCGCAATGCGTGAAGTATCCCTGTTAGGTTTGTAGGCGCCAATGCGTCGCCGCTCCGCTTTGTGTTAGGCTCTAATATTTAATCTAGTGGAGTCAGCGTTTTTCAACTCATGACTGTGAAATGTTTGCACACTCTGTATGGATTATTCTCATTTTAATTGATGAAAAAAAATATGTATTGAAGGAAAATATAATTTGTGTTTTGTAAATATTAAGGTAGTTCCGTTTCAAACTTAATGATTTCCAAAGCACACGAATTTCTACACAATTTCTTATAGCATTTTATAGCCAATGGCGATAAAGTGTAAAGCCCGGCGATAGGAACTATAGCCCGACTGTATACTTTTTTATAGCCTCGTATCCCGGCCATATGATTTGCTCCGGCTTTCTACAGCCAGCTATATGATTTTCAATAGCCTTCTTTAGTCGGCTATAAGAACTCCTATGGTATTTTGAAACGCAGCTCCTATCGCCAATTTTTACCAGGGAAAGAAGAGGTCGCACGCTTTCAAAGATATTGAAGTCGCGTTGCTTCTCTTTCTCCCGCTAAATAGGTACGATCCAAATTTCGTGTTACACACGACACCGACTAAATGACACATTTCGCTGACTACCACCACTTCACTGCATGTAGTTTCCCTACATGCAGTGGGGTGCTTTTATGGACGAGTTACAAATTGTAGCTCCTTGTTCCTAAATGCAGTCCATTCATACTTTCGGTGCCCGAAAGAAACTTTTTCATCTACTCAACTGTACATTGATCCGTTTTGATTAAAATGAATTCTAAAGTCTTGAATTTTTCGATCATGGATGTATTCCTTTTTAAAGAAAAAGAGCTTATATGTTACCTTGAAAACGCATTGGCTCTCCAGAAGGATTAAAACTGAAGAGGGACTAAGAATTCACAAGAGAGGAAAGTCTCTCTTTACCTCTGAAGTTAATATTTGCACGCGCATCAAAAATCATTGGAGAGAAAAGAAAAGAAGTCTAAAGAAAGATCACTCCTTGGCGCACATTAGGTACTTTAAAAATTAAAGTCGATTTTTTTTAAAAAGTAAGTATTGAAACACAGAACAACCAAAAATCCGATTTTCGCTACATTGCTGTCTTCACACTCGCGCAAGAGTAAATTGAGTGAATGGGACAAATAATTAGTGGCAGATGCAGATGCAAGGAGGAATGCATCAGACACAGTCACAGATAATCCATAAAAAAAATCATAAATTTGCCGGTTATTAGCAGAAGCCACATCAATACGGCTTCCTCACTAACGAGTTACCTATAACGATTGATTTTTAAAACGCTCGATTTCTCAAAAAATTCTGGATACAATACTTTCGCTCTAAGCTACCGATATATGCGCGCACATAGGTTAAATCGTACATCTGATTCTGATTCTTTTCCGTGGCAAGAAAAAGAGGAACAGAAATTTCTAGCAATGACGTAAAAATTGATTGAAAAAACATTCATTTTGAGTCATTTGATCAACATTTCAGAATTTCCAGTTGTTTAAGTTCAATACGAGATAGACTAAACACGATGGAATGACATCTTAGTGGTGTCAGAGGAGAGGAGAAACAATAACATTTGAAAATAACCGCACGGTGGACTGTCCGCCCCCGCTCAGAATGTAAACCATGAACTTCGATGTTTATAATACATTGACAGACAGCGCACAGAGATCACTACGGAAAATATGGACTACATTTCACGATAAGGAAGCACTAATTCTGGTTCATCCATAAAATCACCTATTTCAATACGGAAACTAACAGCACATGCGCTGTTTCTCAAATGAGCCGGAAAAGTTGCTCCTTACTCTTTAGTAAAAAATTATGTAGTCATAGCAGATTTGACGGAATCAAAATGCGACTTCTCAAAATATTCAAGTTTTCCTGCTCTTGGTTGTTCAATGTCTGCGGTGGAGAGGATGTCACCACTTGAAAAAGTTAATGTTTACGATTAGCAAAATACTGCGGATATTTTCCGAAAATTGGTACACAATAGTACTCGTAGGTACGCTGTTTCATAAAAAAAAAGGCTGTTTCTCCGCTCTGGAAAAGTCGTTAAAAAGTTGCAACATCAGTAAG